CATGAGGAGGCCAAAGTCTTGGAGCCTCAGCTTCACGATCTTGTCCTTCCAGTGAGCACTCAGGGCTGATTTCCTTCAGAATGGATAGGTTTGATCTTCTTGCAGTCCATGGGACTCTCAAGAGTCTCCTCCAGCACCATAATTCAAAAGCATCCATTCTTCGGCGATCAGCCTTCTTTGTGGTCCCGCTCTCACTTCCATACATCACTACTGGGAAAACCAGAGCTTTAACTATACGGACCTTTGTTGGCAAGGTGATGTCTCTACTTTTTAAGATGCTGTCTAGGTTTGCCATTGCTTTTCTCCCAAGAAGCAGGCGTCTTTTAATTTCGTGGCTGCTGTCACCATCTGCAATGATCATGGAGCCCAAGAAAGTAAAATCTCTCACTGCCTCCATTTCTTCCCCTTCTATTTGCCAGGAGGTGATGGGCCCAGTGGCCATAATCTTAGTTTTTTTGACAGGCTCTCCTTACGTCCTGATGAAGCCTCCGGGCCAGGCGCAGTCTATCTGCCTCCCTGGGTTCTTGGGGGCATTTGGCTACTGCGTGACCGGGAGGCTGGCCCTGATCCTTGTGCCCCGATGCAGCCCCTCCGCCGCCGGGGAGGGCGCTTGGGCCAGCCGCCTGTCCCTCGTCCCCCCCCCCACCTACTGTGGCTCCCGGCCTTCCCCGCAGGGTTGTTGTTGCTAGGGTAGGCTCGGGGCGGGCGGCGAGAGCAAGCGAGGCCGCCGTCGGGGCCCCTCCCGCGGGGCGCGCCCAGGGCGGCGGCTCCACCTCCCGGGGCGGAGCGCAGGCGGCGGAGCCAGCCGGGCAGCTCGGGCGCAGCAGCCCCGCGGCCGGAGGGACGGAGCGCGCGATGCGCCTCGACGTGGGAACCGCCGCTGCCACGGCACCCCCGACGCCCTCGGCGCCTGCCGGGCCGGCCGCGCCCCCCTGTCCCGGTCCCAGCAGCAGCGGAGGAACCGGCGGGTCCGGAGATGTCCAGGTGAGGCTTCCCCTCCTCGCTCCGGGGTCATCCTGCCGGGCAAGGGTCCCCATCTCGCGGGCTTTCTGGGGAGCCAGCCCCGAGAGGGCGGTCCGGTCCTAAGCCAATGCGCCTGGCTTGGTCCGGAGGGCTCCGGTCCGATTTCCAGAATTGTGGTTTTGAGTTGGGATTACCTGCGTGGCAGCGGGTAGGGCTAGATGGACTCTCGGGGTCCCGAACAACTCCACAGGTCTGTGATTCTCCCCTTATTACAGAGGGGACTCCGCGTGCGCTTGGAAGACCCAGCGGAGCTTTTCTTTCTTTCTTTCTTTCTTTCTTTCTTTCTTTCTTTCTTTCTTTCTTTCTTTCCTTCCTTCCTTCCTTCCTTCCTTCCTTCCTTCCTTCCTTCCCCTCCATTCATTTCTGCGCGTTTTTCAAACGGGGAAAGAGGCTAAATATCTAAAAATGGGAGAGATCCGCATGGGCACCAGAATCCAGAAGCTGGTCTCTTGGGCTTTGTTTCTTAAATTGCCGTGGCGAACTTGCATCCCCTTGAAATCGGTTGGGATTACTTTCGAGTAAGCACGTTCTAGGGATGCGTTAAGTGAACACTTGCCCTTGCTGTAGTTGTATTTTTGAGATATGGAAGGTGGAGATTGGGCTGCTCTGGCTTATAGGACTCTTGTGGGTTACCGAGATAACGCAAAGCACTTTGAACTCTTGCAACAAGCCGCACGCCTTCAGCGTTGTCCCATTTGCCCCCCCCCCGCCAATCCTGTATGGGGATCCAGGGGGCTGGACAAGGGTCAGAGAGACCCACATGCAAATCCTCCTTCAGCTGGGACGCTCGTCTTTGGCCAGGGCCTCTCTCTGCAAGCTTGACCTACCTCAGAGGGTTGTCGTAAGGTTGAAACAGAGTGAGTGTTGAGAATCAGGTACACGCTGGCTGTACATGGAGTAAATGATAGATAGATGCGTGTCTACATGGTGGCAAGTCCACTGATTCCAAAGGGGCTAGCTCTGGCGGTAGTATAAGGTAAAGGTAAAGGGACCCCTGACCATTAGGTCCAATTGCGGATGACTCTGGAGTTGCGGCGCTCATCTTGCTCTATAGGCCAAGGGAGCCGGTGTTTGTCCGCAGACAGCTTCCGGGTCATGTGGCCAGCATGACTAAGCCGCTTCTGGCGAACCAGAGCAGCGCACGGAAATGCCGTTTACCTTCCCGCTGGAGCGGTACCTATTTATCTACTTGCACTTTGACGTGCTTTCGAACTGCTAGGTGGGCAGGAGCTGGGACCGAGCAACAGGAGCTCACCCCATGGCGGGGAATCGAACCGCTGACCTTCTGATCGGCAAGTCCTAAGCTCTGTGGTTTAAACCACAGCACCATCTGCGTCTTATAGCCCTATAGTAATAATAAGAATTTATTATTTATACCCCGGCCACCTGTATGGTTTGGTTAGCGAGTGAGTGTCCTGGAAAACCACCATCTACAACAGGGGTCGGCAAACTAAGGCCCCTGGGCTGGATCAGGCCCACCTGGGTAGGCAAGCGCTGGGGCTGGGGAGTGAGGAGGAGGCCTCTTCTTCCAGCCCTCCCTCGCCTCTTCTTCCAGCCCCCCCCCATTGCCGCTTTTCCAGCCCTCCACAAGGTCTGAGGGATTGTGGACTGGTCTGCTGCTAAATTTTTTGCCAACCCCTGCTCTACAAAGTGGGCCAGGAGGACAGGATGAGACCCGGCAGCCCTTCTGCTAACCCTGCATTGCCGAGGGTGGACTAGATGACTCGTGGGGTCCCTTCCAACTCTATGGTGCTATGAATCCCATGGAGGAGAGGTCTCTCAATGGCCCCTAGCCAGGGTGGCTCTGTCCTTCCTGCGCAGTCGGAGGCAGTAAATGTTTCTAAATCCTGGTTCCGAGAAGCCCCAGGAGGAGGGGAGAGTGTTGCTCTTGGCTCGGATCCTGCCTGCGGGTTTCCCATAATGGGCATCTGGTTGGCCCCCATGAGACAGGAGGCAGGACTAGATGGGCCCCCTTGGGCCTGATCCAGCTGCAGCCTCTTCTGACATAGTCTACACACAGACACATGCATTCAAACCGGAGTTTCGGTTTGCTTTGCATGCTGCAAAAGGGAAGGGAAAATTACACCGGTAGGCAAATGTTTGCAATTGCCGCTGGCTCACCTGAAAAATGTTCCCATTGCCCCAGCGCATGGTGGGAGGTGGAGCAGAGGAGAGGAAGCGGCATTATACTCAAATCAGGCTGCTGGCGCGTCTAGCTAAATGTTGTTGTTGTTGTTTAGTCGTATCCGACTCTTCGTGACCCCCTGGACCAGAGCACGCCAGGCACTCCTGTCTTCCACTGCCTCTTGCAGTTTGGTCAAACTCATGCTGGTAGCTTCCAGAACACTGTCCCACCATCTCGTCCTCTGTCCTCCCCTTCTCCTTGTGCCCTCCATCTTTCCCAACATCAGGGTCTTTTCCAGGGAGTCTTCTCTTCTCCTGAGGCGGCCAAAGTCTTGGAGCCTCAGCTTCAGGATCCGTCCTTCCAGGGAGCACTCAGGGCTGATTTCCTTCCAAATGGAGAGGTTTGATCTTCTTGCAGTCCATGGGACTCTCAAGAGTCTCCTCCAGCACCAGAATTCAAAAGCATCCATTCTTCGGCGATCAGCCTTCTTTGTGGTCCAGCTCTCACTTCCATACATCACTACTGGGAAAACCATGGCTTTAACTATACGGTCCTTTGTTGGCAAGGTGATGTCTCTGCTTTTTAAGATGCTGTCTAGGTTTGTCATTGCTTTTCTCCCAAGAAGCAGGCGTCTTTTAATTTCGTGACTGTCTAGCTAAATATGGTCAGCACTGACCACCAGCAACAAAAGTTTGCCGGGGTTTCTGGCTGGGGACATTCTTGTCAGGCTTACGAGGAGCTGCCAAGGATTGAACCTGTGTCCTTTTTCTTCTTGCTGCTCTGGCCAGCCTGCTGCTCAAGGCTGCTCACCCCCCCCATGGAAACCCATGAAATATGTCCTCACCCCACTTGTGGGCTTTTCTCGCTCAGGCGCAAGGGCTCACAATGCACTGCCAAAGGCCGCCGCTTGGCCCCCTGGGCCTTGTATGGGGTGGGGGCGGGCCCTGCCAGCTGAAGCTGTGCTCTGGGGCACCCCCCCATATGCGCACTTGTAAAGTAAAGGTAAAGGGACCCCTGACCATTAGGTCCAGTCATGCCCGACTCTGGGGTTGCGGCGCTCATCTCGCTCTACTGGCCGAGGGAGCCGGCGTACAGCTTCCAGGTCATGTGGCCAGCATGACTAAGCCACTTCTGGTGAACCAGAGCAGAGCACAGGAACGCCGTTTACCTTCCCGCCGGAGTGGTACCTATTTATCTACTTGCACTTGGACGTGCTTTCGAACTGCTAGGTTGGCAGAAGCAGGGATCGAGTAACGGGAGCTCACCCCGTCACGGGGATTCGAACCGCCAACCTTCTGATCGGCAAGTCCTAGGCTCTGTGTGGTTTAACCCACAGCGCTACCTGCGTCCCATACATACTTGTAGGATGGGGCAAATGAGCCTTCCCACTGGTCAGATCCTGCCTGCTTCATAGAAATATGAATGGTTGGCTTCTCAGTGGCAAGGATTCCTGAAGCTTACTATATTTATCTGTTGCATTTATTATATCCCACCAGTTTCGGCCAGGAGCTCAAAGTGGCATACACCGTCCTCCCCCCCCATTTAATCCTTTCCTGTGAGGTGGGTTAGGCTGAGAGGCAAGGACTGGCCCCCACGCTCGACCAGTGAGCTTGGGGACTGAGTGGGTGGATTCAAACCCTGACCTTTCTCAAGTCACAGTCCAGCACTCTAACCACTACACCAGCTGACTGTTTCATCCTAAAAAAGCAACCTTGTGGCTACATCAACATCCTGTGGGGTAGCTTGGTGGGAGAGCATCTCTTTAGCACGCAATGGGGCGATTTTCACAGACCCCTATAGTTGGAAGGGACCCCGAGGGTCATCTAGTCCAACCCTGTGTAACTCAGGAATCTTTTGCCCGATGTGGGGCTCGAACCCACAACCCAGAGATGAAGAGCCTCATGCTCTACTGACTGAGCCATATGATTAACAACAAGAGTAATAATAATCAATTTGCATACCACCCTATTCCCACAGGTCACAGGGCGGTTCACAGGATAACACCACAATATAAAAACACAAAATAATCAAAACACAACATAATCAAAGCAAAACACAACATAATCAAAACAAAAACAACCCAGTAACCCTGAGGGTTCAATCCTCGCTGGCTTCCTCTCCAGGAAGAACTGAGGGAGAGTCTTGCCTGAAAAGCAGCCAGCCGAGAAGATGCTGTGCTGGCGTTTGTGTGTTATCACAAAGGGCCTTCCAGCAAAAAAACACCTTGTCCTCCGTCCTTTGCAGGTAAGTTGGAGCTGGCAGAGAGTCATGTGATGGATAGTGTGAAGCTCTTGGTCTGGAAAGTTGGGGGAAATGTAATTAACCAAATCTAATTATAACCCAGGAGGCGGCCAAATGAGGAGCAAGCCTTTCCCTTTGGCCTTATCTCGTATTATCTCCAATTCATAATTTGTTCCCTTGACCCAGTTAGCGTCTGACATGCAAAGTGATTTTTGTCAACTTGAGATCTGAACGCCAAAGCAAAAAACAACAACAACACCCCCAGCCCTTTATTTTCTGAATCCTGGACCTTTTGCTGCTTCTTGGCAATTTACAGTCACACTTTCCTGTTTTTTTAACATGCTTTTCGTAACAAAGGTCTTGGGGAGAGAGGGAAACTTGACTCTTAACCTTATATATTTTTCCTCCTGTGAAGCGAAAGCGCTTTTGGGTGAGGCAAATCAAGAGGGTTTCCCCGGCCCTGCCTGGAGTTCGAGGAAAGTATTGGTGTCTTTTTTAAAACAACAACAACAACTAGTTGACAACATTGAAACTTTTTTTTTTTAAAAAAAGACTGAACCGTGAAGTCTTGCACCTTTTCTCTCTCTCCCCAAAACATTTCCACATTAGCTGGCAGCTCTTGCCCCGGGTACAAAGCAAAATGTTTCCCTTCCTGATGACGCTTTTTGAACTTTAGCACTTGCAGAATGAGTGTGCATGTGTGTGTTTTTGTGTGTGGTACGGCATTTTACAGCAGCAGACTAGGGACTTTCTCATTTAGGGTCGAGGGAGAGACTGGCCTCAGAGAGCATGGCTTCTCAAAGGATTGTTCAAAAACCTAGCTGGGATTTTGTGAATTTTTGAGAACTGCTCAGTTGACCACAGATCTCTGCTACAATAACAGAATGGGACCTGCATTGCCGGGGTTGGACTAGATGACCTTTGGGTACCTTCCACCTCTTCACTTCTGCGATTCTATGGGTTGCTGTCTTGCACAGGCCAAAGATCTCTTGGTTTCTCCTCCTTTTCATAATCTAAAATCAAAAGATGCAGAGAAACAAAAGGGGAAACATCAACAAAGTCACAAATGACAGAGGGTATGTTTTCCAAATACAGTGGTACCTCGGGTTACATATGCTTCAGGTTACACACTCCGCTAACCTAGAAATAGTGCTTCAGGTTAAGAACTTTGCTTCAGGATAAGAACAGAAATCGGGCTCTGCGGCGCGGCGGCAGCAGGAGGCCCCCATTAGCTAAAGTGGTGCTTCAGGTTAAGAACAGTTTCAGGTTAAGAATGGACCTCCGGAACGAATTAAGTACTTAACCCGAGGTACCACTGTAGGCAGAGAAAAGTAAAAGCAGGAAAACAGATTCCAAAATTTCGTGATTGGGTGGGGGGGGAGGATATTGTATATATGAATCTGACACATCATAAATGAAATCCCACCGACCGTTGTAGAAACGTCCTGGTTCTTCCTTAGAAACACACAGTTTTTGGGTTCTTTCATCTACAATAGCCAGAGGATCTGCATCTTCCTCTCTTGCAACGAGAGATTTCAAGGTCTGCAGTGTCTTCCATTTCTGGGCCAAAGAAGTTCTTGCGGTGGGCAGCCTCCCTGGCGGAAGCTCCTTAGACGAAGTTACTGATCATCCTAGAGGCTTGACTGGCTTAGGGTTAACACTTGTTAACGTTCCTGGCAGTGCCTCTGAGAATGTGCAGAGTCCATTTCCGCACAACCGCGAAACCGCCACATGCGGGGAGCAGGGATAACGGGCCGGGCTTCTGGGTCACAATGTGGCCTCAGCGCCTCTTTCTGTGAGCAGCATCCGGGTGGAATTGTTCGCTCTGCAAAGGAGGTGTTCACTTCCTGCTGCACAAATAATTCCCATTTCCAAAGGCAGCACCAACCTGCCGGTGATTCACTCACGCTTCTCTCAGAGGCACCGAAACCAGGCCTGGCAGGGCTGGATGCGGCCTGGAACTCGGAGATGCCAGCGGGCTGACTCACCCTGCAAGAGATGGCTCACCCGGGACTGGAGATACCTGTTTTCCCAAGAAGGTTGCTGCCTTCCTCCTGGCTCTGTTGCTGCCCTTTTGTGGCTTGTTAGGGCAGGAGCTGCGGGGAATCAAGGGGGATTTTCTGCTTACGCTCATTCCCAGACTGGGCATTGCGTGGATCTGGGTCTCCCGAGACTGGCGGATCCAGTCCAGGAGCGCCTTTCAATTGCGCATTTAAGCGTGGAAAGGATTGCATTGTTTTGTTCTTGTTTCTTCCTGTGATGGTGATGTTGCTTGGGGCATGAATACTACTATTATTACGATTATAGCTATTTATAATTCAACCCTTTTCCTGCACCAGGGACTCAAGGCAGCTTGCGCAAAACTAGAAACAACATGGTTAAAATGCATAAAGCTAAATGCATAAAGTGGACGCGGGTGGCGCTGTGGGTTAAACCACAGAGCCTAGGACTTGCCGATCAGAAGGTCGGGGGTTCGAATCCCCGTGACGGGGTGAGCTCCCGTTGCTCGGTCCCTGCTCCTGCCAACCTAGCAGTTCGAAAGCACACCAGTGCAAGTAGATAAATAGGTACCACTCCGGCGGGAAGGTAAACGGCGTTTCCGTGCGCTGCTCTGGATCGCCAGAAGCGGCTTAGTCCTGCTGGCCACATGACCCGGAAGCTGTACGCCAGCGCCCTCAGCCAATAAAGCGAGATGAGCGCCACAACCCCAGAGTCGGTCACGACTGGACCTAATGGTCAGGGGTCCCTTTACCTTTAAATGCAGAAAGACAGGTTTCATTCATTTGTTTCGTGAAACCTCCACGTCGCTTGATTGTAAAAACAGGCAAACCTCAAAGCAGTTTACAAAAAGAGAAAACAGTAAAATCAAGAAAAACATACGATGCTTTACAACGTGCAGAAAATCAAATTAGAAAATAGAGAAAAGGCAATCATTAAAAGGTAAGGAGACACTCATAAAGTTAAAGCAATATAAGAAACAAATCTATTAAAATATAGCAAATAAAGCACCACAGCTTGTTAAAAGCCCTTTTCTCAAAAAGCTGTCAGTTCCTGGAGGCCTGTCGGAATAAAACTGTCCTCATGGTTCATGGTTAGAGGCCGCTGACTTGGTAGGGAGGCCAAAGGATGGAGGTCTGAGTTCAGGTCAAGGTGAACTTTTGGAATTCACAACCACAAAATGCAGCAGCGATGGCAGCTCTTAAAAAACACACACTCCAGAAGCATTTGACAGAATGAGGGCTGTCTTTTTGCAGATTCCTGTGGGTTCAGAGTTTCCTATGCATGAAAATGAGACTTCAAAGGCCCAAAGGGAAGAATTGAGGCAGGCTGAAAGCTTTCGTTTTCCCTCTGCTGACTGTCTTATGAGAATCTGGCGTTCTCTGAGCATGGACTGGAAATAAACATCTCCTGTTCCATCTGCCCCCAACCTGAGATCTCACTCGCGGCAGCGGCGAAAATATCGGCACGTCTGTGTCATTGGCAGGGCACGTGATTCTGGGAATGAGCTGGCCGTGTGTGATCTGGGGAGATCCATTCACCTCCCCTGCCAGAAAGAGACTGTGATGCTGGAGGCGGGTTGGGGAATCCCTGCGGCCTCCGCTTATATTCAGATCGACATGGCACAGATTAGACAGCCGTGTTTTTCTAAGCTGGCTGGGGCTGATGGGAGTTGTGGTCCAAAATGTCTGGAGGGCACCAGCTTGGCTGGAGCAGATATGCAAAATTGTTGTTGTTTAGTCGTTTAGTCGTGTCTGATTCTTCGTGACTCCATGGACCAGAGCATGCCAGGCACTCCTGTCTTCCACTGCCTCCCGCAGTTTGGTCAAACTCATGTTGGTAGCTTTGAGAACACTGTCCAACCATCTCATCCTCTGTCGTCCCCTTCTCCTTGTGCCCTCCATCTTTCCTATGCAATATTTTTCTTTACAGCATTGGACTTTCCTTTTGCTTCCAGGCATATCCGCACCTGAGCGACCTTTCGGCTTTGGCCCAGCTGCTTCATCAGCTCTGAATCTACTTGTACTTGTCCTCCGCTCTTCCTCAGTAGCATGTTGGACGCCTTCCGACCTGAGGGGCTCATCTTCCAGCGTCATAACTTTTATATGCCTGTTGTCTTTGTCCATGGAGTTTTCTTGGCAGGGATACTGGAGTGGCTTGCCGGTTCCTGCTCCAATTCAAAACACAGTGTGCATTACAAAGGTGGGCGGGGGGCGGGGAATCCCTGAATTCAAGAACTAAAGTATTTACCGTCTCAAAAGAATGGCCAAACTGGCCAGGCAATGCATTCAGTGACCATTATCAGGTGTCAAGGCACACGCCCAAATTTCCGTTACAGACGGCCTCTTTCTGTGATGTATGTATGCATGATGCTTTCTGGTGGTCTTTGGCTAAGGAGTTGGGCAGTTTCAAAAGTCTTCTTGCACGCCTTTGCTCTGGATCCTCGCCTCTAGGAACTCGGTTGCAACAGGAAAACAAACACCTTCCTCGCATTCACTGGATCATGCCCCCACTCAGTTTTCTCTGATAACGAACTTAGGAAGACACCGAATCCCTTCATGGAGAGTTGGGCTGCAAAAGCCAACTCCAAATTTTGCTATAACAGCCAGAGCCATCTTTCCCATAGGGCTTAGTGGTGCGTTGCGCCAGGGTGCAGGCCTCTCAGGGGGTCCCCAGCAAGTGGCTTCCCGGACCATCCATGGGCCAGATTGGGCCTTAGGTTACCTACCCCTGCTCTAAACGAAGGAGAAGCCCACTCCCTGCCGCTCTGTCACTAGTGGGGCAGGAGTTGGAAACTGATGAACCTGTCAAGGCCTTACGCAGACATTGAGCTCAGTATTCCCCACACAGGCGGGCTTTCCCAGATTTCAGATGGGGGATGTTTCCTGATCTACCTGACTGTGTTAACAGAAAAATCCGAGGGCTCCCTTGGACAAAAAAACAAAAGACACCAACCAGGATTACTTGGAGCAAAACAGCAGCCTGTAGGCTTGGCCTTTATTGATCTGTTGCAACAGGGTGCTCCCCTCACCTGCAGGAGAGAGGAGGGACCTAGAAAAATGGTGTGCAAGGCCTTATAAAGACTTTTGAAATTGCCGCCCTGTAGATCAAGACCACGCCCAGAAACATCATACATACATCACAGAAGGGGTGTAACCCAAGACCACCCCTCAGATACATCGCACCTACATCACAGAAAAGGCGGTCTAAAACAGAAATTTTAATATTGTTTTTCTCCTGTTGTTGTTTATCTCCTGCCTGGCAGGCTACTTGATTGGATTTCCTGGGTAGCCTGGCCAGTCTTTTGTAATGATAAATACTTACCGGTAGTTCCTGGGCCATGTCACAGGCTCACACCCTATTCAAACACAGACATACCCTTAAGACAGGATTTCTGAAGGAAAAGACAATGGGGAGGCTTGTCCATTTTGACCTTGCAGAGAAAAGATTTGCTCAGTTTAGGAGTCAAAATGGTTCCAGGTCGGTCTTCCTGTGCTGATCTGTGTACGTGCTTGGTTGGTACACTTATGAACATTACCATATATCTAAGACCATAAAATTCCTATCACAACTGCATCTAGGGCTTCCTGCAGGAAAACAGATGTTCTGCCACTGAGCTGTGGTCCTTCCCAAGGTACCACCGATGGATGATCTGGTTTGGGGGCCTGAGAGAGAGAAGAGGAGGGTTTGTGGGAGAGACCCAGAGGGCTCGATGACTGTCTCCAGCGTCGGCCCTCAGGGGGACTGGGATGGGCATGGAAATTGCAGGGTGCCGTGGGCGGATTAAGCGTTGGCATGAATTAAGACCTGCGAGCGGGATCTCTTAGGTTGCTGAGATGATCCTGGGATTCCCCCCTCAGGTGTGGATGTGTGCTACTGAAGCTAAAAATAGATCTTTCTGCCAGGTTGAGAGCTCCCAGGCTGCTTCCTGCTTTGAAAATGAAAGAAAGGAGTGTAGAATGGGCTCTCGTGGTGACTTCAGCGTGAGTTGTGCTTGCCTCCAGCCAGTGACTTGAGAATTAATGTGATTCAATTTGACAACCTGGTTTCTCTCTACCAACCCCTCCCCCGGGGCTCTGCCTCGTTTTGCAACAAAATCTGCTCCTTGCAAAAAAGATTAGCGGCCACCAGGAGCTACAGATCGCAGGACAATTTGGGGGAAGCTGTGACAGCTTAAATGCTAGGTAAAGGGACCCCTGACTGTCAGGTCCAGTCGTGGCCAACTCTGGCGTTGCAGCGCTCATCTTGCTTTATTGGCTGAGGGAGCCGGCGTACAGCTTCCGGGTCATGTGGCCAGCAGGACTAAGCCGCTTCTGGCGAACCAGAACAGCGCACGGAAATGCCGTTTACCTTCCCGCCGGAGCGGTACCTATTTATCTACTTGCACTTTGAGGTGCTTTCGGACTGCTAGGTTGGCAGGAGCAGGGACCGAGCAACGGGAGCTCACCCCGGTGCGGGGATTCAAACCGCCGACCATCTGATCGGCAAGTCCTAGGCTCTGTGGTTTAACCCACAGCGCCACCCGCGTCCCTACATAAAGTGCTATGAGGATGCTTTAAATGCCTGGTGCAGGCAGTTTCTCTGCCCCATTCCCAACTCTTGTGTTCTGCGACTTCTAACATGTGACTGTAAGAAGGGCCTGTGCTGGGTCAGGCCAAAGGGGACACCATATAGCCTGGAAACCTGTTTGCACAGTGGCTGATCTAGCATCCCGTTGTGGGAAGCCTGCAAACAGGATCTGAGCACAAGAGCTCTCTCTGCTCCAGCTGGGGAGCTAGTGACTTTGGGTAGCCCTCTCCTCCTCCAAGAATGCATCCCATCCTCTTTTAAAGCCTGGTGGTCCTCACTGCCTCCAGTGGGAGGGAGTTCCACATTCTAACTCTGCACTGCGTGAAGAAGTCCTTTCATTTTATCTGTCCCAAATCTTCCCCACATTCAGCTTCATGAGAGAGGAAGGAAAACCTTTCTCCATCTGCTTTCTATTGTTCTGCCTTTTACCTGCATTTTCTTCAAAGCGTCTGCCACCGTCCTTTCCTAGGGAAGTTGCATCCTTCCCTTCATCCTTTTGGTTGCACTTTTCTGAACCTTTGCCAGCTCTGCAAGATCCAGTCAACTGCAGCCAACCAGCGAAACTCCCATTGTTCCAGGCGCATTTTGCGACAGGGAATTTCATTAAAGCGAGCAGTTTCTGAGCTCTGGGTGCAGTTTTGAGCCTAAGATTTCAGATTAAAGCTGCCACGAAGGAAAGGAGACCTTTTTCTGCCTCCCCACTTCCAGCCACTCTCTGAAGACTGGAGAAGAGACCCTCTTAAGAATATTAGGGGGGTGGGCAGGGGAAGGACTAGACCATGTGAAAAATGAAAAGATTTTAGCTTCAGTTTGTTCATTTTCAGCTTTGTATTCTTCTTATAAAAAAGCACACCTGGACAGTCCGTTGTTGCGCCCATAACCTTGGTTTAAGGTGCCATTTGAGCAAGTTGCATCTTGGCTTGGCGTCTGGGAAAACCTGCTCCCTGCTTCCCGGCCTTTTCCCACCTGGCCTCTGAAGGCCCTGACTGACTCCAGTTGCAAAAGCTGAGGTTGCTGAACGGACTATTGCCACTGCTGTTATTGATATCCATGTTTGGTCTCTTTATTTTCGATCTTCTCAGGATTTATGTGGATTTCCCCCCAACTGGGTTGTGTACTTTTTGGATGTTCATATTATTTCCAACCGCTTTTGTCATGTTTGTGACGACGTCTCCTAGAATCCTAGAGTTGGAAGGGACTCCTAGAATCCTAGGGACGCGGGTGGTGCTGTGGGTTAAACCTCAGAGCCTAGGACTTGCCGATCAGAAGGTCGGCGGTTCGAATCCCCGCGACGGGGTGAGCCTTCGAAAGCACGTCAGAGTGCAAGTAGATAAATAGGTACCGCTCCGGCTGGAAGGTAAACGGCGCTTCCGTGCGCTGCTCTGGTTCGCCAGAAGCGGCTTAGTCCTGGTGGCCACATGACCCAGAAGCTGTACGCCGGCTTCCTCGGCCAATAAAGCGAGATGAGCGCCACAACCCCAGAGTCATCTGCAACAGGACCTAATGGACAGGGGTCCCTTTACCTTTACCTAGAATCTTAGAATTAATGTAGCGTTGGAAAGGACCCTGGGACCCTGAGAGTCTTCTAGTCCAACCCCCGTGATGCAGGGATCTCAACCTGACCATCCCAAAATTGTCAATTTTTTTCTATGTTGCAGGCTGCCAGTTGAGCATGGCTTTAGCTTTGGAAAGGTGGCACACAAACCGGGTGCATTGCGAGCCAAGTGGAGTGTGTGCATAGCTGTCAACGTTTCCCTTTTTTAAGGGAAATTCCCTTATTCCGAATAGGATTCCTCGCAAGAAAAGGGAAAAGTTGACAGCTATGATGTGTGTGTTTGGGTTCAGCTCTGCCCCGGCCTCCCCTTTGCTCCCATCCTGCGCAGCTTCCTTTGCGCAGCCGCTGCCTCCTTGCGTACAGGACGCGCGCGCAACGTCTCGCGCGCTCTCTCTCTGCTTTTGCTGTCATGGAAAAATCGGCCGCAAGATTCCCCCGTTGCCAGGCAACGCGATGGGATCAGCATCATCAGCACCAAATGCCCCGCCCTGCGCGGGAGGGGGCGGGGCGAGCAGGAGGCGGGAAGGGGGCGGGTTTGAGCTGGATCGGAGAGCATAAAAGGGCCCCGCGCGCAGCCCGGCCGCAGAGGACTATGCGGACGCTCCCTCTGGCGCACAAGCTGCGCGCACGTCTGGATGCGGCTGCGGGCCTCGCGGGGGCTATGAGAAAGCTGGACCGGAGCGCCTGCAGGGTGAGGCTTTTGCTCTGCAATTTTGGGGTTCAGGGAAGGTGGGGGTTGGAAAGCAAGGAGCTGCGTGCGGTGGAGCGCGCTCTGCACGTGCCCAGGGGGTAGCCTTTTATTAAATGCGCGTGGGTTTTTGTGTTGGAAAGCGCCTTGGGGTCTTCGGAGGGAGGCGAAATATCGTGTTTGCAAGCGGTTTTCACCAAGTTGCAGCCGCGCTTAGAGGCTCAGCTGCGCTGATGGCGGGGTCGCTCCGTCCCAGCGAAGTCTTAACTCAGAGGAACGCGCAGGATTTTACTGGGGCCGGTTTAAGTGCCAGGGATCTGGTTGGAGTCCGTCGTGCCGGTGCAGTTGGAGGAGTCTACTCGGAGTAGGGCTCAGCGCCGTGGCTCCGGCCAGGCAGGATCCTGGTTGCAAGTCTTCAGGGAGAGGTGGAGCATTCAAGCACCCCCTCCCGCCCCAATGTGAAGTGCAAGCGAAGAGTTTGGCCGGGGAGGGCGTAAAAAAAGTGTTATGTGTGTCCCCCACCCCCTCGACTCTCAGTGGTTCTCATTGGGGTCAGTCTCTCTAACCTACCTGAGGATAAAGTTGTTGTTGTTAGTTAGTTAGATTTATATACATCGTAAGATCTCAGGGCGGCTCACAGAATAAAAATGGAGAGTGCCACTTTGAGCTCCTTGAAGAAAAGGTGGAATAAAAATGTAAGGAGATTTTAATGCTGTGAATCTGTCTGCAGAACTTCTGCCACCTCTGTTGTCCATCCTTTAATAGTCACTGATGTTTTGGGGTGAGCCAAAATGTTGGCTGGGGGGGGGGACTGATCTTCCTACTGGAGCACGAACCTAGCAGGCCTCTGAACCTGAGCAGCACTACTACCTTCCTGGCATGCCTCGGTTTCCCCCGTGAGAAATGCATTGCTGACGTTTCCTCCACTGTAGGGGGCTGGACTAGATGTCCCTTGAGGTCCCTTCCCACTCTGCAGTTGTGGGATTCTGTGGGGTGGGAGGGAGGGAACAGGCTCTCCTCTCATCGCTGACTGTTTACAAAAGGCAGGTGGAAAACTTGGCATCAGCCGCTCAGGGCGCTGTGCCCGCAGGCCCGTGTCAACCAACCCAACCTGTCAGGGCAGGTGGAACGGCTGAGGTTTCTGCTGTTGCCATTTCCCATGAAGATCTCTCCCGTGCTTTCCCCCCCATCCTGCCTGGGGGGCAGTTGGAAGCAGATCTTGGAAAGACAGAGGGCAAAAGGGCAGCCTGGGCATGGAACAGGTTTGGGGGGGAGTGGCGAGGGTGGCAGGATGTGGCTGCCTCGCTTGCCTACCAAAGCTCACTTTTGCAAGAAGGTCCAAAGGCTTTGAACCCCAGCCAGATGGGCTGGGTATCAATAATAAAATTACTATCCTCATCATCATATTAACCTGGAAGCTGGAAACTTTTCCCCAAGTCCCAGTTGCGTGGGTTCCGACTAGATCCTTGGTGACAAAAGAGAAAGCACTCTGTATGCGCTCAGAAGCACCCTGTCCGTACGTGTCGTGATTTGAGCCCTGGAACCTTCTGAAAAAGGAAGTTACGGAGCTGGAAGAGGGTCAGCTCAAGGGAACCAAAATGATAGAGAGGATGCAGCAACATTTGGAGCTGTTTAGCTGAGAGAAAGAGCAAGTCAGAGGAGGAAAGAGAAGTGGAAAAATTAGTCATGGCCTGGAGAAAGTGGACAGAGTCCGTCGTAACAAGAGGACTTGTGGGCATCCAGTGGATGCTGGAAGATTCAGGACAGCTCAAAGGAAGGCGTTCCTTTGTTGTTGTTGTTTAGTCATTTAGTCATGTCCGATTCTTCGTGAGCCCCTGGACCAGAGCATGCCAGGCACTCCTGTCTTCCACTGCCTCCCGCAGTTTGGTCAAACTCATGCTGGTAGCTTCAAGAACACTATCCAACCATCTCGTCCTCTGTCGTCCCCTTCTCCTTGTGCCCTCCATCTTTCCCAACATCAGGGTCTTTTCCAGGGAGTCTTCTCTTCTCATGAGGTGGCCAAAGTATTGGAGCCTCAGCTTCAGGATCTGTCCTTCCAGTGAGCACTCAGGGCTGATTTCCTTCAGAATGGAGAGGTTGGATCTTCTTGCAGTCCATGGGACTCTCAAGAGTCTCCTCCAGCACCAGAATTCAAAAGCATCCATTCTTCTGCGAACAGCCTTCTTGATGGTCCAGCTCTCACTTCCATACATCACTACTGGGAAAACCATGGCTTTAACTATACGGACCTTAGGCAGCGCAAAGGTAAACTGTGGAACTCCCTAACACAGGAGATAGGGGATTGGACAAATTCATGGATAATTATGGGACACAGCTCTCAGTTGCTACCACCCACAATGGCTGTGTGTGTCATCCACTGCCAGAGGCGGAAAATGCCTCTGATCACCAGTTGCTGGACAGCAGAAATGTTGTGCTCAGGTCCTGCTTCTTACTGGGGCATCTGGGTGGCCACTGTGGGAACAGGAGGCTGGACTGGATGAGACCTTGGCCTGATCCGGCAGCCAGGCTGCTCTTAGGCTCCTGTGGAACCTCCAGGTCCAGAGGCAGTCTATCTAGAGTCCTAGTTTATTTGGGGGTATTTGGCCCCTGTGGCAATAATAATAATAATAAATTTTTATTTATACCCCGCCCTTCCCGGTTCAAAAACCGGGCTCAGGGCGGCTAACAACAAATTTAAAACACTTTAAAACACTTAATTATAAAAACAGCATAAAATACAGTATAAAAACATGAATGACAATGAAATTCAAAAATCAATTTAGGGGAATTTAGAGGATTTAGATAATCCCCAGGGCTAGCTGGCTGAATTGGTCCTACTTGGGCCAGCGAGGAGGCCAGGGGAGAATTAGCTGTGGGGTCTCAGAGCGGGTGATCTTCATAAAAGGGGAAGGGGAGGGAAGAGAAGGGAAATAAAAGGTCAGGCTGAATTCAAATTAAAGGTCAGGCAGAATAGCTCTGTCTTACAGGCCCTGTGGAAGGAGATCAAGTCCTGCAGGGCCCTGGTCTCATGGGACAGAGCATTCCACCAGGTCGGAGCCATCACTGAGAAGGCCCTGGCCCCGGCGGAGGATAGTGTGACTTCCTTAGGGCCCAGGACCTCTAAACTGTGGTTATTCATGGACCTTAAGGTCCTCTGCGGGGCAGACCAGGAGAGGCGGTCCTGGAGATACGAGGGCCCTAAGCCACAAAGGGTGCTGGACTAGATGGGGCCCCCGTTGGTCTCATCCAGCAGCCGAGCTCTTCTGATATTCTTGCCTTCAGATCCCCGAGGAAAACCAGCAACAGAGCAGAGCCATCCTGGCTAGGAGCTGCCTCCAGCTCCTTGTACTCCATGAATTTGCCCAATCCTAGTTCACACAGGATGGTAGAGTTGGAAGGGACCCTTAGGGGTCATCTAGTCCAACCCCCTGCTTCAGTACCTCCGGAGGTTCGAAGCCACCCAGGTTGGTAGCCGTCACTGCCCTCCTGAAGGAGCGAGTTCCATAGCTGAACTGTACGCTCTAGGCGATTTGCACTACGGTTCCCATGGATGGGAGTTGTAGTCCAAAGTGTCTGGCGGGTGCCGGATTGAAGACGATGGCAGAAGGGCATGGCGGAGGGGAGGAATTGTGGCTGAGCATGTGAGTTATTGGCTTGGTTTTGTATTTTCATTTTTTATTTTTCTGTTGTGAAACTACCCTGGTATGTTCGGAAGAAGGGCAGTAAACAGATTTTAATAACAATAATAATAATAAATCAATGGTGGTTCCCTAGCTCAGGAGTTGGAGCCAAGACCCCTGGCCCTCTCTCCCTTGGCCCCTTCTTATAAACTCGGCAGTGGCTCAGCCCTGCCAATTTCAAAGTGAGGAAAACCAAGGGTGCTTCTGAGCATATGGAGAGTGCCACTCACTGCCATCCCAAGCAAGTCTTCCTTGTCTCACCTGGGCAATAAATAAGGCTTGGCCCTTTGGCAGGTGTCAACTCCCCCCCCCCGGCAGTTGTTTGCTTTTCAGCTGTGGCAAATTGAGCAACCCCCCCCTTGCTGCCTCCTGCTCACAGTGGAAACTCTGTCATGCTGTGGTTAGCGATGTGGGAGGAAGAGGGAGGTTTTTCCGCTGAGCTGAGGTGCAACTGGATGGACCCAGATCACAGCAGATCTCTGCTTGTGAGCTGGGGTGGGGTGGGGGGGACGAAAGTAGGAGCGCCGTGGCCTGCCTCGGGTGGGGGCTGTGAGTGAAGAAGGGTCCCCTTGAGTCATCTAGTCCACCCCCTGCAAAAGAAGCAGGGCCCCTTCAGTGGTGGCCTCCATGCTTTGTGCAAGATGCCTATACCAGCCCCTTTCGGCTTTTTGCAGCTTCAATCAGGCCACCCCCCCCCTTGGTTCTATAAACTCACCCCCTGTGAGCCCTTCCTGACCCTATGGAAAGCATTGTTCAGAACAGCGATTTGCATGGGCTTCTTAGGAAGATAAGAACGCCATAAAATCCAAAACAAAACGGTGACGATTCATTGCGCATGTATTCAAAATCCAGTTAAAACTATTTGGCTCAATTACTTGGGTTGTTACGTATTTTGTGTTTTCGTTTTGTTCTTTATGACGTGAACCACCCTGTGATCTTTGGATGTATGCAAATTTAATTTTTTTAAAAACTGAGAACCCCCAGGGAATCTCATTCCACCCTGGGGTGGGTGGGGTTTGCCACTGCCCACTTTGAGATCCACTGAAGGTGGGGGGTTCAATCTCTGCTGGCGTCTCTTAGCCAGGCTGGGGAAGAAGACCAGCTGAGATTCCTGCCCTGCAAGGGGTTGGGCTAGATGATCCTTGGGATCCCTTCCAGCTCGACATTCCTGTGATTTTATGACCGCTGGAGAGCCACAGCCTGGCTGCATGGACAATACTGTTGTTGTTGTTTAGTCGTTTAGTTGTGTCCGACTCTTCGTGACCCCCTGGACCAGAGCACGCCAGGCACTCCTGTCTTCCACTGCCTCCCGCAGTTTGGTCAAACTCATGCTGGTCACTTCGAGAACACAGGCTTGGAAGGGAGCCCCAGGGGACATCTAGTCTAAGCCCCCGCAAGGCACAAATGCATCCAGGACAGATGGAGAGGTCAGCCCCATGGGTGGGGGGGCTGTGGAAAAAAAAAAGGCAAATTCCACGCTGGGGATCCTCGGAAAGGAATTGGGAATAAAACGGATACTGCTGTACAAATCTCTGCCGCGACGGCATTGGCAGTCCTGTGCCCGGTTCTGGGTGCCTCGTCTCATAACGGAGATTGAAGAGCTGGAAAATGTTTCGAAAAGGGCAGCCCATATGTTCAAGGAAGGAAGGGAAGGAGTCGCTGTGGCAGCATTTGGGACTTTGTAGTTTGGAGAAGAGCTAAAAGGCAAAAGGTTTCTCAGAATATGGCTGGGGGGAGGGCATTGTTGTTTAGTCATTTAGTTGTGTCCGACTCTTTGTGACCCCCTGGACCAGAGCACGCCAGGCACTCCTGTCTTCCACTGACTCCCACAGTTTGGTCAAGCTCATGCTGGTAACTTCAAGAACACTGTCCCACCATCTCGTCCTCTGTCCTCCCCTTCTCCTTGTGCCCTCCATCTTTCCCAACATCAGGGTCTTTTCCAGGGAGTCTTCTCTTCTCATGAGGTGGCCAAAGTCTTGGAGCCTCAGCTTCAGGATCTGTCCTTCCAGTGAGCACTCAGGGCTGATTTCCTTCAGAATGGATCGGTTTGATCTTCTTGCAGACCATGGGACTCTCAAGAGTCTCCTCCAGCACCAGAATTAAAAAGCATCCATTCTTCAGTGATCAGCTTTCTTAATGGTCCAGCTCTCACTTCCATACATCAATACTGAGCTTGGGACAATTTCCCCAACTAATTTAGCAATGACTCCTCTGCAGGCTGTGTGTGTGTGTGTGTGTGTGTGTGTGTGTGTGTGTGTCCGTCCCGTGAATTCCAGTTCTGCTTTTGGAAATATGGGGTCTAATTGGGTTTCAAAAATAAATGGGAGAACGCAGGCAGGGTAGGCCGGCTGTGGGCTGGATTCAGCCCCCGAAGCAGCCTGATCTGGCCTTTCTTCCATTTTTTTTTATTAATTTTCCACATTTATAACAAATATAACATATAAAACACACAAAACAAAACACATCACAATACTAAAAAATAAAAACACACATATTCCTTCTTATATTCATTTTCAATTCCATTGTTAAGTGACTTCTTCAAATCCCCCCTAACTGAATTTCGTTATATCACCCTGTAACAGTTCTCCCAAACATCTTTCTAAATAATTAGTTCCTTCAATTAACTATATTCAACTCTTTTCTTATTGTCTAAAATCCATATTACTATGCCACATTCTTATTGTTATCCTAGGCCTGTTTAGTACTTTCAAGAACCTTCTCAATTATCTTATATTACAATATTTAGCTAAATAGTCTTTAAATTTCATCCAGTCTTCTTGGTATTCCTCCTCTTTCTGCTCGCGGATTCTTCCAGTCAGGTCAGCCAGCTCCAGAAACTCCAACACCTTCATCTGCCGTTCTTCTACCGTTGGTATTTCTTGAGATTTCCAATTTTTTGCTAATAGCGGTCTGATCTGGCCTTTCTTCACAGACAGCTTCCGCCGTGGCCACCACTGTCTTAGTTCTGATGATTGTAGGCCCCTCAGGGCAGAGACCTCCATCTCAACTTTGTTTTGTACATTGCACACAGACTGCGCTGGAGAAATAAATGCCGGTTTATTTGGTGGAGGTGTGGCCGCATTCTGCTTGCGGCTCTGCTTATCTGGCTGCCCCAGCTGCGTCCATCTCAACCTGCCAGACCCACCACCTTCCCTCAAAGCGGGGTGGGGTGGATTTGGGGAAGAGGAGATGGATCCCAAGATGCAAAGTTCCCTGTCTTTCTCTTTTCGCTTCTTCTTATATATGTATTTTTAAAATATGAGCTCTCTTGGGAGCTTGTGGACTCCCTTGGAAGTTTTTAAGCAGAGGTTGGGTGTCCACGTATCCTGGATGCTTTAGTGGGGATCCCTAGATTGCAGGGGGTTGGACTAGAGCACCTTTGGGGGTCCCTTCCAGGTCTATGATTCTATGAAAAACTACTCTCCTCCCGGGGGCTTCTAAAGACCTGTAATTTGGATGCCTGTTTGGCTGTTTGGAGAAGAGTGTAATGGGTGAAATTCCTCCTTTCCTGTAAGATTAAGGTGGATTTGACAGAATTTATTTCCTGCCACTAAACTGAGGCATCATACATAAACTCTGGGGGGATAATAATAATAATAATAATAATAATAATAATAATAATAATTTATACCCCGCCCATCTGGCTGGGTTTCCTCAGCCACTCTGGGCGGCTTCCAACAAAATATTAAAATACAATGGTCTGTTAAACATTAAAAGCTTCCCTAAACAGGGCTGCCTTCAGATGTCTTCTAAAAGTCTGGTAGTTGTTGTTGTTCTCTTTGACATCTTGTGGGAGGGTGTTCCACAGGGCGGGTGCCACCACCGAGAAGGCCCTCTGGCTGGTTCCCTGTAACATGGCTTCTCACAGCCAGCGAACTGCCAGAAGGCCTTCAGAGGAGGACCTCAGTGTCCTGGTAGAACGATGTGGGTGGAGACGCTCCTTCAGGTATAAATAAAGAAATAATAAAAGGTAGACCCCCAGGTCCAAAATGAGCTGGACATCTGCACTATCCAGCAGATTTTTCTCCTCTTTGTGTAGAATTATAGAATTGTAGTGTTAGAAGGGAACCCCAGGGGTCATCTAGTCCAACCCGCTGCAATGCATGTATTGCAGCTACAGAATCCCGGGCGGATGGCCAGCCAACCTCTGCTTAAACACCTCCAGTGAAGGACTGGGGACTCGGAGCAGCTGTTTCTGTAGTGGGTGAGAGCCTGCCTGAGTTTTGCACACTCCACTATGCCGTGGCATCTGCTTAAGCAGAACAGAGCGTGATGGAGTAGAGTGTTTTGCCTGGCGTTTCAGATACAAAATTCTTGCTCTTGACCAAGTGGAAAGGGTCACAGTTCTTCCCCCCCACCCTTTGATTGCCCCCAAAGGGCCCCAATTCTCCTAAGGCTCATGGTGTGTTTCCTTTTGTCTGCAGAACAAGCCCTGGAAGAAGCTGAGGAACATGGTGCAATGGTCGCCTTGTGTGGTTTCTTTCCGCAAGCGCTACCCCTGGGTCCAGCTGGCCGGCCATGCAGGTAACTCTGGGGTTGGAGGGGAGGAGGCTGGTTGGGGTGGGGGTGGGGTCCTGCAGGGGGGGGGAGCATGTGTACAATTGTGGCCGGGTCTCCAGGCAGACCTTGGAATCTGGGGGGGGGGGGGGGAGGAAGAAAGGCAGGGGATCCCCTCTGGAGACGCCTCCCCCCGACAAGTTAGGAACCCTCAAAAGGTTCCTAAGCACTAGAAATCATGGGTAATGCTGGCAGGCTCAGGAAAGCCCTTCCTTGTGAACCTGCGGAACTCCCTGTGGCAGGAGGCAAGCGATGGATACAGACTTGGAGGGCATGATATTTATTTATTTATTTATTTATTTATTTATTTATTTATTCATTCCCTGCCCATCTGGCTGGGTTTCCACAGCCACTCTGAGCTCTGGGCGGCTTCCAACAAAACACTAAAATACAATAACCTATTAAACATTAAAAGCTTCCCTGTAGTCCTCTAGTCCAGACCCCAGCAATGCAGGAAAACGCAGCCATCCCTGCCTCTTGTGGCAGTGGGTTCCATAGCTCGCCCGCCTTTCCTCCAAACTAGAAAAGCCCAAAATGCTGCGATTTTTCTTCTTGCTCCACCCCCACCATAATTTCAGTTGCCCTTTTCTGAACTCTGCAATATCCTTCTGGGTGGGGGGAGGGGAGGTGACCAGGACTGGACATGGGATCCCAGATGCAGCTGCACATTTGCATTGGGACACCAGCTTTCAATATAATAAGAATAACCACCACCACCACCACCACAACAACATATTATTTATACAACAACAAGAACAACAACATATTATTTATACCCCGTCCATCTGGCTGGGTTTCCCCAGACACTCTGGGCGTCTTCCAACAGAACACTAAAATACAATAACCTATTAAACATTAAAAGCTTCCCTAAGCAGGGCTGCCTTCAGATGTCTTCTAAAAGTCTGGTAGTTGTTTATCTCTTTGACATCTGGTGGGAGGGTGTTTCACAGGGCGGGTGCCACCACCGAGAAGGCCCTCTGCCTGGTTCCCTGTAACTTGGCTTCTCGCAATGAGGGAACTGCCAGAAGGCCCTCAGAGCTAGACCTCTGTGTCCAGGCAGAACGATGGGGGTGGAGACGCTCCTTCAGGTATACTGGACCGAGGCCGTTTCCTTTCCCAATGCTTTTCTGGCGGCCGCTGCAAGCGCCAGGGGTTGCGCTTTGCCCCGAGGGCAGCATCTCCTGCCCCCTCACCAACTCTTCTTGATACCTTGTCTCTTCTCCCCCGCAGGCAACTTCAGGGCCGGGGATTTTGGCCGCATCCTGAAGAAGTACTGCCCCAGCGAGCAGCAATGCCTGGAGCGCCTGGTGTGCGACGCGCTGCAGCCCTACGTCCCGGCTTATTATGGGGTGGTGGAGCGCGATGGGGAGACCTACATCCAGATGGAGGACCTGCTGTCCGGCTTTGACGCGCCTTCCATCATGGACTGCAAGATGGGAGTCAGGTGAGCCCTTCAAGCCACCTGGGGGAGGGGATACCAGGAGGTCATCCAGCCTGACCCCGAGCCAGAGGAGCAGCGTCAAGATGGGCGCCTGACCTTGTGCTTCTCTTCTCTCCCCCTGGCGCAGGACGTACCTCGAGGAGGAGCTGGAGAAGGCGAGGCAGCAGCCTTGTCCGCGCAGAGACATGTATGACAAGATGGTGGCCGTGGACCCGGCGGCTCCCACGGCGGAAGAGCATGCACAGAGCGCCGTCCTGAAGCCCCGCTACATGCAGTGGAGGGAGACTCTCAGCTCCACCACCACGCTTGGCTTTCGCATCGAAGGCATCAAGGTGAGCGACCGCAGCAGGGAGGGGCACTCTTTTTTAAAAAAAATATATCGTCTTTATTGATTTAAAGTACAATCATACATTACAACGGAATAAACACGAGAATGAAAGAGAAAAGGAAAAAAAGAAAGAAAAGCAAACAAAAAAAGAATTATCAATAACAAAAAGAATCAGTTAAAAAGCCAATCATTTACACAGCATCATAAAGTCTTCTGAGAAAAACTTCCAGTCGTTTTCATTGTACTTTTTATTTTGTCTTCGTTTTATTGCACAGTTTATTTTATGCCTTTTTCTATATATTCCTCTAAAATGTTTATTATACACAAGCATCATTCAATTATGGGATGCGGGTGGCACTGTGGGTTAAACCACAGAGCCTAGGACTTGCTGATCAGAAGGTCGGCGGTTCGAATCCCCGCGACGGGGTGAGCTCCCGTTGCTCGGTCCCTGCTTCTGCCACCCTAGCAGTTTGAAAGCATGTCAAAGTGCAAGTAGATAAATAGGTACCGCTCTGGCGGGAAGGTAAACGGCGTTTCTGTGCGCTGCTCTGGTTCGCCAGAAGCGGCTTAGTCCTGCTGGCCACATGACCTGGAAGCTGTACGCCGGCTCCCTCAACCAATAAAGCGAGATGAGCGCCGCAACTCCAGAGCTGGCCACGACTGGAACTAATGGTCAGGGGTCCCTTTACCTTTACCTTTTTATCATTCAGTTCTGCTAGAATATCATTTTTACAATATGCTCCTTGAATAATTGCCATTTTCTGTATATTTTTTGATTCGGGGCTCCCGTGACTTTTCCAGTCAGCTTTGCTAATTGAAAATACTCGATCACGAGTGTTTGCCAATCTATTATTATTGTTGTTCGTGTTGGTTCACTTCTGGCTACGAGTATTCTTGAGTTAGGGAGAGCTGGGGGCCTGCCTGGGGCATCTAGTTGGCCCCTGTGAGAAGAGATGGCCAGACTAGATGGGCCCCCTTTGGCCTAGTCCAGCAGCCAGGCTCTTCTTATGGTCTTACAGAGCCTCCAGCTCCAGGAGCAGTCTATCACGATTCATAGGTTCTTATGGGGATCTGTCCACTGTGAGGACAGGATCCAGCGGCCTCTTCTTACGCTCTTATGACTGTGACGGGGGGGAAGTCCAGTTTCTGAAGCTGCCAGGGCTATTCTTCGTACTAATGCACCAACCTTTGCATTTGAATAAATTCAGCCCCCAAACAAACCAGGCACAGCTTTGTCCTCACAGCCTCTAAAAAATTATTTCTCCATGGCCACCGGGAAAGCACAGAGGTGGAGCCTCTAAGTTAATGTTTTAATGTTGTATTTTAATCTTGTTTTTAAGTTGTATTTCAATCAATTTGTTTTTATATCGGGTGTTAGCTGCCCTGAGCCCGGTCTAGGCTTGGGAGAGCCGGGAATAAATTAAATTTATTATTATTATTAGTCCCTTTGGCTCTGCTCATCGTTGGATCCTGGAGACGCAGCGCTGGCTTTTAAGGCTGCCTCGTTTCCTGATAGTCTGACATTGTTTCTCTCTTTGTCTTTTCAAGAAAGCGGACGGCACCTGCAACACCAGTTTCAAGAAGACTCGCCAACCGGAGCAGGTGACGCAGGCCTTCTGGGACTTTGTGGACGGAGACAGGAGAGTCCTGGTGAGGGTCCGGATTCTGCCCCGGGGCACTAAGCCCTTTGCAGGGAGGGGGGCCCATTTGACACTTTCCACGCTTTTCCTTGACATGCCGCTTTTGAGATTTCCGTGGCCCCCTGCCCACTTTTGGTTTAGGTTTTTAAACCTTTTTGTAAAAGCAGCACTAGAATTTTCACAGATGAGTCTTCAACCCCTTATTATTGTGCTTCTTCAAATCTGGCTTTCTTTAAAACTTGCTATTTAGGTTTTCAAACTTTTTTTGTAAATTCAGTATTAGAAACTGTACTTTTGAGTCTTCAATCCTTTATTACTGCGCTTTGCTTCTGCCTGGATTATAATACGTCAGAATTTTTGGGGTTCTACCCTTGTTTGAATTTTGCTCATTTAAAGTTTATGATTTTTCTGTTTCCTTCTGAGGAAACTGAATAGTTCAGTGAAACGAGGTTTGTAGCCGGCATCCCGTTAAGGCTTTGTTTTATTTTAGGGTTTTCTAATTTTTTCCCTTACGCTTTTTGATTTTTTATTATTTAGTTGATTTCCACAAGGTAATATTTCTAGTCGATTACTTCTCGTTTCAGGGATTTTCAGTATTTCATTTGTTTTGTGCACTTTTGGGAAAATGCAGCCCATCTCCTCCAGGGTTTCCCTGGCACCTGCCCCAGTCGTGGCTCTGGGAAGGCCGTAGAATTTGGGAAGGGCTTATCGTATATCCTCTCAGGTCTCTCCTCCTTCTTTCCCCAGACAAGCTACCTGGAGCGGCTTCAGGAAGTCAGGATGGCGCTCGAACAGTCCGAGTTCTTCAAGACGCACGAGGTGGGTCTCTTTCCGTGGAATGAGGTGGGGACTTCTGAGGGCATCTGGTGGCTGCTGCAGGGTCTTGGGTCCTTGACTTTGGGGGCCCTGCCTCTCATTCCCTCGCCACACTCAGGGTACTTTTTCATCTCATTTTGGCTTTCCGTTTGCATGGTGCCTTTCTAAGGTAAAAGGCGGTTTGCAAGCTCAAGAAACGGCAGGATGCACAAGGAAGATGGCACATCAATCTGATCCAATGCCAACAAGCCTTAATCTAAAAGCAAAGGCTTAAATGGATCCCAATCCATTAGGAGAGTACGCAGTAAAATTAACTTTCAGGATCTGGATAGTTAGCCTTGGTGAAGACTTGACGTTTTCATTCCCCCAAAAAGTTTTTGAGTTTCTGCTGAAATGAGGCTGCATTTTAATGTTGTATTTTAATCTTGTTTTTTAAGTTTTATTTCAATCAAATGTTTTATATCTGGTGTTAGCCGCCCTGAGCCCAGTTTTGGGGAGGGCGGGGTATTTTCCACACCACAACAACAACAAAAAAGCAAAAAATAACAATACACAAAACACAAAAACAAGCATATATAAAAAACAAATCCAAATCTTACAAATTAACAATATAAACACTAAAAAGGAAAACAAACATTGACTTCCAACAATCCCACAGCACCTCCTTTACATCTCATTGTATCTTCCTGTTTTCCTGTTCATCTCTATCCTAACATCTAGATATAAATCCTTCTTTCTGATCCTTTCACTTCACAAGGTTATTCCAAACTCAGCCAGATTTCTATCCTCGAACCTTGGCTTTTAAGGTATTCATTTAGGCACTCCCATTCCTTTTTCACTTCACTTTTTGGTTTTCGTCTTATTGTATCTGTAAATTTGGCTAATTCTAAATATACTGAAAGCTTACATAACCATTCTCCCCTAGTGGGAAACTGATTCCCTTATTTCATGAAATCTATGCACCGCTTGATTGTACCCTTCAAAGTGGTTTCCAAAAAACTAAAAGCAAGAAAAAATTGCAACTCTCTTTAAAAAAACGCAGTTACAATAAAAAAAGATGTGAAGAAGAAGAAGAGGAGTTTGGATTTGATATCCCGCCTTTCACTCCCCTTCAGGAGTCTCAAAGCGGCTAACATTCTCCTTTCCCTTCCTCCCCCACAACAAACACTCTGTGAGGTGAGTGGGGCTGAGAGACTTCAGAGAAGTGTGACTGGCCCAAGGTCACCCAGCAGCTGCATGTGGAGGAGCGGAGACACGAACCTGGTTCCCCAGATTACGAGACTACCGCTCTTAACCACTACACCACACTGGCTCTCCAGTGAGATTCACACCAGGAATTTCTAAGCGTCTGTGTAGAAGGGTTGGCCAATATCTGCTTTTCATCATCGCAATATCTCGCCAGCAAAACATTGCAATATACCAGTATGTCACAATACTGGTAGGCATAGCTGTCAACCGTCCCTTATTTGGCGGGACAGTCCCTTATCCCAGCGCCATGTTCCGCTGCTATCCCTTATTGATGATGTCCCTTAAATTTCCCGGGTTTCAAAGGAAGCAGTTCCTCTCCCTCCCTCCCTGCCGGCCAGGGAGGAGGGAGGCTCCAACTGTGTTGCTTGGCTGCGTTGCTCACCCAATAAGGAGTCTGAGAACGACTGGGGGGTGGAGCTTGCATGCCTTGTGCCAATCAAATCGGCCGTGTTGCCTGGGGACTCGCCTTTGCTCAGCGCTTCCCAGCAGAGAGGTGACGGTGGTTTTCCTTGAGGCTTCATTTGGCTCCTGGCTGGGCTTTCTGCCTTTGGCTCGGAGGGGCTCAGAAGTTGAACATACCTGTGCCCGGAAAATCCCTTATTTTGGCTGCTGGTCCCTTATTTTCAAATCTGTAAGTTGACAGCTATGATGTTAGGCTTGCCGAAGCAAGGGTGCTTTTAGCACAGCCATTCATGTTCTCTTCCTTTCTCTCTCCCAGGTGGTGGGCAGCTCTCTTCTCTTCATCCACGACCAGACGGGTCTGGCGCGGGTGTGGATGATCGACTTTGGCAAGACGGTGCCGCTGCCCGAGAAGCAGACCTTGACTCACCGCCTGCCCTGGCAGGAAGGCAACCGCGAGGACGGATACCTCTGGGGCCTCGACAACCTCATCGCCATCTTGGAGAGGATGTTGGGGGAGTGAGCCAAGAAGATGCAGCCGGAGCGTCGAGACGGGGGGCCGTCTTGGCCCCCGGGACTCTGCCGTTTAATTTATTCAGCCAGATATGCTACTGGAACCAGGGGGATACAGAGCCTGGAAGAGCACCAGGGGCCTTTCGGAAGGGGCCAGCTGGTTTTTGCACCGCTAAGTTTATTTATTGGCGTGACGGACGTGGTGGAAACCCCCCCCAACTGCTGTCCTGCACGTGGTGGACAGTAAAGACTTCCGTGGGCCAAGACACTGCTCACCAGGGGCGTTGGGACTGAGTTTGGGGACGTGGGATTATTGGGGTGCCCGGTTTAGGGTAAAGACTTTGAACCCACAGTGCTGGCCGTGCCCATTTCCCAAATGTTGGGAGAGACTGGAAAGCGGGGGGGGGGGGGGCTTGGGGGCGGGGCTTGCCTCTGCTCCTCCCTCAAATAAGCCCCACCCACACCTGAGCCACAGCCTGGGGGTTTCGGTTAAGCGAAATACTTGCGTTTCTCTTCAGGGTTTGGGGAGTAAAGAGAAACTTGTGTCTTCCCTCTGCTTTGACCGTTAACTTTCCTGGCGCCCAGATAACTTAACTCTTCCCAAGGCAAACAGTTTGCCAAGCAGTTTGTTGCTTTTACAACCTGATGCACCAAAGGGCTTGTGTGGGGGGGGGGAAGCTTCCCCAATTGTTGCAGAAATAAATGGTGGAGTTCCACTGCCCCCCAAATTGCTTTGCCAGGGTCAGGCTGCCTATTTTTTGGGTGCTGAATTTGGGTTAGTTTTAACAAGCAGAAACCAGCGGGTAGGATCTCCCTGGGTGTGTTTGTGTGTGTGGTTTTATGGTGGTTGGGAGGGAGGGGACTGTGGCTCTCCTTCGTCCCGCCAGAGAAGCCAGAATTTGAATGTATGTGTTTCTGTAAATTTTTATATGTAAAAAAGTTTTTCTTTTTTTAAGGGACATAAAGAACTACAAGTGATGTGCTGTTGCATCTTAGCTTTATTTCAAGGTTGCATAATGAGAGAGAATGAATGAATGAATCTTCAGAAGATTCTGGCTTAGCCTTTACCAAAGTGTTGATTGTTTAGGGGTGTTAATGGAGAAATCTGAGGGCTCCCTCAGGAATACCAGAGCAAAACAGCAGCCAGGAGGCTTGGTCTTTATTGAAGACTGTCGTGACAGGACTCCCACCTGCCACCAGGTGGAACAAGATGGAAGCCCTGAACAAAAGAAGACACCAACTTTTATTAGCTACTAATCCCCCATGCGACACCCCCAAGACTACATCATAACTACATCACAAAGAGGAGGGGTTGAGGAAGGAGTTGTGGTGGTAACCTGAGTGTCTTGTCACCTGGCCAGTTCCACCTTTCCCCCTCCCCATGAGTACTTTCCAGGTGACAAAGGGGAGTTTGCAGTTCCCTGCCCCCAGAGGGAAGAGCTGATCATTGTCCCTTGTTCCAGTCCATGCTGAATCCACTCCCATATGCAGTGTTGTAAACAAAAATATGCCCTTTTCCCTTATGGGGTATCCAAGAGCCCATATAGAGTCCTTACATAGGTTCCCTATTGGTAGGAGAAAATAACAGAGGCCAAGCAGAGAATATTGAGAAGCAAAGCAGCTAGTAAGTCTGATCAGGTCCTTTGAGAGTGTGATGGTCTTCTGTCTAGGACCATCAAGGTTGGCATTCCAACTGGGCAGTGTTGGTACGCTTGAGAAATTATGGCTGCCCTGTATCAAACCTTCCCCAATTTGTAGTCCTTCCTTCATGGAGTAATATAAAAGTGGAACGGTGCAGATCCGATGTATGGTTGATTTTCTATGAATTTATAACAGAAGCATCGCGTATGTCATGTGTGAGTAACTTTGTACAAACTGAATGATTGGGGGGGGGGGTTTCCTGCAACAGGGGGGACCATGTTCCTCCCTCCCCAGCCCATGCTGAAAGAAGCCCACCTGTCCCCATGCACTTCTTAGAACCACAGAATTGGAAGGGACCCAAAGAGGTCATCCAGCCCAACCCCATTTGCTTTGGCTCCTGGCCCCCTAGTTTTTCATCTGCACATGCACAGATGAGAGTGGGGCTTTACAGGCTGTGACCCACAGAGAAGAGGGCTGGAAGACTGCCCAGCAGAGGCAGAGAGGCATGACAGGCAAGACCCCCAGCCCAATTTGCACGAGGATCTACAAGCCTTTTCCCAAATCCTGCACAGCGAGACAGCCTTCGTGACAGAGATCTATTTGTCAGGGTTCAAAGGTCCCAGCAGGGAGGGACCGGCAGACGACTGTCACCCTGGAAATCCTAGCCTGCGTGCAACAAGGAAAGGGGAGCTATTTTGGGAGCGGGACACAAAGACTGCTCCATTTCCCGTTGCCACAACCAGAGACCCTCCCCAGGAAGGGGTGTGGAGTAGGAGAGGGTGCAGAATGCTGCAGCGAGGCTCCTCACGGGGTCCCTGCCATGGGGGCATATTCACCCAGTGCTCTACCAGTTGCACTGGCTGCCGGTGGAGTACAGGCTCAGATTGAAGGTGCTGGTTTTGACCTTTAAAGCCCTTTACGGCCTAGGACCCTCGCACCTATGGGACCGCCTTTTTCCTTTCTCCTCCTGCAATGAGGCTACATTTTAATATTTTAATGTTTCAATATTTTAATGTATTTTAATTTTGTTTTTAAGTTGTATTCATTCAACTTGTTTTTATTATTGCTTGTTAGCCACCCTGAGCCCGGCCTTGGCTGGGGAGGGCGGGGTATAAATAAAAATTATTATTATTCTCATTATTATTGAAGGACCCCAGGGACCCTGAACGCTGCTCCTTCCAGGCCCCGAAGCAGCCCCAAAGCCAGCAGTCTCCTTGGAGTGGTTTCACCCACAAAAACAGGAACCACTCCGCACCTTGAGGCAAATCCTTTCACGCAGAGATCTCTCAAGGCACAAAACTACCACTCCTTTGCCGTTTTCTCTCTTTTAATTTTTGAAAGTGCTTTCCAACAACCTCCATCTTCCGTACTCGGAACAGGCTTGCAGCCGTGGGGAGCAGGGAACCATTTGCAGAGGTGGGGAAACTGAGGCCGAGAGGGGTGACTCAGCCAAGGCCAGACACACACTCCCTAGCAGAGGCAGAGCAGAACCGGACCTGACATTTCCTCCCCTTCTCTCTGTTGGACGCACATTCCCTCAAAATCACAGCTTTGGCAACGCAGCTCAATGCAGAAGGAACTCCCGGAGGGCAAATTTATCTCTCCGTTTCCCCGATTAGCTTATTCTATTGTGTTCTTTTTTTAAAAAATGCATACATAGTTATTATTGGCATTGGACTGGCTTGGCTCCAAAAGGAAAGGAAATTCCAGGCATATTTTTTTTTTGTCCTTGAAAGCTCACTATTCTGGGAAGACAGCAGTGAAGAGATGGCCTCTTGCTCTTCCTGCCGGCCCCAGAGGCCTCAGCCAAGCTGGCCTCCCCTGAGGGCCCACCTGGACGGATCGGCCCGTGAAGTGCGATTTGGTGTTCTTGGTTCTGTGGCAGAGTAGGCCAAGTCCTCCTGGGCAGAAAAGAGCTGGCTGGATGGAGTGCCTTGGGACACTTCTCCGAGAGAGTGTCTAGCATACTCCCACGAACGCCAGACAGGAGCTTTTGGTATTCCAAAAAACCGGGGGCTGGGTCACTCTTTAACCTGAGATGTGACACCTTGGGGCGTATGCAAGCTGACCAACTCATTGTTCTGTGTGCAGCAGCTACGACGAGGAGGGCAGGCGGCCCCAGGGACCCATGCAGAGGTGCAACAGGCTGCCTCTTTTGTGGGCTCTCGCAACAGCAACCTGGTCAGCCTGGCCCACAGCCAGGGAATGAGGAGGTGGCCTCCTAGTGAAAACTCCTCCTCCAGAGGCCAAGGGGCTTGCCAGCTTTAGGTGATGGAGTGAGTTGCTGGGGTGTTCATGTGCTGGGGCAGGAAGAAGAAATAAACTCCGCGCTTGCAGCTGGGTAGGAGTCCAGGCAGTGGGGCTTAGTGGTTTGAGTGTCAGCCCAGACCTGGGAGGCTAGTGTTCACAAAAAACCCCTTGGCCATGAAGGGTGGATGTGAGGATAAAATGGGAAGGAAGCAAACGATGCAGGCCACCTTGAATAAAAAGCTGGGGTAAAGGTAAATGGACCCCTGACCCTGAAGGGTCCAGTTGCGGCTGACTCTGGGGTTGCGGCGCTCATCTCGCTTTATTGGCCGAGGGAGCCGGCGTACAGCTTCTGGGTCATGTGGCCAGCATGACTAAGCCGCTTCTGGCGAACCAGAGCAGCGCACGGAAATGCCATTTACCTTCCCACCGGAGCGGTACCTATTTATTTACTTGCACTTTGACGTGCTTTTGAACTGCTAGGTTGGCAGGAGCAGGGACCGAGCAACGGGAGCTCACCACATTGCGGGGATTCGAATCGCCGACCTTCTGAGCCCTAGGCTCTGTGGTTTAACCCACAGCGCCACCCGCGTGCCAAAAAAGCTGGGGTTTGAACGCAATAAAAACACGGCCTGTTCCTGTTTCTTTTCCAGGCAGCTCAGCTGGTACAGGAGAGCTACCCATTGGTGGATGGGGTATCTCACATGAGACAAGTCCATTTCACAGAATTTCAGAGTTGGAAAGGGTCCCACGGGTCATCTAGTCCAACCCTCTGCAATGAAGGAATTTGTCCCAGCATCCTCTTTCCAGGCAGGCCAGGTGCCCCTGCGACGCTCCTAAGGCACAAAGGCATGAGCCCTCCCCATGTCTGACCCCTGCAGTTGGGACTCGGAGGGTATACTGCGCCTGCACAAAGAGGCTCCACAGCTATCGTGCCCAATGGCAGTTACTAAAGGTCCCGTCTGCATCCACAATTTCTTCTGGCTCCTGGTCCGTTTGGTTCTGGTCAGAGCTTTGGAAAGCAGTTCCTCCTTTTGGCCAGCTCACCGTGGCTGGTAGCCCTCTGGCCCAGCCGGCCGCAGAAGCACCGCCTTCCCGCAAAGTCCCTCGCGCACTCCCCCGGCTGGCACGATGTAGACCTTTCCGTCGGCTGCCCGCTTTGGGCTGAAGTCGGTCAGCTGCCCATTGCTGGCCTCCACCTGGGAGTAGTGCCAGAGCTGGTAGCGGCCGCTCTTGCCCTGCTTGGACAGCAAATACGTCTCCGCTGCGGGAGACTCCAGCGAGAGGGTCGAGGCCACGGCTGGGCTGGCATGGAAGAGGCCACGGATCTCTTCATCCTCCTGGCAGGCAGCCAGCTTGACGCTGTCCTCCAGACCCAGCAGAGCTCCTGGGTAGAAGGAGGGAAAAGAGAGAAGTCTATGAAGGTGACCTGGGTGCGATTGTTGGGCAGCCCTGGTCCTGAACTGGCAGCCTTTGGCTCGCAGGGAACCCACTGAGCTGGCACTTGGTTCTGTTTTGCACTCAAAGTATGGCCAAGGGGTGCCGAAATCCCAAGGGAGCAGAAAAGACTTGTGACCACAGCTGCTTGGATGCTATTGGCCCAGAGATGGAAAGAAGTCCGTACCAGAAAAGAATGGCAGATTAAGTTTTTTTTTTTTTAAAATAATATTTATTAAAAGTTTAAGAATTAAAGAAAAAATTAAGATTAAGTTGATGGATTATGCCAAAATGGCAAATATGACCAGAAGAATCAGAAATCAGGAAGACCAAAATTTCAGTAAGGAGATTTATAATTTATCTTAAAAACCATTGTAAACAGCTAAAATCGTTAGTAGGATTAGATTAACACTTGTAGTTTAATGTTGAATTTTGGACATAATGGAGATGTAAAAGATCTGGTTTATCATAAAAGATGCAGGAGGAAATGATTAACGATAGGACCCACAGAGGGAAGTCCAGGAGATTCTTTGGAATCTTGTTTTTATGTTGTATGTTGGATAATTGACTGTAAAGCTTTAATCTGAAAAACCAAATAAATTTCAAAAAACAACAACCAAAAAGTACGACAGAAGAGCCCAAAATGGTGTGCGTCGTTCTCTCTGCTCCATTAATCCCCAACAATAACCTTGTGGGTTAGACCAGGCTGAGAGGCTGTGACAGGCCCTCAAAGTCACACCCAGGGAACTTCGTGGGCGGGATTTGAACCCTGGTCTCTCCCAGAGTCCTAGTCTGGCACTTCAAGCACCGCTCTGTCTTGACCATGATGGATTTTGCATCTATTTATGCTACAGAATAAGGGATGTGGGTGGTGCTGTGGGTTAAACCATAGAGCCTAGGATTTGCCGATCAGAAGGTCGGCGGTTCGAATCCCCATGACGGTGTGGGCTCCTGTTGCTCGGTTCCTGTTCCTGCCAATCTAGCAGTTCGAAAGCATGTCAAAAGTGCAAGTAGATAAATAGGTACCGCTCTGGTGGGAAGGTAAACAGTGCTTTTGTGTGCTGCTCTGGTTCGCCAGAAGCGGCTTAGTCATGCTGGCCACATGACTCAGAAGCTGTACGCCGGCTCCCTCGGCCAGTAAAGCGAGATGAGCGCCGCAACCCCAGAGTCGGCCACAACTGGACCTAATGGTCAGGGGTCCCTTTACCTTTTATGCTACAGAATGCCAGGCTGTGGTTGCATCAGAAAGTGACACCCCCCCAATGAAAAAAATGTAAGGAGTGCAAAAGAGAAAAAAGCTTGTTTTGAGCTATGAGCGCAGAAGTAATTAGGTAATAATATTGTGGTTATGGTTTGACAGACAGACAACAGTGCACAGCAGAAGGGGAGAAACAACAACTCCATGGAAAAAGGGGTGGGAAGTCAACAACGAAAAGAGAAAAGATGTATTTGTGTCTTGACTGTATACGATAAAAATGTTGAAAATTATAAGTGCAAAAAAAGAGGGCTGTGCTTTAAGCATTTGCTTCAAAGCTAGGGCAGAATAAGGGTCCCAAGCAGGGGATAGTTTGAGGAGAAAGCTGTTGGCGCAGATTGGGGAGTCCTATGCCCCGGAATTGAGCTTTGAGCAACTGAGTGCAAGCAGCGGCCTGGGAAGAGGGAGGCCCAAGGCACATAGGACCAGCCTGGGCACTGCTGCCCCCTCCTGGGCAGTGCCCCGCCTTGCCAGTAGAGCCATTTCTCTCCTCTGGAGCCTCGGAGGAGAGGGAGCAGCCAGGCACCGGCCGGCCCCCTGCGAGAAGAGTTGCAGTGAACTGGGGAACGTACCTGAGGCAATGGCCCAGTGAGCCTTGTAGCCGCTCCGGAGGCAGGGCTCGTGGTTGGAGTCTTCGTCGTAGCTGTGCTGGGTGTTAAGGTCTGGGTGAAGAGAGTCTTGCTCACATGGGCAGAGCAGAGGGCAAGGAGGGCCACTTGGGGCACCTGTCTCACCAGAGAAGCCTGGAAGAGGGCCTGGCAGGAGGGCAGACCCTGGGGCAAGGCAGACCCAGCCTTGGACCAGCTCATTTGAGCTTGTTTTCTTGCTACTACACTCTAGTGTCCAGATCAGGGGTCAGCAAACTTTTTCAGCAGGGGGCTGGTCTACTGTCCCTCAGACCTTGTGGGGGGCTGGACTATTTTTTTTGGGGGGGGGAATGAACGAATTCCTATGCCCCACAAATAACCCAGAGATGCATTTTAAATAAAAGGACACATTCTACTCATGTAAAAACACCAGGCAGGCCCCACAAATAACCCAGAGACCCAGTGTGGTATAGTGGTTAAAAGCGGTGGACTCGTAATCTGGGGAACCGGGTTCGCTTCCCCGCTCCTCCACATGCAGCTGCTGGGTGACCTTGGGCCAGTCACACTTCTCTGAAGTCTCTCAGCTCCACTCACCTCACAGAGTGTTTGTTGTGGGGGAGGAAGGGAAAGGAGAATGTTAGCCGCTTTGAGACTCCTTCGGGTAGTGATAAAGTGGGATAGCAAATCCTAACTCTTCTTCTTTTAAAGAAAAGGACACATTCTACTCATGTAAAAACATGCTGATTCCCGGACCGTCCGCGGGCCGGATTTAGAAGGTGATGGGGCCGGATCCGGCCCACGGGCCTTAGTTTACCTACCCATGGTCCAGATCAAATCAAGGGAAGGCATAGTCCTGCTCTCTTCTGCCTTGTCCAGATCCCACCTGGAGTCCTGTGTCCAGTTCTGGACACCAGTTTAAGGAGGTGATTGGCAAGCTGGAAAGTGGGGAGATTAGGGTGACTGAGATGATTTAAGGATATGGAAGCTAAGCATTATGAGGGGCGCTTGAAGGAGCTGGGTATGTTTAGCCTAGAGAAGAGGAGATTGAGAGGAGATATGACAGCCGTCTTCAGATATCTCAAGGGCTGTCACATTCAGGAGGGAGCAAGCTCATTTTCTCCAGCTCTGGAGTTAAGACTTGAACCAACAGCTTCAAGTTACAAGAAAGGAGATTCCAACTCAACATCAGGAAAAGCTTCCTGACAGTAAAAGCTGTTTGGATGGATGGCGGCTAATGGATTGAGGTTGAATCCTGACAAGACACAAGGACTGTTTTTGAGGGACAGGGGGCGGGCTGGTGTGGGGGACTCCCTGGTCCTGAATGGGGTAACTGTGCCCCTGAAGGACCAGGTGCGCAGCCTGGGAGGCATTTTGGACTCACAGCTGTCCATGGAGGCGCAGGTCAATTCTGTGTCCAGGGCGGCAGTCTACCAGCTCCATCTGGTACGCAGGATGAGACCCTCCCTGCCCACAGACTGCCTCGCCAGAGTGGTGCATGCTCTAGTTATCTCCCGCTTGGCCTACTGCAATGCGCTCTACGTGGGGCTACCTTTGAAGGTGACCTGGAAATTAAACTAATCCAGAATGTGGCAGCTAGACTGGGGACTGGGAGCGGCCGCCAAGACCACATAACACCGGTCTTGAAAGACCTACATTGGCTCCCAGTACGTTTCCAAGCACAATTCAAAGTGTTGGTGCTGACCTTTAAAGCCCTAAACGGCCTCAGTCCTGTATACCTGAAGGAGCATCTCCACCCCCATCCTTCTGCCAGGACACTGAGGTCCAACTCCGAGGGCCTTCTGGCGGTTCCCTCATTGCAAGAAGCAAAGCTACAGGGAACCAGGCAGAGGGCCTTCTCAGTGGTGGCGCCCGCCCTGTGGAACGCCCTCCCACCAGATGTCAAAGAGATAAACAACTACCTGACATTCAGAAGACATCTGAACTTCAGGGAAGTTTTTAATGTGTGACATCTTAAGTGTATTTTTGGTCTTTGTGGAAGCCGCCCAGAGTGGCTGGGGAAACCCAGCCAGATGGGTGGGGTACAAATAATAAATTATTATTATTATTTGACAGTGGAACGGTCTCCCTTGAAGGTGGAGGACTTTTCTTCATCAGAGGTTATTAAGCGGAGATCAGATAGGCAAATATCAGGGATGACTGTACTGCACTGCAGAGGGTTGGACTAGATGACCCTCGGGTCCCTTCCAACCCTACCATTCTAGGAAGAAAGCAAACATGAGAAGCACCCACCCCAGCTCCCCATATCCCTCCCCTTTCCCACCAGGAAGGATACGGTATCAACACAGGGAAGCCTTGGCTAAGGTGACGAAGGATCCTTTGGTAGTTTTCTCCCCCCAGGCCTCCAGAGAGCAGCTCCGCCTGGCAGGGGAACACCTCCTCAGCTAGCTTGGACATGTTGGCAGCTGGAGCAAGCAGACCAAAAGGGCAAGGGAGGAGTTGGGGGGGCTGGGGGGCTCCCAGAGCAGCATCTAGGCAGGCCCCCACCACCACCCTGCCACTCACTCTCTGCCAGGATCATGCAGGGAGGTGACATGGATCACAAGCCAAAATTTGGGCAGCGGTGTCTGCCATCCCCCTTCTTGGCGACCCACCTGAGAACATTTCCCCCTGGGCTGTGTAGCCTCTCTCCAAAGCCACCTGAACAATTGTCTCCAGGGAAACAGCCTTGAGGGGAGAGAGCAGCGCCCCAGCCATCCACAAGGCCACCAGGCCACATCTGGAAGAGGAGGGGGAGAAGGAGGAGAAGGAAGAAAAGCAGAGAGGTTGGACCGCTGTACCAAAATCTGAGCCCTACTTTTTTTTCTAAAAAAATAAGCCTTTTGCAATCTGAGAAATGTACACATGCTGAAACTATTACTTAAGAACACATCCGTTGTTTTGTCACATCTTCTAGTATATATGGGATTATATGGCGTATTTGGTTGGCACTGTAATATTGCTTCTATGTTGGGGATTCCCCATCCTCCTTCTGCGGTGGGGAGGTGCAGGTATTTGGGGCTTATTCTTGGGTTTTTTTGTATAAGAAGATAAAGGAGTGAAGTTTTCTCTGCCATCTGCGGATTTGGGTTTGGGGAATCCAGACTGGAAGGGTTTGGAATAGGTAGGTTAGTTTTGGGAGGGTGATCATTTTGATCATGACTATTTTGCCTGAGAGGGTGAAATTCATGTTGTCCCATCTTTTTAGGTCTTTGTTTATTTGTCGCCACTGGGGCTTGTAGTTGTGGAGGTATAACTTATTGAGGCTTCTGGTTATTTGTACCCCTAGGTATCTGAACTTGGTGTGGCAAAGTTTTATCTTGCTGACATTAGTGAATTCTTTTTGGGTGTGAGGAGGGGTGTTGAAGCACATAGCTTCTGAAGTTGCAAAATTTACCTGTAGGCCCGACACCATTGTACTTAAGAACATATGAAGAGGCTGCTGGATCAGGCCAAGGGGGCTCCATCTGGTCCAGCAACCTCTTCTCACATTGGTCAACCACATGCCCCTTGTGGGAAGGCCACAAGCAGGAGCTCAGCACAAGAGCAGCCCCTTCTCCTCCTGCAATTTCCAGCAGCTAGTATTCAGAAGAACTGCTGCCTCCGACAGTGGAGGGCATAGCACAGCCAACCTGGCTAGGAGCCATCGATAGCCACGAATTTATCCAATTCTCTTTTAAAGCCATCCAAGTTGGGGGCCCTCCTGTGGGAGGCAGTTCCAAAGTTTAACTGTGTGTTGCATGAAGAAATACTTTCTTTTACCTGACCTGAATCTTCCAACGCTCAACTTCAACGGATGCCCACAAATTCCAGTGTGATGAGAGAGGGAGAAAAACCATTTCTCCATCCATTTTCTGCATGCCTGCATTTCATAAACTTCTCTCGTGTTGCCTCCTGCTGGACATTTTCCTAAACTGAAAAGTTTATTGCACTTGCTTCTTGTTTTCCTAGCCCTGCCCGTGAAGGTGAGAAGGGGAAGGAGCAAAGCAGTGCCAGAACACCCCATCCTCTTCGTATCTGTGACCCTCAGGGTCCCGTAAAGGTAAAGGGACCCCTGATCATTAGGTCCAGTCGTGGCTGACTCTGGGGTTGCGGCGCTCATCTCGCTTTATTGGCCGAGGGAGCCGGCGTACAGCTTCCGGGTGACTAAGCCGCTTCTGGTGAACCAGAGCAGCACACAGAAACACCATTTACCTTCCCGCCGGAGCGGTACCTATTTATCTACTTGCACTTTGACGTGCTTTCAAACTGCTAGGTTGGCAGGAGCAGGGACTGAGCAACGGGAGCTCACCCCGTCGCGGGGATTCGAACCGCCGACCTTCTGATCAGCAAGTCCTAGGCTCTGTGGTTTAACCCACAGGGTCCCTTACAACTCTATAATTCCACAATTCTAAGAACTGGCTCAGTTAGCACTGCCCGCTGGCTGGACCAGGCAAGGACTTGGACGCTTGTACTAGTTTTTGACCCTGTCAGGAATGTATATTCCCCAGGGATATTGCCTCTTGTGTGGCCACTCAGAATGTGTAAACTTAGCTGCCTCGAAAATTTGAAAAGACAGGCGCCGGCGTAGTTTGAATACTGGTCCTTAGATAGCCTTGGGGTCTGGCGGGCTTCTGGGCTAGACTGGGCTTCTGGAAACCCAATTTTGTACCTGTATTTGGTTGCTAGGGTCATCTGGCCCTAGCCTTGCATTTAGATCACCCACCAGCAGGACCTTTGCCCCCGGGACCTGGACGCTTGCTGTCACACAAAGAAAACTGTACTTTCAGTGCAGCGATGAAATATACACAACCCTGAAACATCCCATCTAAAAGCAGAGGGCTGGGACCCAGGTTCAAGCCCCTTCTCCAGCCTGAGAAGCTACAGAGCCCTCTAATTCACAGGGCTATTATGGGGATAAAACACTGTTTTGTGCTCCTTGGAGGAGGGGTAAACTATTGACACAATTCTGGAGTGCATGAAAACGTATGGAGTGGTTGTGCAGCATAGTTCAAACTCCCACCTCCTCAGCAGGTTGCTACTTCACAGTTTCCTTTTGCAGTAAAGAATAAATCCCATACTCACTGGGGGCCTTCTTGGATTAAGGAAGACACGGGGCGGTTGAAAAGGAGCCACTTCAAATGCATGCTGAAGCTGGAAGAGAGAGAGAGAGAAATAGAAATAGAAAGAGTCCCTTAAGAGCCACTTAGGGGACCAGCCCAACATTAGCAGCACTTTCGCCCCCTGCATAATTAACAAGGCTCTCCTCCCCAAACACTTAATAGGAGGAATCTAGGGAAGCTGCCTCTTGGGGGTGGGGGGTGCTCCGTGGCTTACAGGAAATGGAAATGGCAGCAATGCAAAACTGGAGCCCTAATGAGACAAAATGGACCACATTAAAAGGCAAGCATCCTCTTTCCAAGCGGAGAGAACTTTTTGGAAGTAGAACATTTCAGTGGCACGTTGCAAATGAAACCATCACAGATGCAAGCCCCTAATCAAGCATTAAGAAAAACTGACTGGGGAAATGGCGCAAGGTGCACCCTGCCCTGAATGTTTTCAGCAGTATTTGCAGTGACACAGAGCTTCTCTTTTGTCCAAGCTGCTCACACCAAATATAGATGCCGCAGGTTCAGGCTGATGGTTGCGAAGCCAATCTGCCGTTTTTTAAGCCAAAAAACACAGGAAATGGAAGCGGATGCCATGAACACAACACAGCCCCAACTGCCCCTCTGAGCAATGAAGCTTGTAGAGATTGTAGACATCACAGCATCTCAACCAATAGTGCCAGGGTTATTAAGTCTACTGGCAATCTAGGCCAAGTGGATTCAGTATGAAGAAGCTTTACTAGATTCTACGAAATTCTACAATTCCATGATTCTAGAAATCACATAATCCTATACTTTTAAGAAAGCATATGGTACAGTTTGCATTTCCGTATTTTAAATGAAACCAAGGAATGTAGACAGACTGCCTCTGGACCTGGAGGTTCCATATGAACAGGCACCCCCAAACTCGGCCCTCCAGATGTTTTGGGACTACATTTCCCATCATCCATGACCACTGGTCCCGTTAGCTAGGGATGATGGGAGTTGTTCTCCCAAAACATCTGGAGGGCTGAGTTTGGGAGTGCCTGCATATGAAGAAGAAGAAGAAGAAGAAGAGGAGTTTGGATTTGATATCCCGCCTTTCACTCCCTTTAAGGAGTCTCAAAGCGGCTAACATTCTCCTTTCCCTTCCTCCCCCACAACAAACACTCTGTGAGGTGAGCGGGGCTGAGAGACTTCAGAGAAGTGTGACTGGCCCAAGGTCACCCAGCAGCTGCATGTGGAGGAGCGGGGAATCGAACCCAGTTCACCAGATTACGTGACTACGGCTCTTAACCACTACACCACACTGGCTCTCTATGGACATAAGAAGAGCCTGTTTGCTGGATCAGGCCAGCATCCTGTTCTGACAGTGGCCAACCAGGTGACTCTTTGGGGAAGCCCCCAAGCGGGGCATGAGCACCAGCACAAATCTCCCCTCCTGTAGTTTTGGAAGCATTGCTGCCTCCAAGGAGCCATCCGCAGACAGCCGTCTCCTCCTCTTATCTCAAGTGAAACCACTGCCACCCAAGACATTTTTACAAGGACTATGGCATGGGCAGCAAGACTCTGATGATGGTGATAACGGTAATACTAATAATAGTCATACCTCGGGTTACAGACGCTTCAGGTTGCGTTTTTTCGGGTTGCGGACCGCCAAAACCCGGAAGTACCGGAACAGGTTACTTCCAGGTTTCAGCGGTTGTGCATGTGCAGAAGTGCTAAATCGCGCTTTGTGCATGCACAGAAGCGCAACACAACTTTTGTGGCGATCACGCAGGGCCCCCGGACGTTTGACGGTCTATTGACCCTGTGCCACCACTGTAATTGCTTTCTTCGCTGCCACCAACCCGTTTCTCACGGGTACACACGGAGTCCAGTCAGTTGTTAACATTAACAAATAATCAAGTTTATTTTTATAGGCATGAACAAGCTTATGGTTACAGTTAATTTTTCTTGGCAGTTTCTTAATCTTAGTTCCTTAACTGTCCTATTCTTTCCTAACAACTTCAAACTGATTATCCCAACTATCTATCTATCTGACTCCACCTAACAATTCCTCTCACAACACAACTCGACCAACCCACAGACTATTCCTCCCTCCTCCTCCTTCAACCGAATCGCAACCCGCGTGTGCGCAGATGCGGGTTGCGAATGTGCATCCCGCACAGATCACGTTCGAAACCCGAGTGTCCACTGTACCCCACTCCTGTGTGGCAGCTGCCCCTCTCCTTCCTCTGAGACAAGGAGAGAGAGCAGCGCTCTAGCGCCCCTCCTGACCCCCACTGAGGGGCAGGGACCCCCCCACGACCCCCCACAGGCGCTCCCCACCTGGCCCTGCGGCGCCTCAGGAGCTCCCGAACACCGTCCTGGTCCCCAGGGTCCACTTGCTCCAGCGCGGCCTTGAGGAGCTGAGCCCCACACAGCCTGGGGGGAGGCGGAGGGGGAGGCGGGGGTGGGGGAGGGGGCAAGGGTGCTGCTGCAGCCCCCTGGGGTGCTCTGGACATGCTTCCGCTTAGCAGGGGCCTGGAAGGCCTTTTGCATCGGGAGGGTCCATGGGTGACACTTCCCCCAAGGAAAGAGGGGTCACAGGTCAACGCAGGTCAAAGGTCACGCCGGTCTGGCATGGGGCAATGCGAGGGTCGCTTTCCGTGACGCCTATTCTCACCGCCGGCTCTTCCCTCGCCCGGCTTGCCGTGCTATTACGTCATCAACAGGAGACAACGCAGCCATCGCCTCTCCGCCCCTCAAATGACCGCTTTTTTCTTCAACAAATCAGTGAACAAGGACTCCGGGACCGGGGTGACTGGCAGGCCGTCTGGCCCTATCGGCGGAGGCGGAAGGAGCGCCCAATCAGAACTTTCTGTTTGGAAAGGGGCGGGGGCAGAAGCGAGACCGCCGCGTCGTTAGGGGGCGGGGAAGAGGGAGAAGACGGAACCCTCAGGCAACCTCTGATTGGGCAGCGCGGCGCCCAAGAGAAGAAACGCCGTTACGCGGGTTGCTGATTGGGGAGTCCGAACTGGGGGGCGTGGCTTAGTTCCGCGCGCCGGGAAGGACGAGGCGTCTTTTTTTCTCCTCGTCGGCTGCCGCCTGCGCTGGGCCTGCGTCGAATCGGTGAGGCATCGGGCGTCGGGGGGGCCATCGGGGCGGGAGGCGACGCGTAGCCGGGAATGGCGGGCCGGGCCTTCCTGGCGGCAGCGCGGTTTTTGTCCCGCGGTCCATTTTTCGATGCCGGCAGCGGGCAGAGGCGCCGCAACATCCGGGCATTTCCCCTGCTTCTCGGCACTCGACATCCGGGCATCCGCTGTTGCTCCGCTTGGCTTAACATCCGGGACTTTCGGCCTGTGCCTGATCCAGCAGCCAGGCTCTTCTTGGGTCAGTGTAGAACCTCCAGGTCCAGCGGCAGTCTATCTGGATTGCCAAGTTCTTGGAGCATTTGGCCCCTGGGAGAAGTGGAGGCTGGGCTACAAAATCATCATCACCATTTTATTTGTATGCCGCCTTTCCACAGTTAAAACAATGCTCAAGGCGGCTTACAATATGAAAATATTTACATAATTACAAATATAGCAAAATAGTCATAAAAATTATGAATTCTGGTGCTGGAGGAGACTCTTGAGAGTCCCATGGACTGCAAGAAGATCTAACCTCTCCATTCTGAAGGAAATCAGCCCTGAGTGCTCACTGGAAGGACAGATCCTGAAGCTGAGGCTCCAAGTCTTTGGTCACCTCATGAGAAGAGAAGACTCCCTGGAAAAGACCCTGATGTTGGGAAAGATGGAGGGCCCAAGGAGAAGGGGACGACGGAGGAGAAGATGGTTGGATAGTGTTCTCGAAGCTACCAGCATGAGTTTGACCAAACTGCGGGAGGCAGTGGAAGACAGGAGTGCCTGGCGTGCTCTGGTCCAGGGGGTCACAAAGAGGCGGACACGACTAAATGACTAGACTACAATAAAAGTCATAAAAATAAAATACATTAAAAGCTACATAACCAAACTGCACAATTTCCACATAAAAATAAAGAAACAAAAAGTTAATACCGGTAATATCAGTTAATATCAGTAACAATGGCAAAAACCTCCAACGAAACTTCTCCCACAATACCCCAATCCTTGCTGGGCAGCAGCCACAGAGAGGCAGGAACAGGGCCCTCAGGCACTCAGCAGCAAGATGTTCTTAGGCTCTTGTCTCCCTTTTTCCTGTGTTTTGGAGCCACTCAGTGAACAGTGTTGGAGGGAAAAGGGCCAAATTTCCCTATAACTGCTGCCTCATCTGGGAGCCAGTGTGGCGTAGTGGTTAAGAGTGGTGGACTCGTAATCTGGTGAACCGGGTTCGCATCTCTGCTCTTCCACATGCAGCTGCTGGGTGACCTTGGGCCAGTCACACTTCTCTGAAGTCTCTCAGCCCCACTCACCTCACAGAGTGTTTGTTGTGGGGGCGGAAGGAAAAGGAGATTGTTAGCCGCTTTGAGACTCCTTCGGGTAGTGATAAAGTGGGATATCAAATCCAAACTCTTCTTCTTCATCATCTGGACTAGAAAGCTGTTTTGCGTTGTTCAGGAGGGTCTGCATCAATGCTTTCTGAGAAAGAGTTCCAGCTTTTGGGGGTGGGGGCAGACTTGGCAGCAGCTGTGTCTACTTTTGCATAAGTGTCTCTATTGTTCAGAAATGTGTCCCATTTCTTCCTGTTCTGACAAGTTTTGTTTTGCCCCTCCAGAGTCGGCTGTTGACAGTGTGGTCGTCGTGATGGCTGTCCCCGAAACGCGGCCCAATCACACCATCTACATTAACAATCTCAACGAGAAAATCAAGAAAGATGGTGAGAGGCTGTTCATTCCTCCTTTGTTTCTTACCGGCTCACATCTCAGATACTGTCCCAATTTCCTGAATTTTGCACAGAGAAGGTTGGAGTGCTTTTGGCTCCCAACTTTCCTCTGCAGTACTGGGCGTAGTTTGAGTGTTATGAGTGCCCATCACAGTATGTAAATTGGCAGGGTGCAGGTTCCAGTCGTTTGTTTTGGCCATTTTTAATTGCAATTCTGCTTGGACCTTATGACCACCGCAGCACCTCACGTGCAGTTGTGCTATCTTAGAAGAATGTACAGTGGAGCCTCTGGTTACGTTGCCTCTGGCTTACGTCACCCTTGGGTTGCGACCTGCGCAAACCCGAAAGTACTGGAGTGGGTTACTTCCGGGTTTGCGCACGCACAGAAGTGCTAAATCATGGGTGCGCAGATGCGATGCTTTGGGTTGCGTCGTTTTCCGGTTGCGGCAGGGCCTCCAGAACAGATCCCTGCCGTAACCCGAGGTTCCACTGTAAAACAAAATAATGGAACTTCTTTGCTGAATGCCCACTGCTGGTCCCGTGCTGTGCAGGGTTATTTAAACCAAGATCAGCACTTTGAGCTTAGGCAGTCAGCAGCCAAAGTTGGTGCAGCTGCAGCTGCCGCTTTGAATGAGCCGCACACAGAGGTAGCTGGCCTGAGGCCCCCAAGCTGCATTTGGTTGGCCTCCTGCCGTGCGGCAAAGCCCAGGAAGTATTTGAGGAACACAAGGACTCCCCTCTGTGTGCCCCCTTCCAAGAGGCACAGGGAGGGCAATTTCTACGCACCTGCCAGCAGAAGACTCTCCCCAGTGAGGCTTGCCTGGCACCAACACCGCCCTCCTTCCAGCACCAAGGAAAGACCTTGATATTCTCCGGGATGCTTAGACAGGTTTCCTGGGGTCAAAGTGTAACTGTGTGTAATCTGCTTCCCCCCTCTTTAGAGCTGAAGAAATCTCTCTATGCCATTTTCTCCCAGTTTGGCCAGATCCTCGACATCCTGGTCTCCCGCAGCCTGAAAATGCGGGGACAGGCCTTTGTCATCTTCAAAGAGATCAGCAGCGCAACCAACGCCTTGCGCTCCATGCAGGGCTTCCCCTTTTACGACAAGCCCATGGTAAGTGGGGGCTGCTTCTGTGGGGGGAGGCTGCCTTCTTCGCTCCTTGGCAAAGAGGGAAAGGCCCACCTAGGTTGAGGCTTTAAAAGTTTTCTTGCAGCCTCCTTCGCGTTTGGAGGTCCTCCTGCATTTTGGGTTCTGGCAGGCCTGGTTATAATAATAATAATAAATTTTTATTTATACCCCGCCCTTGCCAGTTCAAAAATTGGGCTCAGGGCGGCTAACAACAAATTTAAATTGATTGCAACAAAAAAACAGCATAAAGTACGTGAATAATAATAAATTCAGAATTCAAAAATCAATTTAGGGGGGAAATCCACCCAATAAACATTAGATGATCACCAGGGCTAGCTGGCTAAATTAGTCCTATTTGGGCCAGCGCGGAGACCAGGGGAGAATTAGCTGTGGGATCCCAGAGTGGGTAATCTTCATAAAAAGGGGAGGGGGAGGGAAGGAAGAGGAATAAAAGATCAGGCTAAGTGCAAGTTGAAAGCCAGGCAGAATAGCTGTGTCTTACAGGCCTGATGGAAGGAGGTTAAATCCTACAGGGCCCTGGTCTCATGGGACAGAGCATTCCACCAGGTCGGAGCCATCACTGAGAAGGCCCTGGCCCTGGTGGAGGATAATCTAACTTCTTTAGGGCCCGGGACCTCTAAACTATGATTATTCATGGACCTTAAGGTCCTCTGCGGGGCAGACCAGGAGAGGCGGTCCCGTATGGTGTCTGCATTGTGTGTTTTCCTCCCTGGCCAACCAAGCGCTCCTCTTTCCACCCCCAGAGGATCCAGTATGCCAAATCCGACTCTGACATCATCGCCAAGATGAAGGGCACATTTGTGGAGCGGGACCGCAAGCGAGAGAAACGGAAGCCCAAAGGCCAGGAGGTGCCAGCCACCAAGAAGCAGATCCCTGGGGGAGCGGCACCGGTGGCCCCTGCCGTCCAAGGCGCTGTGCCGGTGAGTATCCGGACCCGGGTGCCCACAAGGCGCTCTCCCTCCTTCCCATCTGCTGGGCCTGGGACGGGACAGTAATATCTGCCTAGCATGATCCCTCTAGGTTGTTCCCGTTTAGGTCTGCTGCTTGGAGACCCTTTTCCCTGTTGGGCTATCCTACCATAGGGTGATGGGGCTGATAGCAGAGTTTGGGACGTTGATCCTTCAGAGAAAGCACAATTTGCAAATGTAAAGAGATTCTGGTTGCAGCTTTCTGAGTTGGACCTTGGGCCTTCCTGCTGTAATAATAATAATAATACTTTATTATTTATACCCCGCCCATCTGGCTGGGTTTCCCCAGCCACTCTGGGCGGCTTCCAACAGAATATTAAAATACAATAACCTATTAAACATTAAAAGCTTCCCTAAAGAGGGCTGCCTTCAGATGTCTTCTAAAAGTCTGGTAGTTGTTCTCTTTGACATCTGGTGGGAGGGCGTTCCACAGGGCGGGTGCCACTACTGAGAAGGCCCTCTGCCTGGTTCCTTGTAACTTGGCTTCTCGCAGCGAGGGAACCACCAGAAGGCCCTCGGCTCTGGACCTCAGTGTCCGGGCAGAACGATGGGGGTGGAGACGCTCCTTCAGGTATACAGTGGTACCTCAGGTTACAGACACTTCAGGTTACAGACTCTGCTAACGCAGAAATAGTACCTCGGGTTAAGAACTTTGCTTCAGGATGAGAAGAGAAATCATGCGGTGGCAGTGGGAAGCCCCATTAGCTAAAGTGGTGCTTCAGGTTAGGAACAGTTTCAGGTTCAGAACGGACCTCCGGAACGAATTAAGTACTTAACCCGAGGTACCACTGTACTGGACCGAGGCTGTTTAGGGCTTGAAAGGTCAGCACCAACGCTTTGAATCCCTTCTGCTCCCTCTGTCCTTTTAGTGGGTTGAACCGAGCAAAGAGGGGGCTCCTGGGAAGCCTTTCTTTTGGCCCCAGAGTATTTGCAGTTTGTCACGCGTGTGTTTTCTCTCTCTGCCTCTGTAGGGCATGCCGCCCATGAACCAGGCCCCTCGTATGATGCACCACATTCCAGGCCAGCCGCCCTACATGCCCCCTCCGGGAATGATGCCTCCCCCAGGCATGGCACCTGGCTCCATCCCCCCGGGGGCGATGCCACCGCAACAGATGCTGCCTGGCCAGATGGCTCCAGCCCAGCCGGTGAGTGGGGATGGGGAGAGGACTGCCCTGGGATGGGTGGGGCAGAACCACAATGCAGAACCCACTGGTTTGATGGGTCTGGTGCTGATCTGCCATCAGGCAAGATGGCGGGTCTGTGAAGTTGTGGGTGAGATGGGAGCAGGGTGGGTCATTGGCAAGAAAGGCCTAGCCACGCTTGCGTTGGGTGGGGTGCAACCTGCCTCCCCTGCTCTGAGGGCTCAGGGTGTCTTGGAGTTTTCATCATTCCTGGATCTTTCTGTCTGTTTGCAGCTGTCAGAGAATCCTCCGAATCACATCTTGTTCCTCACCAACTTGCCGGAAGAGACGAACGAATTGATGCTCTCCATGCTTTTCAATCAGTAAGTACCTGGCTGTGTTTCTCGCCACTAGGAGGGGCAGGCGGAAGTTTCCGATCTGCGGTGTTCTCTGGGGAAGGCAAAGCTGGGGCCGCCAGGGGAAGGCTTGCTTGGTAGTTGTGTTGTGGGTCTTCTTCAGTTAACCACACCAGTTGTGTTAAGACAGCTTTAGTTGGTTAAAGCAGCAGCCGCTGGGGAACCCACAAAAGCTCTGCTGCTGAGCCAGAATTCCTTCCTGCTCACCATGCCCACATATCCCCCCCCAAAAAAATCATTTCCTCAGGCCCCTGAGCAACACTCCAGTTCCCATCTCCATCTCGTCATTCCTTCCCCCCCCCCCCATCTTTGCCCTTGGACCGGGGTCCGTCCTGGTCTTCCATTCCCATGTTGCCCCCCTTTCTCTCTACTTTCCACCCTCTGGTTCCCGTGTTGGGGCGAAGCCTTCATCTCCTCTTGCTCCCCCCCACCCCCCAGGTTCCCAGGCTTCAAGGAAGTGCGTCTGGTTCCCGGGCGCCACGACATCGCCTTTGTGGAGTTTGACAACGAGGTTCAGGCTGGAGCCGCCCGTGACGCTCTCCAGGGATTCAAGATCACGCAGAACAACGCCATGAAGATCTCCTTTGCTAAGAAGTGATGCCTCCGCTGTCCCTGGGCAACTCTCCCCCTGCCCTTTCTAGTTAGTGCCTGTGAAATGGTTTTTTGGGGGGGCGGAGCTGTTGTTCTGTTCTGTTCTGTTCTGCGAGGTAAGTGGTGTGTGTGCGTGAGAGTGAGAGGGAGCCCGGCAGCACAAAAGGGCAGCCAGATCTTGCTGTTCCTGAGCCAAGAGACCCATACAAACTGCCCCCTGCTACTCTTGGGGACTTGGAACTGTGTGTGTGTGTGTGTGTGTGCGTGCGTGTATGTATGTACACAGGCAGCTGGGGATAGTAGCCGACTCCTTGCAAAAGCATTGTACCCAGGGTCTGACGGCCAGACATTGCACCTGGAGCTTTTCTGTTTTGCAATAAAACAACCACCGGTTTATTTTTCACCTTGGACTTTGGCTCTTATTAACTGGAGACTCCCAGGTCATCTTCTTTGGAGGGGGCTGCACACCGTATTTCCACACACAATCAGCCTTGCAAAGAGCGCACTGACTATTACTGGCCTGTCCTCCCAAACGGACCAAAGTTAGTCACGGAAACTTAGAGGAGATTCTTAACACGTCGTGGGCAAGTAGCTACGTGGCTGTTCCAAAACCTGCGGCCTCACCTGTATCTTTGTAGCCATAAGAACTCTTCTCCAGCAGCAAGGATGGGGCTACTGTCTTATTTATTGCAATCACATCCCACTTTTTTCTCCGTGGAGCAAAGGTGGCATATACATCATTCTCCTCCCTCCACATTCAATCCCCACAACAGCCCTGCGAGGGAGGGTAGTCCCAAGAGTGGCCCGAGGTCATCCAGTGAATTTCCTGGCCAAGTGAGGCATTTGAACCCTGATCTTCCAGGTCGTGATCCCACACCCTAACCCAACACACCAGCTTCCTTTTGCTCTTGCGAGTGCCAAACAGAAGCCTCAGGGGTCTCACTCTTTAGCTCCAGGGAGCTGAGGCTGATGGACTTTCAAACTGTGCACTGGAGGTGGCCAAGAAGCTGGCGTGAGTTTCGATAGCCAGCTGTGGGCATCCTTGGGAAGGTGGGTGCACACTGGGGTAGTGGGGCTTAATCTTAGGGTTCCCTCTCTACGCCAGGCCTGTGGTTCCTCAGCAAGCATGGCCCTGCCTCAGTCTGTATCAAGTGCTCCTTATGCCCGGGGAGAGAACACATTTTGTTTGGGGGAGTTGGAACAAGTTCAGCAGAAACTCATAGTGAATAAGTTTCCTTCTGAAGTTGGGTGTGTGTGACGGACAGACGGGGCCTTGCTTGGTCGACCTGAGCAGCTATGCTTTCTGTAATTTCAGTGGATAAAATAAACCTGGGGTAACTCTTGCTGCACCCTTCAGGACAGAGACTCCGTAGCCAACTGATTCCCCTGCCTTGTCTTGTTAATAGCTGTTGTGTAGTCCTCTGTCCTGGGCGGCTGAACCCCAGCTTCCTGGCTCCCTTCCAGGCCCTGTTTTGCTCCTTTTCCTGCCCTCCCGAGAAAGGAGGGCAGCACACAAGGTAGTCTGTGTGTGTGGACAGGGAGCCTTTTTCTTCCAGGGCTGGCCTGTTCTGCCGTCTGCTTCCTGTTTAGCCAGGCAGCAGCCCCAGATCGGATCCATTTGCTCCCCCACTTACTGTGTTTATTTGAAGCCTTACAAAGTTGTGCAGCTGGCAGAAAATTAGATTCAGAGTTCTTGGCCCGCTGTGTCAGGCTTGTGAAATCCGGGAGAAAGGGAAGGCAGTGTGAAGATCTGAGTTATGTAGGTGTTCCTGCAACACTATCCCCTTCCATCTCTGGCGGCTGGATCCTTACTCCTGAGAAACTGGAGCATTGGTGGACGTTCCATGACATCAGGGTAGCTCAGCCAGCAGGGGAGAGGGTGGGGCTGGCAGGCTTCGGCCAACGATGCTGCCTGGGCAAACCTAGACAGGCTACAAACAGCATCTCGTCCCCGTCTGGGAGGCTGAACAGTTTTTGCATCAGAGAAGCCTTTGAGGCTGTGTGTCCGGCCAGTCTGCAGAAATGGGGGGTCCTGCTTGGGGCACCCTCGGGGCCTCCCTTCTACTCCTCGGTGCCCTTTGGGGACTCGCGTGGGGCGGGCAGCAGATGGGCAAGCTTGCGGACAAGAAGCTGTGTGCTGACGCCGAATGCGACCGTGAGTCCCCTCGCCTCTTTGTTGTGGAAGATTGGGGGGTGGGGAGGAAGAGGTCCTCTAGGAAGCTCAGGGAGATGGGGGAAAGGGTGCCCCACAATTTGTTCCCAGGAGCCAGAAGTTTGGAACAGGAAAACGCAGGAGGGGAGAGGGTTCGAATCCTGCTTGCTGTTTCTCCACAAGCATCCGGTTGGCCACTAGGGAAGCCCCTTTTGGCCTGACCCAGCAAGTATTTGAAGAACTGGAAAAAGGATAAACCATTGGGGAAAGGATAATACCTTCTCTTATCTGGGAGCGGACAGTGTGTTGGGCTTCTTTATAAAAGTGCATGGGATACAGAAATAATTTTTGCTCCCCTCCCTTAATACGAAGGCTGCCTCTTGCATAGCAGTCGTTGGGGGGCAGCAATGAGGAAAAGGGTGCTGTTGTCCTGTCCTCTGTGTTTCCATTTAAAAAAATGTTACTTGATGCTTGTTCAAAGATATATAAAAATTCATACACATTAGAAGGTTTCTTTTTATAAGGCACTGAAATAAGACAGATATTTAATTGGGAAAGAACAGAGGCAGAAAGGAAAAAAGAAAAGAAAGCAAAAGAAGAGGAAAATAATAAAGATAAAAAGACGTCTGGTTCTCTGTTCTGCAGCAAAATATAGTCTTCATTAACATTCAACCACTCTATCTTCTATAAACCCAATATTTTTTCAATCTTCAAAGCATTTGTTACAAGTTCGTTGTATCTTTCATGCAAAAAGTGTCCAGTCCTTAAATGTCAGAAATTATTTTTCTCTAATGCGTCCTGCATGTTTCCTACGAAGCACCAGGGGGGACTTTCTGAGAGTAAGCTGTTCAAGAGCAGAACGGACAACCTCGCAAGGCGGTCAACTCTCCTTTGTTGGGGCTTTTTAAGCAGAGGCCAGAGAATGGTTTTATGATCCTTCCTCCCCAAAGGGAGCAGTGTAACAAGATTACGTAAAGACAACTTTAAATGGCACTTTGGAGCGTGGGGTTAAAACCAGCTGTGTTGAAAACTTCCATTGGCCAAAAAGCCTGGACAAATCACTCCATTTCTATCCCAAGGAGCTCACAGTGGCTTACAATAGTTCTCCACCTCCTTTTATCCTCGCAACAACCCTGTAGGGTAGGTTCGGCTGTGAGACACGGAGCAGCCCAAGGTCACCCAGGAAGCTTGACCCTGGCTGAATTCAGATTCAAACTCTTGACTCCCTAGGAAGAGTGAGGATGCTTCCCTTCCCTTGGGACAGAGAGCTTTCCAAAGCAATGAGGGGAGAGACTTGCGACTTCCCTCTTCCTCCAGTTGCAAAGGATTCCATCCTTCGGTTTTACATTCCAACTTTAAAAAATAGCTCCTGAGCTTTGGTTTTCCTCTTCCCTCACGGTTCTTATTTCCTTGCGTGCCGTGGTGGTTTTTTTGACACATTGTAAGCCTGTGGGGCAGAGACTGTCTTGTTGTGATTTTGGGCAAGCTGCTGCCCTGGGAGCCTCTTTGCCTGAAGACATAGCTGTCAGCTTACAGATTTGAAAATAAGGGACCAGCGGCCTCGAAAATAAGGGATCAGCAGCCAAAATAAGGGATTTTGCTGTTGTAAAGAGTTACATACATTGGTAGGATTGACAGATGCTGTCAATCCGGCATGAGGCGGCTGCAGCGCAGCCGTGGCTGCACCACACTTCTGCGTCCCTCCCCATCCCCTCCTCTTCCTCCTCCCTCAGGCCGCCTCCTCAGCTGCCACCACCGCTGCCGCCTCCGGGCTCGCGGGCAGCATGGGCGAGAGTCTCTCTCAGGCGGGGAAGGGCTGATGGAACTCCTCGCGCCAGGATGACAGCGCCAGTGCACGCTCTCTCGCGCGGCGGAGGACCCCGAGCCGCTGCTTCCCTCCTGAGCCGGGCGAGCATGAAACCCGGGAAATTTAAGGGACATCATCAATAAGGGACACAGCACTGGGATAAGGGAGTTTCCCGCCAAATAAGGGACGGTTGACAGCTATGCCTGAAGAGAGGGGTACAGATGCTCTGATGTGGGCATGGCTTTGTTGGGGGGAAGGAGAGGACAACCCTTCCCCAGACGCATCACGTGGATGCCATGTTCCTTTGGGATGTCAGGATCTCAGGCGGCCCCCTGTGCTTCTCCCCCCCTCCATTGCAGATCCCATCTCCATCGCGGTTGCTCTCCACGACTACATCGCGCCCGATTGCCGCTTCATCCACATCCAGAAGGGCCAAGTGGTCTACGTCTTTTCCAAGCTGAAGGGCCGTGGGCGACTCTTCTGGGGAGGCAGTGTGAGTAGCTGCCAGGGGGCGCCAGTTGGCCGTCAAATCGTGGCGTGTCAGGGGGTTGGGCTAGATGGCCACCGGGAACCCTGAAAACTGGGAAGCAGTGAGCATGACCTGCGTTGTCCCAGCTCCTGGGTCCCCATAGCCGTTGCCCTGGGTTCGGATCCTGCTCCTGCCGCTGGCTGTGTCCTTCCTGGGCCTTCTCCATGTGATGGGACTCTGTGGAGAAGCTGGTTGTGTTCCTGCCTCCCAAACAGGGGCAATAAATAGTGGGGGATGATCTCAGTTAAATTGTAAGGTAAAGGTGTTTTAAGCATGGTGTGCACCATATGGCTTGAACCTGCCTTACATGTACCACATAATACCTGTTCCAAACTTTTAGTGGCCTTTGGAACTACCTGCCTATTGAACTTTTTGGGTCGCCTGCTAATAACATCATTTTGTTTAGACAGGCCTGTCCAGGTGGTTTAGAAAGCGGCTGCAAGTTTAAATTTGCTATTAAGTCTATTGTTGGGATGTGGGTGGCGCTGTGGGTTAAACCACAGAGCCTAGGACTTGCCGATCAGAAGGTTGGCAGTTCGAATCCCCACGACGGGGTGAGCTCCCGTTGCTCGGTCCCAGCTCCTGCCAACCTAGCAGTTCAAAAGAACGTCAAAGTGCAAGTAGATAAATAGGTACCGCTCCGGCGGGAAGGTAAACGGCGTTTCCGTGCGCTGCTCCGGAAGCTGTACGCCGGCTCCCTCGGCCAATAAAGCGAGATGAGCGCCGCAACCCCAGAGTCGGTCAGGACTGGACCTAATGGTCAGGGGTCCCTTTACCTTTACTAAGCCTATTGTTATTCTTTAATGTGTTCAGCAGCCTTAAGTTATCACTAAGGAAAATCAACAACAATAATCTTATTGTTTTGCAAGCCGATTTCTGGTGTTGTTGTTTAATCAAGTGTTGTATAAATTTGATGAAAAAGCAAATCATTAAATCGCATGAAGGTGGCACTTCCCACAATAGCCAGCAGAGGGAGCCCCTTCTATGGGGAAAACGGACCCAGGTGTGTCCTGCTCCACCCCCCCTTTTTTTTTGGCGCAGGTGCAAGGAGACTATTATGGGGAGCAGCCAGCCCGCCTGGGATACTTCCCTAGCTCCGTCGTCCAGGAGAACCAGTACCTGAAGCCAGGCAAGGTGGAAGTGAAAACTGACGTAAGTTTGGGGGTGACTTGGGGGGTGGGGTGGGACAGGGCACAGTGGGGAGAGCTCCCCCTTTTCCATGAAGGACCAGGTGCGCAGCCTGGGAGTCATTCTGGACTCACAGCTGTCCAGGGAGGTGCAGGTCAATTCTGTGTCCAGGGCAGCTCCCTGCCCACGCACTGTCTCACCAGAGTGGTGCATGCTCTGGTTATCTCCCGCTTGGACTACTGCAATGCGCTCTACGTGGGGCTACCTTTGAAGGTGACCCAGAAACTACAATTAATCCAGAATGTGGCAGCTAGACTGGTGAATGGGAGCGGCCGCCAAGACCACATAACACTGGTTTTGAAAGATCTGCATTGGCTCCCGGGACGTTTCTGAGCACAATTCAACGTGTTGGTGCTGACCTTGAAAGCCCTAAACGGCCTCAAAGGCCCAGTATACCTGAAGGAGCGTCTCCATCCCCATCATTCAGCCCGGACACTGAGATCCAGCGCCGAGGGCCTTCTGGCGGTTCCCTCACTGTGAGAAGCCAAGTTACAGGGAACCAGGCAGAGGGCCTTCTCGGTAGTGGCGCCCTCCCTGTGGAACGCCCTCCCTTCAGATGTGAAGGAAATAAGCAGCTATCCTATTTTTAAAAGACATCTGAAGGCAGCCCTGTTTAGGGAAGTTTTTAATATTTAATGCTGTATTCTTTTTAACACTTGATTGGGAGCCGCCCAGAGTGGCTGGGGAAACTCAGCCAGATAGGCGGGGTACAAATAATCAATTATTATTATTATTATTATTATTATTATTATTCCATCCCTGAACCCTTTCCCTGCCTCCTCTCCTTGTCCACTGGGCCATGAGATGCGAAAAGCATGTGCTGTGGGGCAGGGAGAGCAGCCCCCTAACAAGTGGGGCAGGTTGGGAGATTTGCATTTTGGAGTTCCCTGCCTAGGAGGAGAAACCTTCCTTTCTTTCAGAAATGGGACTTCTACTGCCAGTGACTCAAGCAGACCGGATTGGGGTGACGCCCCAGCTCTCGATCCCGGAGACCGCGCCAGCCTTGCAGGGTAGGCTGCCTGGGAGTCTCACGCCTTCTCTGCCTAGTTCTCTCTAGATGCTGCTGTTTTCCTAAGTGGGCCTTGCAAGGGGGTGGGGGCTGCATCCTGCATCTGCCCCCCAGGTGTAGATGAAGATGGGAGCTTCAATTGACACAACTGACCCCTTGAAATAAAGTGCTTTCTGAGTAAAAACCGTACTGATATATTTTATTTATTTATTAAATTTTTTATTAGATTTTCCACAGTGATAACACAAACCACAAAGCAAAATGATACACAAAAACAGAAAAAGAAGAAAGAAAGAAAAGGGGGGAGGAAGAATAAACAGATAAACAATAACAACAAACTTAATTCTTCACAAATCCAACTTTTTAAACATCTTGATTGACTTCCTCAAATCCCTCCCTTCTGAGTTTCCTTGTAATTAAAAGTAACAGCTTTCCAATATCATGATTAAACTAAAACAATTTCCAGTTATAGTCCATCTTATTCACTTTTCTTAACATTCTAAATCCCATTTATTTAATTATAACTTAATTTAATCCTAGGCCTATTTTTGATCTTGAGAACCGGAGAGCACAAGAAAAGCCTGCTAGGTCTGCCCAATGGGACTTCTAGGCCAGCATCCTATTATGGGAAACCAGCAGCCAGGATTCGAACACAGGACCAATATTCTCCCCTCTTGCCGTTTCCAGCCACGGGGGTTCAGAAGCCTGGCTGCCTCCAAAGAATAGCGATCCTGGCTAGTCGCCATCCCTAGCCCTCTCATCCTCTGTGAATTTGTCCCATCCTCTTCTAAAGCCATCCAAGTTGGTGGCCCTTTGCTGCCTCCTGGGGGAGGGAGTTCCACAGGTTAACATAGCAGCAAGGATGGCTGCCAGCATGGAGGGCTTCTGAACCCCACTTGCTCCCGTGCTCGGATCCTAATTGCTGCTTTCCCAAAACAAAACAACAACAAACCTCTGCTTACGTGAAACATATTCAATAAACACACAAGACGTAACCAGCTGTACGTTTGAAAAAATAATGTATACTATTCATTGTATTGAATTGTAGGTTTCAACAGAAGTAACTCAAAGTTCAACGGAAAAAGTAGAAGACCCAGTAAGGTAAAGGTAAAGGGACCCCTGACCACTAGGTCCAGTCACGGACGACTCTGGGGTTGCAGCGCTCATCTCGCTTTATTGGCTGAGGGAGCCCGTACAGCTTCCGGGTCATGTGGCCAGCATGACTAAGCCGCTTCTGGCGAACCAGAGCAGCGCACAGAAACACCGTTTACCTTCCCTCCGGAGCGGTACCTATTTATCTACTTGCACTTTGACATGCTTTCGAACTGCTAGGTTGGTAGGAGCAGGGACCGAGCAACGGGAGCTCACCCCGTCGCGGGGATTCGAACCGCCGACCTTCTGATCGGCAAGTCCTAGGCTCTGTGGTTTAACCTACAGCGCCACCCGCGTCCCTTTAGAAGACCCAGTGGATCAGTTCATTTTCTAATCAGTTTATGCATAAGGTCCATATACAGTGGTACCTTGGGTTAAGTACTTAATTCGTTCCATAGGTCCGTTCTTAACTCAAAACTGTTCTTAACCTGAAGCACCACTTTAGCTAATGGAGCCTCCTGCTGCCACTGCGCTGCCGGAGCACGGTTTCTGTTCTCATCCTGAAGCAAAGTTCTTAACCTTAGGTACTATTTCTGGGTTAGCAGAGTCTGTAACCTGAAGCGTCTGTAACCTGAAGTGTCTGTAACCTGAGGTACCACTGTATGTGAAAGTGTCTATTCCACCTGTCTGTTCATAGAGTCCAACAATCCACACAAAAGGTTGTTACAGTTCCACAGTTTATGCCAAAACTGATTAGAGAATGCACTGATCCACTGGGTCTTCTACTTTTTTCGTTGAACTTTGAGTTACTTCTGTTGAAATCAACAATTCAATACAATGAATCGTATATATTATTTTTTCAAACGTAAGGCCGGTTACGTCTTGTGTGTTCATTGAACAGCTTTCCCAAAACAGGCGTCAGGTAGGCTGCGAGCCTGATCAGCCAGCTCTTCTGATGCGCTCGGGAGTCCGCCGACGGTCATTGCCCTCTGCTCATGCTCAGAGGCGCTCTTTCACCTGGAGCGCTGCATGCTCTGCAGTCACATCGGGGGACTGAGGCTGTGGGGCTGAGTCTCCGAAATGAGCTGTGATCTGCTGCCTTTGCCGAACCATCGCCTCGGGGGAGAGAACACAGAGCTGGGCATGGCAGGTGCCAGCTGAGCCCTGGGAATGTAGGTCAACTCTCTTTCCCTGCTTGGCAGCAATTTTCCTCCCTTCCGCAGCCTGGCAGAGCCCCCTCCCTGGCCTCCAGCCGCCGCCTTGACCCAGTTCCTGGGCCTTGGCAGAAGGCTTGGGTCACACCTGCTGCTCCAACGCCCCCACGATGCCAGCACAATCGGCCAGTTTCTCAGGTGGTTGTATCATGGCCCCATCAGGCTGGCATTGCCCCTGCCCCCTGGCTGGGATGCCCCTGCACCCCACTGCCTGTAGGGTGAGGGGGTCCAGAGGCTTCCTTCTCCTCCCTGCCCCCCCTTGTTCCAGCCCCACCACTGCTCAGTTTTCCAAAGATCGCTATCTGCTCCACAAGCTGACGCACGTGAGCAAAGTCCGTGGCGCCACGGGATTAACAGAAGCAGGAGGTTGGCGCTTGGCCTTTGAACCAGAGGGGGACCCAGGGCAGTAAGGGGGGGCTGGTCATGTGCCAGAGGGACAAAAGCATTGGGGGGGCAGGCAGACGATGCCAAGGTAGACAGCTCTCTGTTTTCTCTGTCCTGGCACCGGAACGCAGAGCAGAGAGCGGCATGCATTTATTGAGCGGGAAAATAGCAGAAACACAGAGGAAACAATAACAAGAGGAAAGGCCGGTGATAAAATAACAATAGACTTAAAATAGATCGGTGCTCGTGTCGGCTTTCTAAACCTCAGGGCAGAGGCAGAGGTCCTGAATGGGGTGACAGTGCCCCTGAAGGACCAGGTGCGCAGCCTGGGAGTCATTTTGGACTCACAGCGGTCCATGGAGGCGCAGGTCAATTCTGTATCCGGGGCAGCTGTCCACCAGCTCCATCTGGTACGCAGGATGAGACCCTACCTGCCCACAGACTGTCTTGCCAGAGTGGTGCATGCTCTGGTTATTTCCCGCTTGGACTACTGCAATGCGCTCTACGTGGGACTACCTTTGAAGGTGACTCGGAAACGACAACTAATTCAGAATGCGGCAGCTAGACTGGGGACTGGGAGCGGCCACCGAGACCACATAACACTGGTCCTGAAAGACCTATATTGGCTCCCAGGACGTTTCCGAGCACGATTCAAAGTGTTGGTGCTGACCTTTAAAGCCCTAAATCGCCTCAAAGGCCCAGTAGACCTGAAGGAGTCCACCCCCATCATTCAGCCCAGACACTGAGGTCCAGCTCCAAGGGCCTTCTGGCGGTTCCCTCATTGTGAGAAGCGAGGTTACAGGGAACCAGACAGAGGGCCTTCTCTGTAGTGGCACCTGCCCTGTAGAACGCCCTCCCTTCAGATGTGAAGGAAATAAGCAGCTATCTTATCTTTAAAAGACATCTGAAGGCAGCCCTGTTTAGGGAAGTTTTTAATATTTAATGCTGTATTCTTTTTAACATTCGATTGGAAGCTGCCCAGAGTGGCTGGGGAAACTCAGCCAGATGGGTGGGGTATAAATAAATTATTATTATTATTATTATTATTATTTTAGCAGGGGCCGGAAAAAGTGCAGTGAAAGCGTTTGTCAAGAGGCAGGGAAGGGTCATTGTGTGGCACCTGTGCCAGCTTTGCAGATTGGAGCAGTTGAGGGGCACACATGGAAGAATGGGGTCTTTGAGGGAAATTGGTTTGCACTCAACCGAGCAGAAAAACCTTATCCATGCTCAGAGGCCGACAAGACCTGCGTCGTCTTCAAAGGGGCTTGCCAACGTCTCTGTTGACTATTTTAGCTAGCCATCACCTGCACCCACGACCACCTCGAATAGAGGTGCCCCCCCCCTTTTCGGTGCCAGGAGCACAATACCCATTTCACAGGAAGAAGTGGTGAGGCTCCCTCTGCAATAAAGAAACCGAGATAAAACGCAGACCCACACATCAGCAGGCGGCAACTCCAACCAGCTTCCCCCTTCCCACATGCCAATCCTGTGATTCCTGCATTGCAGGGGGGGTTGAACTAGATGACCCTGGGTGTCCCTTCCAACGCTGCAGTTCTGTGATTCTCTAACCCACTCCCATTTAAAAATAAAAGAGGAGGGTCAGGGGTTCTTGGCTGTTGCCAGGGGTCTGTGGGTCTCCCTCATCCTCCCACTGCCCTCCTGGGGTATTCCCAGGGAGAGGAGATGTGGGTCAGCTCAAGGCGGCTTGGGTCTCGAGTGCAGTTTCCGGTAGCCGGCAGGAGGGAGTTCACCTTTCGCTCAGAGCATTGCGCTCTCCGAGTATCTGATTTACCTAGGCAGTTCCAGGTTGGGCCGGGAGGAGCTGTGGGAAACGGCGAGGACTAGGAAGCTGGAGCTGTTCTGAACCTGTTTGCCCCGGCCTGAACACCCAGCTGCTCCCAGTATCTCCAGCGCGTGGAAAACACACACCCTTCGCCGTGTCCATGACCTGACTGCCTTTGGAGAAGGAACCTGCAGCCAAACGCTTTAGGGAAGCTTTTAATGTTTGAAGCATTACTGTATCATCATCATCATCATCATAATATATTATTTATACCCCGCCCATCTGGCTGGGTTTCCCCAGCCACTCTGGGCGGCTTCCAACAAAACACTAAAATACAATAACCTATTAAGCATTAAATGCTTCCCTAAACAGGGCTGCCTTCAGATGTCTTCTAAAAGTTTGGTAGTTGTTTTTCTCTTTGACATCTGGTGGGAGGGCGTTCCACAGGGCAGGTGCCACCACCGAGAAGGCCCTCTGCCTGATTCCCTGTAACTTGGCTTCTCACAGGGAGGGAACCGCCAGAAGCCCCTCAGCGCTGGACCTCAGTGTCCGGGCAGAACGATGGGGGTGGAGACGCTCCTTCAGGTATACTGGGCCTCTGAGGCCATTTTGGGCTTGAAAGGTCAGCACCAACACTTGGAATTGTGCTTGGAAACATACTGGGAGCCAGTGTAGGTCTTTTTGTTGAAAGCCGCCCAGATGGGTGGGTATAAATAATAAATTATTATTATTATTATTATTATTATTATTATTATTATTATTATTTTGAATGTGCCTTAGCTGGCTCCTCACAACACCCCTGAAAGGCAGGCCCCCACCTCTCCTCCTTCAACTGGCAGAGGCGAGATCCAAACCCGGAGCCTTCCTGCTGAGGGAGGCTGCCCCAGGCAGTAGAGCAGAATCATAGGACGGCAGAGTCGGAAGTGACCCCCAAGGCTCATCTAGTCCAACCCAAAGCAGATGCCCTCCCACTGAGCTACGAATGCAAGATGTCCAAAAACCTGGCTGAGGGAACAGAGGGCCCTGGTGGAAGGGGCCGGGGGCCAAGCAGCCTTGAGCCCCAGCGCCTTTCCGGTGGCGCTGTGGGTTAAATCACAGAGCCTAGGGCTTGCCAATCAGAAGGTTGGAGGTTCAAATCCCCGCGACGGGGTGAGCTCCCGTTGCTCGGTCCCTGCTCCTGCCAACCTAGCAGTTCAAAAGCACGTCAAAGTGTAAGTAGATAAATAGGTACCACTCCGGCGGGAAGGTAAACGGCGTTTCCGTGCGCTGCTCTGGTTCGCCAGAAGCGGCTTAGTCCTGCTGGCCACATGACCCAGAAGCTGTACGCCGGCTCCCTCGGCCAATAAAGCGAGATGAGCGCCGCAACCCCAGAGTCGGCCACGACTGGACCTAATGGTCAGGGGTCCCTTTACCTTTACTAAGTTAGGATTCGCTGACCCCACACCTCACGGTACTCCTCCGGCTGCCTGGGCCTCAGAGACGGAAGACCCCAAATGAGCTGGCCCCTATTACCCCCAACCCCTGGACAGACAGAGTTTGGCTCATCTGGGTCCTCCGTGGGGCCAAGGTGGGCAGCTGTGATGGAGGCACCTTCTCGTTCGGTGGCCAAGGAGCAGCTGGAAGAGGAGAAGGTGGTGTTGGCACCCCTCTTTGGAAGGGGACCCCCCCCAGGCTGTCTGCCACCTGCCTCCCTCGACGGGGCACACGCGGGGGACAGGATGGAGGTCTTGTCTGCCTCGGCATTTGGATCAGACCCGCTTTCAGGGCCCAGGTGCCAATGTCCTAGGCTGGCCGGCTGGGTCCACCCTCCTTTCTACTCTTCCTGCCGGCCAAACCGGTTTGGCAGGATCCGGGAGCGCAGGCGAGTGCCCACCCCACACCGGAAGAAGGCGCCTGGGCTAAGAACAGGAGCCTGCCGGATCAGAACAGTGTCCCCCGCCCCGGTCCAAGCTCCTGTTCTCACAGGGCCCCCAAGGAGGAGAGCCAATGCTGGATCCAAGCGCAATAATGCGTCAGGGGAGGCCCAGGGTCAAGAAATAAGCTGGGGAAGCAAAGCCGAGTCCTTCTGACTCTTCCTCCATGAATTTGCACATTCCTCTTTCAAAGCCATCAAAGTCCCCCGCCCCCGCCTCTTGTGGGAGGGAGTTCCGCCGTTTAACTCTGCGCTGCGTAAAGAAGCCCGTCTTTCAATTTATCCGGAACCTTCCAATCTTACCCATAAGATTGTTAACTCGGCTTGGCCAAGGCTGGTGTGAACTCTGGGGGAAAGGGGCCACGTCCAGCCTTGCGGGGGGGGGGCGTTGGCGCCAGGGGGTCGTGCACAAAGTGTTTTGGACCGGAGGACCTCCTGCCCCCCGCCCAGCCTCCCGCTTCCCAATTTCCAGTAACGCCTCGGGTGTGTTTCCTGTTTTCGCTGGGATGCGCAGTCCAGGGCGTCGGGGGTGCTTTTCCCGGCTACTGTCTGATGCGCAAAGCAGGAAGACGCCCCCTCCAGAAAGAAACACATTGTCAGGAAGGACATGTTTTCCATTTCAGAGAGACAAAGCAGGGAATTGGGGGGGGGGGGGTTGCAGGAGGGGGCAGGGAGCCTGGCTTCAGCCTACAGCGCCGCCCTTTACGCATGGCAGGGAGGGTGGGACTGGATAACCTCGGGGGTCCCCACCCCCTCGACGATCCTGTGATTTCCTGAGGAATCCCTTCCCTCGAGCCGCCTGAAGCGTGTTCATAGAATCGAGGAGTTGTGGGAAGGGGACCCCCGACGGTCATCTAGTCCCACCCCTGTTCCATGCTGGATCTAGGCTGGGGAGGGGGCTCTCTGCCCTCCCCGTCGAGGGCGGAGGCTGCCGCGAGGTGAGGGGGCAGGTACAGACCCCGCCCCCACAAAGGGGCGTGTCCTCCTGGGCGGGGAGGCGTGGCCCCGACGAGGCGCTCCACTCCCTGCCTGCCTGCCTGCGCCCGGGCGCACAGCCTGGAAGGAGCGTCCGCTGCCGCCGCCGCCGCCTCTCCGCCCTTTCGTCCGCCCGCGCGCTTTCTGCGAGGGGACCCCGCGATGCCTCCGCAGGGCGAGTCTCTCCCGCCGGTGCCCCCGCGCCGCCCCCGCGAGCAGCGACGCCTGCGGGGCCTCGAGTGCGTTCTGCTGGGCGACGGCGCCGTCGGGAAAACCAGCCTGGCGCTCAGCTACAGCACCAACGGCTTCCCCGCGCGATACGTCCCCACCGCCCTCGACCGCTTCTCCGGTACGCGAGCGATGCGCGGGGGTGGGGTGGGATGGATGACCTTTGGGGGTGCCCTTCCCGCTCTGCGGGGACAAGGAAGAGCAACGACGACACTGGTTCCCGGGAGGTTTTGTTTTTTTATCCGCGGAGGTCATTATTCAGCTGCCATTGCAGGGGGTTGGGATGGATGACCTTTGGGGGTCCCCTAACCAACCGAGCAGGTCTGTGATTCTACATGGGGCGTGGCTAGTGCTCAGTGCGATGCCTGCTCAACAGCCAGAGGGCATCGCCAACGTTGCAGGTTTACCTGCTCCCCAAAGTGAGGCCCTGCCCGGAGCCCGGTTTGCAGGGGCTCCTGCAAAGCCTTTTTCACGGGAGACCCCGGCAAGAGCCTCTTCCTGCTTGCCTCGTTCTGCCAGGAAAGATTTGCAGGCCTGGAGTCGACCGCATCCAAGTTTTCCTTTCCTAGTTCCTACCTGGCGAAAGACAAACTTTCATTTCACCAGAGTAGCCTCAGTCTGAGCGAACGCTGCCGGAGGAGATCTATGGATGACGCGGGAAATGCAAACTAAACAAATGACGTCAGAATAATAATATTAAATAAGTATAAAAGTGGTTGGGGGTTGGCCTATATGATCGCTGGGGTGCCTCCCAAACTACGACGCAGTGAATAACAAGAGGTTTTGCAACGGAGAATGGGTCGGGGATTATTGAGTTGTGCTCCCTGCACTGCAGGAGTTGGGCTAGAATTTTATTATTATTATAAGTATTTTATTAAAATAACTTCATTCGTAAAGAGATGACCGGGGGTGGGGGATTAAAGAGTGAGTGGGAATGAAAAAGAAGAAGAAAATACTGTCACCATTCATTAATATGCAGGTGTGTATATTACAAATAATTGCCAGTAAGCTAATATATTCTGCATAAACTCATTCCAGATAGAATTATATTTATCCAAAGAGAGTCTGCTTTTCTAGCCATGTATTAAGGGGAATTGTCTCTCTCCTTCCCGTTCATCAATATCAGCCTCTGTTCCGGGTTCGAGTGCCGGCGGAGTCACCAAAAAAAGAAATCAATATCAGCCACTAGGATAGATGACCCTGGGGGGAGTCTTCAAAGGAGTCTGTCAAGAACCACAGTTCTCCTTCTGCCAGGGATCCTTGAGCTGCAACCCTTGTGTTCCATGGGGTTGGGCTGGATGACCTTTGGAGGTCCCTTCTGCCTCCAGTGCCAGGGAGACTGAGCAGGAAGGCGCTGGGCTCTGACTTCCACCTCTGGGCGAGTGAAATCCCTGATGCCGTGTCTTGATCTGGGGCGGCTGGCAAAATTAGAAACAGAACTGTTAGAACCCAAAACTAAGAATTTGTCAAGAATGTATAACTTGCTGCTGAAATGGAATACTCAGGATGAAACCGTGAAATCTGCTATGATTAAATGGGCACAAGATGTTGGACATAACATCATGTTTGCTGACTGGGAACAGTTATGGACCACAGGTATGAAGTTTACGGCATGTAATGCCCTAAGAGAGAATATTATGAAAATGATATACAGGTGGTACATAACCCCAGTCAAGCTTGCAAAATCTACCATCTGCCCGATAACAAATGTTGGAAATGTAAAGAAACTGAAGGTACATTCTTTCACCTTTGGTGAACGTGCCCAAGGATTAAGGTTTTCTGGGAGATGATTTATAATGAATTAAAAAGGTATTTAAATATACCTTCTTGAAGAAACCAGAGGCCTTTCTCCTGGGCATAGTCGACCAATCGGTGTTAAAGAAGGACAGAACTTTCTTTATGTACTGCTAACAGCAGCAAGAATACTTATTGCAAAGTATTGGAAGACACAAGATTTACCCACACTGGAGGAATGGCAGATGAAAATGATGGACTATATGGAATTGGCGGAAATGACTGGCAGAATCCGAGACCAGGGAGAAGAGTCGGTGGAAGAAGATTGGAAGAAATTTAAAGACTACTTACAGAAATATTGTAAAATTAATGAATGTTAGAATGATGACGGATTGAAGTTAAGCGGTTTCTAGCAGTAATGGTTAAAAGAATTGGAAAAATTGGTTTTTAATAGGTAAAAATTTAATGTTATAATGTTAAGATTAAAGATCAGGATTAAAAAGGAGGGAAAGGAATTGCTGGACTAACAAACTGAATTGGAATACAAAAGAGGGAGGTATGAGGAGGTCCGGGAAACAAGTAAACGTAAAAGAAGTGATGAAAAGACGGAATTGTTTTTAACTGTTTTTCTTTTTCGTTTTTGTATTTTGTATTGTGTATTTTTCTTTTTATTGTTAATTTTTTTATTAATGTGATCCTTTTCTTGTGAAATTTTAATAAATATCATTAAAAAAAAAGTGATCTGGGGCGGCTGGATCTGTCTTCCTTCCCAACTCTGACCCCCCATTTTTCTGTTTCGCCCCCCAGCTGTGGTGCAGGTTGACGGAGACCCCATCCGGCTGCAGCTGTGCGACACCGCAGGGCAGGTAAGGAGGCCAGACGGGATGGGCTAGAGACTGACCTGGACTTGGCACTTTGACCTGGCCCTTCCTAACCGTCCCTTGGGCCTTCTTGAGGTCTAGCAACTTGCTTTCTCGAATCTATTCCCGAGGGTTGCAAGCCTGCCGCTGAACCGCTTTCCCCTCCGTAAACGGCACAGCTGGCTTCCCCTCCCCGCAACCTGTAAGGGCAAAGGTGTCCCGGAGGCGAGAGGCACAGGTGGGCTTTGTGGGGCCACATTTATTTGGGGCCCTTCTTTGCGCCTCCCAAATCTCTTTGCGCCTCCCGTATCTGGCTTGTGGGGAAACTGAGGAGGGTCGGCTCTGGTGTCCGGGGTCCTAATACAGACACGTAGATATTGATCTATTCTGGTTGTGATTGCAATTTGCCTTTGAAATAGACATATTGCTTAATTTTTACTTCTACAAAAAAATAACAAACCTTTGTCAACACAAGAAATATAAGACAAACTAGAAGACACCCAAATGCCCTGGTTAACACATCACCAATTACATGCCTTCGTAAACAACCCAGCAGTAAAATCAGCAGCAACTAGGCCCCTGACAACCTTCGAAAACCTCCTTCTAACCACAAAGGGACACGGTAAAGGGATGGTATCCGCAGTATACAAAATACTACTGCAAAATCCCATGAACTCCCTAGATGCAATCAAAAAACAATGGGAGGATGACATAGGCTATGAGATTAACCCCACTCAATGGACCAAAATGTGGTCTAACCCCCCCGCCCTTTAAATCCATATCAATGAAAAGAAAAGAACTCACTCTAAAACTCACCTACAGGTGGTACCTAACACCAAGAAAACTAGCGCTAATATGCCCAGGAACCTCACCAAAATGCTGGAGAGGGTGCACCTCCACAGGCACATACCTCCACATGTGGTGGGAGTGTCCCAAAATCCAACTATTCTGGACAACAGCCATATGAGAAATAAGTAAAATAACCAAACAAGTATTAGAAACCACCCCAGAATTGGCCCTACTAAACATCTTCCAAGACGACAATGCCCACTTACACCACAAAGAACTGATAACCCACCTACTTTCAGGAGCCAGAAACACCATAACCAGACACTGGAGAGACCTGTCAGGAGTAAGCATGGACCAATGGTACCAAATAGTATGGGAAACAGCCCTACTAGAAAAATTAACCAATAAACTGAAACTGACATGGGGACAAATAGAAGAAGACGCCTTTATCACATACACAGCCCAACAAGACAATGACAAAAATCCACCAACGGCATACAAATCAATATGGCTAAGTTAAAGGGACCCCTGACCATTAGGTCCAGTCGTGGCCGACTCAGCTCGCTTTATTGGCCGAGGGAGCCGGCGTACAGCATCCAGGTCATGTGGCCAGCATGACTAAGCCGCTTCGGGCGAACTGATGGGGACTTCGGTGGTGCTGTGGGTTAAACCACAGAGCCTAGGGCTTGCCGATCAGAAGGTCGGCGGTTCAAATCCCCGTGACAGGATGAGCTCCCTTTGCTCGGTCCCTGCTCCTGCCAACCTAGCAGTTTGAAAGCACGTCAAAGTGCAAGCAGATAAATAGTTACCGCTCTGGCGGGAAGGTAAACGGTGTTTCCGTGTGCTGCTCTGGTTCGCCAGAAGTGGCTTGGTCATGCCGGCTCCCTCGGCCAATAAAGCGAGATGAGCGCCGCAACCCCAGAGTCGTCCGCGACTGGACCTAACGGTCAGGGGTCCCTTTACCTTTACCTATGCTGCCCTTCCTCCCTTGAAGAGGGTTGGCCTAGATGCCCGCCAGGGCACCCCCTCCCAGCCCTGCGGTTGGAATCAACGAGGGTCATCGTTTTCTGATTCATCGGAGCGCTTTAAACAGAGGTTGCCTGGCCGCCTGCCACGGATTCTCGAGTGGCGATTCCTGCCGCGTTGCAGGGGGGTTGGTCTAGATGACCCCTGGAGGACCCCTCTCAGCTCTGCGGTTCCCTGGTTTGGTGCCTGCAGGGACCCCAGCTTGCAGGGCGCCCCTCTCTCCCTCCTCACGGCCTCCCCTCTTTGCCCCTCACAGGACGAGTTTGACAGCCTGCGGCGCCTCTGCTACCCGAAGGCGGACGTGGTCCTGCTCTGCTTCAGCGTCGTGTCTCCCACCTCGTTCCAGAACATCTCTGAGAAGTGGCTACCTGAATTGCGCCGTCACTGCCCCGCCACGCCCGTCCTGCTGGTGGGCACCCAGTCGGACCTGCGCCAGGACGTCAAGGTCCTCATCGCCCTGTCCCGGCGCCGGGAGAAGCCCGTGTCCCCCTCAGCCGCCCGCACCCTCTCCGCCAAGGCCGGCTTGCTGGGCTATGTGGAGTGCTCAGCCCTCACCCAGCACAACCTAAAGGAGGTCTTTGACACGGCCATCACCGCAGGGCTGCGCTGCGCCCGCGGCCCCCCGCCCAAGCCGCAGCGTCGCAGCACCGCCAGCCGCATCCGGACCCTCTCCAAGGCCTGGTGGAGGAAGCACGTCTGCCTGTCGTAGCGCCGGGTGCGATTCCCGCATGGCCTGACCCCTTCCAATGGGTTTGCCTGCAGACTGGATCAACTGAGGGGTGTAGGCTTTTGAGAGGGGCCAGGCTGGGCCAGCCTTCTTCGCAGGGACATCGGGCAGAATCTCGGCAGGGCCAAATAGATCTCGAAACGGATCCCAAAGACGTGTCCTCGTCTCCGAGAGGGACGTGGCCGGGCTTTCATTTAGAGACGCTCTGTTGGCTGGAGAGAGCGGATGCTTCTGAACGGCTGCGTTTGGCTCCTGGTTGCTGGTCTCCCTTTTGGGCATGTGGTTGGCAGCTGTGAGAACAGGAGGCTGGACCATTGACCTGAGCTTCTCATGTACTTGGGAACCTCCAGCTCCACAGGCAGTCTATCTGAATTCTTAAGTTCTGTGGGGGCATTTGGCCCCTGTGTGGCTGGACTAAATGGGTCCCCTTTGGGCCTGATCCAGCAGCTGGGCTCTTCTAATGTTCTTGTGCTTCCCCCCCACCTTGGGATTTGGGACCTTCAGCTCCCAGCCCCACTGAGAAGGGCCATATATTTGTAGACCCAAATATCTCTGGGGAGATGGGACCAGGTTGGGGGCAGATGCTTTGGGGAGGCTGTGGCTGGAAGCTTTGCCTCCCCACCCCCAAAAATAAAACTTCTGCACCTGGTTTAGCTGAGAGCGAGATGGAGCAGCCCCTTGCCCAGAGTGGGGGTGTACTTGCAGAAGCGTGAGATGGGGTGACATTTTTTAAACCACTTGAATCCGAAAATTTTGTAGAGTTGGAAGAGAACCCTCCCCCCCCCCCCGGGCCACCTAGTCCCAAGCCCCTGCAATGCAGCAAGCACAGCAAACTTTGGTTCTTGGTTTCGGAAGGAGAATATTTCGGGTCGGGGGAAAGTTTCTGGAAAGGAAAAATTGTAGAGTGATTTTTTTACGCCATTTGTGCCTTTTCTCCCGAGACGAAACCAGGCCTTGAATCTGCAGTGTGTGTGTGTACAGTGGACGCTCAGGTTGCAAATGTGATCCGTGCGGGATGCACGTTCGCAACCCGCAGTGTTCGCAAGCCGCGGGTTGCAATTCGGCGCTTCTGCGCATGCACAAAGCACGATTTTGCACTCCTGCGCATGCGCGGCCGCCAAAACCTGGAATTAATCCGTTCCGGTACTTCCGGGTTTCGGCGGTCCGTAACCTGAAAAAATGCAACCTGAAGCGTCTGTAACCCGAGGTATGACTGTATTTGGTCTGACCCAGGCAGCATGGTCAGACTAGGACCAGGGTTCGAATCCTCGCTCGGCCACGAAGCTCCCCAGCTGTGACGTTGGGGCTCAGCCACCGCCTCTCTCAGCCTGACCTGCCTCACAGGGTTGTTGTTGCAGGGATTAAATGAGGATCGGGAGAACCAGGTATCCTTGGATAGAGGGGGGTGGAGAGGCAATAAAAGAATTAATAATAAAACCCCAAGCTGCGCCCCCAATAAAATGCAGTGAGACAACTTGACGTCTCTTTCTGAGCCCTTGCAAGGAGGCAGGTGGAAATGTGCCTTTTTTTGAGGGGGGGGAAATTCCCCCACCTGCCTAGTTTCTCGTTCCCTTTGCCTTGCAAAGAACCTGCAAAACTTTCCCTCCTTCCCCTTCATTTCTCTTTCCATGGAAAAATAAAATAAAATCCTGGGAATTGGGAGCTGCTTTCTCTTTTTTTCCGTTTCCTGTTTCTCCTGCCCCCCCTCCACCTGTGTCCTTCCTGAAAAGCATTTTTTTTTTTTGCAAGCTTGAATTCTCCAGCCTCCTGGCTGCAAAGGGGAGGGGGGGGAGTCTGCTTTGTAGTTCTCAGTGCAATCGCCTCCCCCCCAAAAAATACCACCCCACCCACGTACAGGAATTTGGAAAATTACAAAAGGTGACGGGTTTTCAATTTTGCTGCAACACAGAGATGAAATGCGCGCCGCTGCTTTTCTTTCTCGGGGGGGGGGGGGTCAGAGAACAGCCTCCCCCCTTGCAACAAAAATCTCTAGGTTGCATTTGCACAGGAGCATTTCTGACTTTTTTTTGTGGGGTGGGGGAAAGCTCCCTTTGAAGTATTGTCTCTTGATTAAAAATAAGCTGTTTTCTTTCCTCTCCTGTGTGAATGGCTGCCTTGGGTCTGCCCCCCCCCATGGGGGTCAGAGGCGGAAGGGAGGAAAGGGACTTGGGGTTTCACCCCCCCAAAAAAGGGGAGGCGGGAAGAGAATCACGTGCTCCACCTGAAGCCCCGTTGGAGGAAAAGTTGGGGCAGAAATGCAATAAATGAACAATGAGTAAAGATGTAATTTTGTTTCTCCCTCATTCAGCATGTATTGGGCCAGAGTTGGCTGGGATCCCATGGGCCATCTAGTCTGACCCCCTTCAATGTCTCTATGTGATACAGAGATGGATTTTGTGTGTATGTCCCGGGCTCCGTTTCTGTCTCTGCGATTCCCCAATAGCCCCCACTTCCTCCTCCCCCCCAATGTTTCGTCACGGTTCTCTTTTCGATATGACCCCCTTCCGGACAGAGCGCCCCCTTTCGCCCCTCTCTCCAAATCCCAGTAGACAGAGGCGATGGTTCTAACCCAGAGGTTTCCAACGTTGTGCCCTCCGGATATGCCTGGACCACAAGTCCCATCATCCTTGACCACTGGGGCTCATGGGAGCTGGAGTCCCAAAAATCTCGGGAGAGGGGGGCACTGCTGTCCCCGCCATCTCGGCTGCCCTCTGCTCCAGCTAATTCGGTGAGTAGGGAAAATGTACTCTGCACGTGCTCAGAGGCTCCTGAGCTTTAAAGGCGCAGCTTCGTGTCCCTGGGCTGCACTTTGGCCTTCGTGGCAAGTCTGGGCCTGTTAATATTAACAGGACGGCAGCGGACATGTCAGCCTCGCTTGCGCCCTGTTCTCCGCTGGGGCTCCTCTGAGAAGTTGCTTTTCCTGCCCCCAGAGGCAGAATCTTCGGCTGGGAGACGCTGCCTCAGGCCAGGCGATTGGGGGAAGCAGCCGGAAAAGGGGTAAGAAGGGAACAGAAACCTGGGAGGCTGGCAGGCCTGACTGCCTTTCTACTCCCTCCTGGCTTAGGCGCCTTCTTTTGATAGACACTCATGGAATCGTAGAGTTGGAAGGGGCACCCGGGGGTCATCCAGCCCAACCCCCTGCAATGCAGGAATCTCAGCTGAAGAATCCTTGACCGATGGCCATCCAACCTCTGCTTAAAAACCTCCAAGGAAGGAGATTGCACCACCTTCCGAGGGAGCTGGAAGCCAGAGCTATTCCTTCCTTCCCTCTCCCTCCCTCCCTTCCTTCCTTCCTTCCTTCCTTCCTTCCTTCCTTCCTTCCCTCCCTCCCTCCCTTCCTTCCTTCCTTCCTTCCTTCCTTCCTTTCTTTCTTTCTTTCTTTCTTTCTTTCTTTCTTTCTTTCTTTCTTTCTTTCTTTCCCGCTCCACTTCCTGCTCCGCTCCTGCTTCCCTCCCTCGCCTCCTCCTGGGGGTTTTCCGGAGCCTGGGCTCCAGGCCCACAACCTGGCAGCCGCCCCACCCTGCTCTGTGGGGCAGAGGGAAGCTGAGAGCCTGCAGGCCTCCTCCTCTTTGGCGAGGGCAGCCAGCGCTTCTTGGGTGCCTGCCTGCCTCTTGCCGGCCACCCCTGGCATCTTCCCTCCCCTGCCGCAACCTGCCCAGCTGCCGCCATCTTATCGGGGCATCAAAGGCGGCCTGCTGGCGCACAGCCCGGCCTGCCAGCGGGTGCTGGATGAGGCCCAGGAGTCCTTGGGACTTTGCCCTGCGGGGTGTGCCCAGCCGTTCCGCGGGAAGGGGTGAAAGGGCCAGGCCCCTTCCCCCTGAGCATGTGCAGAGTGCATCTCTTGATGACGAGGCAGGGCGAGCTGCAGGCGGGCCCGGATCTCCTTCCTCGTCCCGTTATTAAAGAGGGCAACCTTGGCATTAGAGTTTAGACTCGTCGGATGGTAGAGTCGGGAGGGGACCTCCAAGGGCCATCTAGTCCAGCCCCCCCAAATGCAGCAATCGCATTTCAATTGGAAGCGGGGCTCAGCGATGCCAGCCTTCATTTTGCCATCCTTCATCCTGTGGGTTACAAACCGGTCAGACAGTATAACGCGGCACGGACATAAAAAGTGAAGGAACAAGAGTGCCCCTGAGCGCGTGCGGAGTGCACTTGCCTCACCACTCAACCGCAGCCGGTTGGAGGCAAGCAGACACCTGCCCTGGGGTTGCTACCACCTGGCCAGAGCCTGCAAAGAGAGGGGGCAGTCTAGGCACTGATCAGCCATGTTGGGAGGGGGGGGCAACCAGCCTGGGTCCCCTGGAGCCCCCTCCCTTTCCTCAGCCCCACATTCTCCGGGATTGGGGAGCTCTTGGCCTGAGGCCTCCTTCCTGCCAGGCGGGGGTTTGACTAGATTCCAATTCCTGGGTTCTGCGGAGGCTTCGGCTGCCGGACTCCTGGGTCCTCTCCCGGACTCCTGGGTCCTCTCCCTGCCCTCATGCTCCAGGGCTGGCAGGCTCCTTGCCTGGCCCCACCCTGCTGCAGGATCCAACTTGATATGGGGGGGGCAAGAGGAGGAGGAGGAAGGGCCCTAGCTGCACCCTCCCTGCCCATCAGCACCCGCAGGGGGCGGCTGCCGGCTTGGCAAGGACAGACTGTTCCTGCTGGAGTTGGCGTTCAGCTTGGCCTCGCCCGCCCCCCTACCTGTGGGCCTCGCAGGGAGGGCGTGTAGGGGCTTGCATGGCGGGGGGCGGGGAGGGAGAGAGATGGAGGAAAGTGGAAAAACTTGGGGTGGGGGAGCAGTTGGGTTGCCTTTAAAGTGGGCATGGGAAAGGGTTTGCCAAGTTGTGCCAGCAGGGGTGCCCAGGATGCACCTTGCGCTCGTCAAAAGCTAAGATCCTGGAGCCACAGACTTGCAGGCTTGGAAGGGACCCCCAGGGGACATCTAGTCTAAGCCCCCGCAAGGCACAAATGCATCCAGGACAGATGGAGAGGTCAGCCCCATGGGTGGGGGGGGGGCTGCGGGAAAAAAAAAAAAGGCAAATTCCACGCTGGGGATCCTCGGAAAGGAATTGGGAATAAAACGGATGCTGCTGTACAAATCTCTGCTGCGACGGCATTGGCAGTCCTGTGCCTGGTTCTGGGTGCCTCGTCTCATAACGGAGATCGAAGAGCTGGAAAAGGTTTCGAAAAGGGCAGCCCATATGTTCAAGGAAGGAAGGGAAGGAGTCACTGTGGCAGCATTTGGGACTTTGTAGTTTGGAGAAGAGCTAAAAGGCAAAAGGTTTCTCAGAATATGCCTGGGGGGAGGGCATTGTTGTTTAGTTGTGTCCGACTCTTCGTGACCCCCTGGACCAGAGCACGCCAGGCACTCCTGTCTTCCACTGCCTCCCGCAGTTTGGTCAAACTCATGCTGGTAGCTTCGAGAACACTGTCCCACTATCTCGTCCTCTGTCGTCCCCTTCTCCTTGTGCCCTCTATCTTTCCCAACATCAGAGTCTTTTCCAGGGAGTCTTCTCTTCTCATGAGGTGGCCAAAGTCTTGGAGCCTCAGCTTCAGGATCTGTCCTTCCAGTGAGCACTCAGGGCTGGTTTCCTTCAGAATGGAGAGGTTTGATCTTCTTGCAGTCCATGGGACTCTCCAGAGTCTCCTCCAGCACCATAATTCAAAAGCATCCATTCTTCGGCAATCAGCCTTCTTTATGGTCCAGCTCTCACTTCCATACATCACTACTGGGAAAACCATGGCTTTAACTATACGGCCTTTGCTGGCAAGATGATGTCTCTGCTTCACCTTGCAGAGAGGAGGAGGGCATGGAGAACAGTTTTCTTGTAACCCAAGAATTCGTGAAGATTCAGGACAGATAAAAGTCTTTCTTCTAGCAGCACAGAGTTAATCTGCGGAACTCCGTCCCACAGGAGGCAGGGATGAGAACCAACTTGGATGTCTTTAGAAGAGGACTGGACAAATTCACAGGGGAGGAGGCAGAACCAGGTGGGTCCTTGGCCTGACGCAGCAGGCAGGCTCTTGGGATGCTTTTACGCACAGGGCCATCAGCGCCAGACCAGCTCCAAGCATGAATCAGCCGCAAATTTCACAGGGCACCAGAGCTCCAGGCTGCCCACTCCTCCAGCTCCAAGGGCCTTTCCCTGCCTGCAGGGAGGGCGTCAGAGGAGCCAGCCATCCCAGTCTCCCTGTGGGTCCTCTCCCTCCCAGGTCGGGTGAGAGGGATTAGCTGTTCCTCCTCCCGGTGCCAGGCTTTGGCTGGACCCACCCGCTTCCTTGTGATCAAGTTGGCAAGAGCAGCCGAGCCAGTTCTTTGTCCACCGGTCAAGAAAGGAGCCTCTGCCCGTTTGCCTGTCTTTGGGAAGAGGCTCTGGATCGGGGCCGGCGACTCGTTTGCGCTCCAGGGTGTGATCCTGGTCAGGTTGGAGCCCCCAGAGATGGGCAGGACCCCCCGGGAGACAGAGGGAAGGGTATGTGCTTTTGCAGGCTGGCTTCTCCTGGTGGCACACGGTGGATCAGCGCTGTGCCACCAGGCCTGGCATGCTTCTGTCTGGCCAGCTGCCCAGATGCATTGTGGATTGGCCGTTATGGGGGGGGGGGAGCAGGATGAGTGCCGGGCCTGACCAAGGGAGAAGAGAGCAGGACTAGGACGTCCCTTGATCTGGACACTCGACTTCTGCGGATGCAGCCGAGAATAGCCTTCGCTTGTTTTGCTGTAGCATCACAATTTTTGCCAACCAGGACAGCAAAGCAGTCTTGCTGTCTTGTTAGGTTCATGAGCCCATTCATCCCCAAAGGATCTGGGTGGAATTCAGACCTGCTAAAACTTTCCCCTTTATCATGTACATGAAATGTATTAAGGTCAGAGACCAGCTTTTGAGAAACACAAATGGAACTACAATCCCAACAGCAAAACAAACATTTAAAACAATATACAACAATGGATTTTAAGTTTAGAAGTGCGAAAGGCATGTAAACATGTGATCGAAGGTAAGGTAGTCTATTTTAAATGTGTTTATATGCCTTTCGCACTTCTATCACATGTGGTGGACCTGTCCCAAGGTGAAAGACTTCTGGGAAAAGATATATAATGAATTGAAAAAAATGTTGAAATATACATTCATAAAGAAACCAGAGGCCTTTCTTCCCAAGAAAGATGTTAAATTATTTTTGTATGCCACAGCTGCTGCTCATATTTTATTAGGTAGCTAAAAAGTGGACAACCCAAGAATTACCAACGATAGAAGAATGGCAGATGAAGATGATGGATTTTTTGGAGCTGGCCGACCTAACTGGAAGAGTCCGCAACCAGGAAGAATGGAAAAAAATTAATGATTATTTGATTAAATATGTTAAGTTAAATTAGTTGGAAATAACTTGCAGATAACTAATTGGCTTAGGATTTTATATAAGTTAAGTGATGAATCAATTTGTATAATTTCAAAATGAAAAGACTGAAAGATGTTAAAGCTAAAGGTAAATCTTATAAGAACTGTGATTTGGAAAACCGTTAAATGGATATGCATGGAAATTCAACCAAGGGGAAGCGAGGAAGTCACTTAACAATGTTAGTAAGTATAATTTTTAATAAGATTATGATTTGTGCTTGTTTGTTTGTTTATAATTTTTTGAAAATTAATAATTTTTTTGGAAAAAAATAAAATAAATAAAATAGACTACCTTAGAGAAATGACCCAAAGTCGCCCGTGAATCCGGGTTTGGGAATTTTCTTAACAAACTAGATTGAATTGCGGGATGGTCTGCGCCTACAGATCTGTGCGCAGAATCTGGCAACAATCCGGGTCGTCTGGTGGTTTTTCTATCTGTACAGTCCCCCCCCACATGCCAGTGGCTTTGTGGGCATCTGGGAAAGGCCACGAGGGTGCCCTTGCACCCATGGGTGCCCTGTTGGCTACCCCTGCATGAAAATAAGCTGGAATAATAATGCATGCAGGCCCCCTGACGACCTGGAGAACTCTGTCCCTGAATCCCAGGTGTGTGCGGGTTGCTTGGAAGGATGAAAGGCAAAGGCACTCTGCAGCAGCTCAGAGGCACTCTTAGTATGTTCTGGATAGGGCTCGATTTCCTCAAGACAGAGACGGCGTCTGAGGCAGTTAGCAAGTCCGGCTCTGCTCTTTGAGGCCCTTAATTCCAGGCCCAGGTGAGGGGCTTGCGTTTGCCTGGTGCTGATGGATCTCTGCCCATGCTCAGCGGTCCTTTCTTCGTTTTTCACTTTGCATTTCACCCCGCTCATATTGGGCACTGAAAACGTTTTCCTGGACAGGTGCTGGTTCTTGTGGGCCAGTTCTGGACCCGTAACCAAGAACCGCGGAATCGGGAGGGAGCCCAAGGGCCTTGCAACGCAGGAGAAGGAAGTGGGGAAGGGTGCAGCAAGCCCAAGCTCTGCAAGCTCAGAGAAGTTCCTGCCCTGGTGTTACAAAAAGAGAAAAACAGTCTGTTTTTGGCTCCAGGCCTCTTCGGCTTTCGCAACAGGGGATGGAGCAACTAGTGGCTGTTTCTTCCTGGGACCTTCAGGCAGGTTCCTGACCCAATTTATTACGCAAAGCTAACTCAAGGCTACCACCTCCTGCAGGAAGTGGGCACTGCAAGCCTGCGAGTTTTCCCCATAGAATCACGAAACTAGAAGGGATCCTGCGGGTCATCTAGCCCAACCCCCTGCGATGCGCCTGCTACCGGGGGCACGTTCCTTGCGGAAAAAGTACCCCTTGACTTGGAAGTGCGCAGAGGGTGGGATGTGTTGAATCCAATCTGGAGGAAAGCCGCTTTGCGTATGCTCAGAGGCAGCCTCCTTCTCCAGATTCCTGGAGGATAAGGCCATTGAAGGCGATATGCAACCTCTGGGATAATAATAATAATAATAATAATTTTTATTTATACCCTGCCCTCCACGGCCAAAACCGGGCTCAGACATCAACATCAAATATATAACATATTACCATAAAATCAAGCAATCAATTTAAACACATCCTCAGGCCCAGACAGAGGGGGGGCCATATGGGATTCCAAACGGGGGCCTCGGTCAGAATATTTATATATATTTTACATTTTGTCTTTATATGCAGATACAGTTCAAGCCTCCAAAGAAAATGATTTGTCAGCATAACTTTTGTGAAAATTATTTATATACTTATGTATAAGACTTCAGTTACCCCCAGGGTAAAAAAAAAGGGGGGGGCACATTATCCACCTGGCCCTGCAAGGCCCTGCACATCCTAAAATCAAATGCGGGTGGCTCTGTGGTCTAAACCACTGAGCTTCTTGGGCTTGCCAATCAGAAGATCGGCGGTTCGAATCCCCACGACGGGGTGAGCTCCCGTTGCTCGGTCCCTGCTCCTGCCAACCTAGCAGTTCAAAAGCACCTCAAAGTGCAAGTAGATAAATAGGTCCCACTCCGGCGGGGAGGTAAACAGTGTTTCTGTGTGCTGCTCTGGTTCGCCAGAAGCGGCTTAGTCATGCTGGCCACATGAACCAGAAGCTGTACACCGGCTCCCTTGGCCAATAAAGCGAGATGAGCAGCGCAACCCCAGAGTCGGCCACGACTGGATCTAACGGTCAGGGGTCCCTTTACCTCTAAAATCAAATCAGGATCAAGATCAGAGGCACCCAGGCAGGTGATGGAGAGATATTCTGCTTTGTGGAGGTATCTGGTTATGCCTGCGAGGAGAAGGATGCTGGACTCAGACAGGCAGCCTTTGGCCTACCTGCAGAGCTCTGAAGGTCTCGCTTGGAAAATCTAGGTGCCGTACAAAAATTGAAATACAGTGGTATGTCGGGTTAAGTACTTAATTCGTTCCGGAGGTCCGTTCTTAACCTGAAACTATTCTTAACCTGAAGCACCACATTAGCTAATGGGGCCTCCTGCTGCCACCGCGCCCCCAGAGCATGATTTCTGTTCTCATCCTGAAGCAAAGTTCTTAACCTGAGGTAATATTTCTGGGTTAGCGGAGTCTGTAACCTGAAGCGTATGTAATGCGAGGTACCACTGTAACACAAGAGAGGCCTTCCTCCTGTCTCATGAGACAGGAAGAAAGGGAACAGAGGGAGCTGCCTTCTGCTGAGTGAAGAAACCGCGGGTCCATCCAGCTAGTATTGTCCACACGGACTGGCAGCAGCAGCAGCTCTTGAAGGTTTCAGGCAGGGGACGTTCCCATCCTCACCCCCCGGGGAGATGCTCCCTGAAGGGACGGAAGTTGAGAACTTCTACACGCAAGGCAGATGTTCAGCCGCAGCGCTATCGTCCTTCCTGCATGACTTAAAGAGGAACGGACGAATATTTACTGGTAAATTGAAAACAGATTTGTGTTTGTGAAGCAGACTGAGGCCAGCCGTTTCGCTCTCCTGTGGCTTCCAGCCAGGCCAGGAGCTCCGGGAAGTTGACACTGACTTCTCACCAAGAATTTGTAACTTCTGACCCTGGAGTTCTGGGTGCCAAAGTCTAAGCAGGACCCCCCCTGGGCAGCTGGAAGGAGAGCAGAGGAGAGAAATCAGGATGGTAAAAGGGCCTTCTATGAGGGACAGAGGAGGGAGCCAAGAGTTCTGGAGGTTAGAACAGATTTGTAATTCTGCAATTCTATTACTTATATTTTCCTATGTCAATAATATGAATATAGCTCAACGTGGTTTGCAGTAATAACAGAATAGCAAACCATAACCATATATATATATATATTTATGAGAAAAACACAGACATCAATTAACCATTGTGGAAAATGCCAATATTCTTTTATTTGGACTTTGTTACTTGAACCAACCTGAAGCTGCACTCATTTTATTTTATAGGTTTTGTTTTCCATCCGTAACAGTTTTACACACGCATGTGATAGGAATTGCAATAGATCAATAAAGATCAGGCTTACTAGCTGCTTTGCTTCTCAATATTCTCTGGTTAGCCTGTTATTTTCTCCTACCAGCAGGGAACCTACGTAATGGGCTCTTGGATACCCCATAAGGGAAAAAAGGGCAGATTTTTGCTTACAACACACACACACACACACACACTTCTGTTTTACAATTTAGAATATTCATTTAAACAACCTTAAAATATCAATTACTTCCCTTCTTTTCTTTCCATGGTTCATTTTGCATAACATAAATCCCCTCATATTATATATAAACCAAACCATTCAGTATTCCATTATTACACCCATCACAACTTATTCACACTGCTGAATTTATCTTAATGCTGCCGGCGTTTTCAAATGTACACAATCCTCCCCATATATTCAATAAACGTTTTCCAATCTTCTTTAAACATATTTTCTTGTTTTCCACATTTTAAACTTTGTCCGTCGTCATCACGGTTCCGCCCGCTTTTATAACACATTGCAAAATGAAACGGTGATAATAAAAGCCGAAACCGGAAGGAGCCCGCGCCAGCCATTCATTCATCCATCCGCCCAGGACTGCACTTCAGTCGCCGCGGCGCCAGGGGGCGCTCTCGCTCCAGCCGCGCGCGGGAAAGGGGAGAGAAGGGGCGTGGCTCGGACGGGGCTCGCTTGCGCCGTCGACGCCCGCGGTTGCTGCGTGACGCTATAAAGCTCCGCCGGAGGAGGAAGACGCCATAAGAGCGCGACAACCCGGAAGCGGCTGGGCGCCGCCATATTGCACGAAGCGATTTCCAGGCTCCGGGCAGGAAGAAGGAGAGGAAGAAGAAGAAGAGGAAGAAGAAGGCGGAGGAAGAGGAGAGGAAGGAGGAGAGGAGGGGCCGCCTCCCCCTCAGCTCCCCGCCGGCCCAGCCATGTCCGAGACCTACGGTAAAGAGGCGAGGGAGAGAGGAAAGAGGGTCGGGGGGGTCTTTCCTGAATAGGTGGGGGCTTTCAAAGGAGGGGGCTTGAGGGGGCAGCAGGACCGGGGGGGCCTGAGGGGGGGGGGGGAGAAGTTGGGAGTGGGGGGGTGTAAGGTGGATATTGTCCCCATTGTCATTTCCCTAAATAAGTATATTTAAATCATCACTTAGATTGTGATGGGTTTTTTGGGGTGGGGGGTGGGGTCTTGTGGTGAGGATGGGGTGTGTGTGTGGAGAAGCCCCCACTCGTGTGCTACCCCAAAAGGGCTTTTTATGGGGTGGGGGAGGGCGCCGCTTGCCCCCTGGGCCTGTTTTTAATGGGGGGGTGTCTTGGGTGCAGCAGGTGCGGAGGGTGGTGTTTTTTTTGGGGGGGGGGTGTCTTGGCCTCCCTTCTGCGGAAGGGAGCTTTTTCTGTGAGGGAGGGGGTCCTTCTGAGCTTAGGGATAAGGCGAGGTGGGTGTCATTGGTTTAGTTTTGTTTCTTTTGCGATGTGTTTTGTGTTCCTGTGCTGAGAACCGCCCCGTGGTTAAAGAGAGGCAAACGCACCTAATAAATTATTATTATTATTGCTGGAGCAGTTGTTGGGATCTCTACCAGGACAGGGGGGCGGGTATCCATGAGGGGAATATTGTGTTTTTTTAAAAATAAGATGAATGTTACACATTTTGCATTTCCATAGTCTAAAATGCTCTGTGGGCTTTGGGCGGAGGGCGGTATATGAATTCAATAAATAATAATATTTGGGGGGTGGGCTTATCTTGGGCATGTTGGGGGTTAAAGCAGACCGTTGGCAGTGCTTGGCTTTGGTCTTCTGGGGGAGGCTATTCAAGGGGGCAGGAGAAACAAGGTCCAAGGGCAGCCTTGCATGGCCCAGGTGCCCGCCAGATGTTGTGGGTGCCAACAGCTGTTGTGGCCTGAGCTGACGGGAGTTATAGGGCGAAGCATCAAGGGGGGTGCCAGGTTGAGGTAGGCGATGAAGGGCCATAGCTCAGTGGTACAGAACAGCTGCTTTGCGTGTAGAAGGTCCTGGGTTCAATCCCTGGCAGGGCTGAGAGGGACTCCCTGCCTGTAATGCTGGAGAGCCACTGCTGCCAGTCAGTGTAGACAATAGAAAGCCAGTGTGGTGTAGTGGTTAAGAGCGGTGGACTCGTAATCTGGGGAACCGGGTTCGCTTCCCCGCTCCTCCACATGCAGCTGCTGGGTGACCTTGGGCTAGTCACACTTCTCTGAAGTCTCTCAGCCCCACTCACCTCACAGAGTGTTAGTTGTGGGGCAGGAAGGGAAAGGAGAATGTTAGCTGCTTTGAGACTCCTTCGGGTAGTGATAAAGCGGGATATCAAATTCAAACTCAAACTCATACTGAGCTCCACGGACCAATGAGCCTGACTCGGTTCAAGGCAGTTTCCTGTGTTTTCCTAAGGCTGGCTTAGAGATTCTTGCATCCGATTCCCTTGTCAACCTGGCAGGATAATTTTGCATTCTTCATACCTGCCACCCCAAATTGATTCCCTTTGCACCTCCCTCCCACCCTCTTCAAAGAAGGTCGCCCAGTGTCTTGCACCCAGAAGAGGGGCTAGGTCACAGCCAAGAAACAAACCTGAGCAAGACTCCCTTTACGTGGAAGAAGGAGCAAGCTTGCTCTCTGCTACTTGGTAGGATCCGAACCAATGGATTCGAGTTACAAGAAAGAAGATTGCGACTCAACATTAGGAAGAACTTCCTGAGAGTGGGAGCCGTTCAACGGAGGAATGGACACCCTTGGGAGGTGGTGGACTCTCCTTCCTTGGAGATTTTAAAGCAGAGGTTGGACCTGCATTGCAGGGGGTTGGAATGGATGACCTTTGGGTGCTTCTTCTGACTCTACGATTCCCTTTCCCCCACCTTTATAAAAGTGAATGTTTTTTTTGTTGTTTTTTTTTTGCATTGCAGCTCAGCAGAATCGCTGCCTGTCTTTGTTTTCCTGTTCTCAGAACATGACTCTGTTGTGAACAGAACTCCAAGTGACGCCGGCTGGGCGGGTCGGAGCACATTTGTCTCTCCTCGCCTCCCCTGCGCTCCTAAATTGAGGGAAGCGGGAAGAGGTGGCTGAGGGTGTAATTATGCCCTTTTCCTATTTGAAATCCTTCACCTCCCCAGTAATGACCCTCATTATGTTCCATTAAGGAGGCTTAGGTGCCTTTTCTTCCCTGCGTGTTTTCGTGTAAAATCAGCCCACAGAAGTCGCACATCCTGGAAAAAACAACCACCATGTTGAGGAAAGAAGCAGTGGCAGCCCACATCACAGCCCTAATTATGATACCCTTACTACCTGCATGGCAGGTGAGCAAGATCCAGCAGCAGCATAAATGCCCCATGGCAGTCAATAGGGTTATCTGCCCACCTGGCTCCTCAAAGTAAATGGTATTGGAGTGGGAATGTCTTTTATTTTTTTTTTTGTAAAAGTGGTCAGTGCATGGCTGAAACTGGGAATGCTGCAGGAATGTATGGCCTGGTCAAGAACTGGGGATTATGTGTCGTTTAAACACTAACTCATGACAGTTTCTGACCTGACTAATTTAGTGTTTGACGGCAGGAGAGTGGAACAGTCTCCCTCGGAAGGTGGCTGTGGCGGATTCTCCTTCATTGGAAGTTTCTAAATGGCCATCTGTTGGGGATTCTTTAGCTGCGATTCCTGCATTGCAGGGGGTTGGACTAGATGGCCCTTGGGGTCCCTTCCAACTCTACAGCTCTACAATTCTAGGGCTCCACCTGCCTAGAGTCGAGAGATCGATTGGGTATCTGGTTAACATTTTATTCGGGAACAGGTCCCCCTACACCCCTGAAAATGTGGCCTGTTTTGCCTTTGGAGTGGCAATTTTAAGGAGAAAAGTTTGTGGGAATTATAAGTTAAATTCTTCAAGGGAGCAAACTCTTATCTGACCAAATGTGTGCTTTTAATAATTATTTTACCTGTATAACGTATTTTATTCTGTTTTATGTATTTTGTTTTGTGATGGCTTTGGCTACACAGATAATCATAGAATCATAGAGTTGGAAGAGACCACAGGGCCATCGAGTCCAACCCCCTGCCAAGCAGGAAACACCATCAGAGCACTCCTGATATATGGTTGTCAAGCCTCTGCTTAAAGACCTCCAAAGAAGGAGACTCCACCACACTCCTTGGCAGCAAATTCCACTGTCGAACAGCTCTCACTGTCAGGAAGTTCTTCCTAATGTTTAGGTGGAATCTTCTTTCTTGTAGTTTGGATCCATTGCTCCGTGTCCGCTTCTCTGGAGCAGCAGAAAACAACCTTTCTCCCTCCTCTATATGACATCCTTTTATATATTTGAACATGGCTATCATATCACCCCTTAACCTCCTCTTCTCCAGGCTAAACATGCCCAGCTCCCTTAGCCGTTCCTCATAAGGCATCATTTCCAGGCCTTATAAATAGTAGCTTTAATTCATAACTGTCTTCCTTGGGACTTCCTTGGGAAGGGAATTCATAACCCTTCCTTGGGAAGCCAGTGCTTAGTGTTGTCTTAGTGTTGTAACCCTTAAACGAACAAATAAAAACCAGTTGAGGGCTGTACAAAACAGTCCTTTTAAATGTGTGGGAGGGGGTCCCTCCCTCCCCATCCATGGGGGGTTTCTGCCCTGAAGAGGTTCTATCGACAGACCCAGCTGTGAAAATGCTGTTTGCTGTGTTTGCCTTTTCAGACCTGAGCCTCCTTGCCTGGTATTTGGGTGGGAAACAGTGGGTGTGGCATCTGTAAGTGTGCACAGATGTTCGTAATCGCTGCCTCTGCATGATGTGGGGCAGGGTGTTCGAATTGTGCAGGTGCCGGAACGACAAATAACTTAATTGCTGCTTGTGAAAGCTGCCCCAGAGCGCCGCTACTGAATCCTTCAGGGACTGGTGCGCGAATGGAAATACGATGTAGTTGATAGGAGCTTCAGAAACTGGGCCCGTCTTGATATGGAACTTGGAGCAAGAATTCTGAGCCCCTTCAGATTGCAGAGCTGCAGTTGTGTCAGTTCTCCCACAGCAAAAACAGGGCAGGAGTTCTTCAGTGCTTCCAAGCTTGCCCTGCTTTTTTCAGCAAGAACGCCCCAAGTCCCAGCTGCTGGCGTTCACGAGTGTAAGAGGACTGTGGTGCCCACGGTGCAAGAAGGCGGTTGGATGCAGAGGAGGCGTATAAAGACATTGGCTGAGGACCATTGAAAGGAAAAATGTAATTCCCTCTCTGCAAGGCAGAGAGAAGTGTTGAGTTCTGCCACTCTCTTCTCAGGCATGCCTGTCAGAGGGAGCTGAATGTTCTTTGCGGCCCAGCTGGAGAGGACAACGTTTTATTCTATTCTGGCTGCTCCCTCACCGCGGACAGCTGTGCAACATCAGCTCCCAAAATATTTTCCTAGTAAACAGAGGAGGAAGGCAAAAGGGGAGAGTTAATCTTGGGCTGGGGCTAGCAGCTCTTATCTTAAGCAGTGATGGTGTTGATTTTTCCTGGGAGTGCCTGTGAAGTCAAGTGGTTGCAGAGTGAGACAAAATAGACTCCTGGCCTCACAAATGGGGCCTGTGAATTCCTGACTGCTTTTGTGGCTACCATGCGATGGTCTGTGTATCACTGGACGTGGGATGCCTCTGCTATTGTGTGAGAGGAGGAGGAGGGTTGGTGTCCTGCCATTTTGCCTACGAACTACCTTGGTCTTCTTTGCTAGTACAGGGACACCACTAGTCTCCTAAGCCTCCTGGCCAGGTCTCTCCCAACCTACATTCATTTTTGAGCCTGTTATTGCCAGGCCACTCTCACTCTCGTTCTCCTTCCAGATTTCCTCTTCAAATTCCTGGTGATCGGAAGTGCCGGAACAGGGAAGTCTTGCCTCCTCCACCAGTTCATAGAGAACAAATGTAAGTTTATTTTGTGTGTTGCCGCCTTTGCATTCCACCTTTCTAGGCGTGTGCCAGTTTGCAAGGAGTTGGAAACAAAAAGCCGGTATAACAAAAACAACTTTGAAAGCCAAATTAAAATGACAGAAATAAGAAAGCCAGGGTTAGAAATGCGCACTGGAAGAACACCTGAGAACATAAAAAGAACCTTCTAGGTCAGGTTAATGGCTCATCTTGTCCAGCCTCCTCTTCTCACAGGGACCAACCACATGCCACTTTTGGGAACCAGCAGGCAGGATCCGAGCAGGACAAGAGCAGCCTTCTCCCCTCCTGCTGTTTCTAGCAACCGGTAATGAGATTTTTAAAGGATATGATAGAAAGTGCCTGAATAACAGGAGATGGTGGCTGTAAATCTTCTCAGAAAAACACCACTCTGTTTTTTTATTATTGCCCTGCATTTTATCGGAGCGCAAGGCAGATTGATGCAAGGCCATGCACAGAGATGAAAAACGTCATGTTGACAAGGCTGTTTGTAGCTGCCGAGCACTTAAGGCTGGCTAAAAGATGTGAACAGAGTGAGTCAGAGATGGAAGGTAAAGATCTCCGCCATTTCCTTCCTGTGTTGCAAAAGGCTGCAGAGGAGCAACCTAGAGGCCTCTTTCCTCCCATCGCCAGCCTTGTGCCCTTTACCTGAATCTGACATCTCTCTTTTCCTTCGCCCTGACCACATGAGCCGCCTTTTCGGCTGTCCCCTCTGCCCCAAATCTGTTCAGCTGAAAGAGGAGAGGCAGGCACCGTTCTCTCCAGGGTTTGGGGACAGGTAACATCGGAATTGCAGTGTTTTACGTGACATGCTAGAAGTTTTATGAAGTTCTTAGGTCTTCCTGTGGCTGCGCCTTCCTGCCCGTTGCTCATTCCGCACCCCCTCCTCTCTGCACTTTTACAGTCAAGCAAGATTCCAACCACACAATAGGGGTGGAATTTGGATCAAAGGTTGTGAACGTTGGTGGCAAAACGGTCAAGCTCCAGATCTGGGACACGGCTGGGCAAGAGCGCTTTAGGTAAGGAGCAGGATCCTCAGTGTCCATATTTCTGGGAATTTATTTGAAATACCCAAGTGTGCATCGCAGGGTTTTCACCCCCATTGCTTATGAAGCTGCATGATCACCAATCTGCCAAAGACCGGTGGTATTGCTCTCTTTGCCACACCACTAATATTAATAGTAATAATTTTATTATTTATATGCCACCCATCTGACTGGGTTGCTCCAGCCACTCTGGGCAGCTTCCAACAAAATATTAAAACGCAAAAAACATCTGGCCGTTGCATTTTGGAACTGCTGAAGTTTTGTAGTCTTCAAGGGCAGCCCCATGTAGAGTGAACTGCAGTGATCCAGTCTGGAAGTTGCCAGAGGTCCAGGGGTCAAGCCACGTTTGCCAAAAGGGGCTGGAGCTGGCGAACCCTGAGTGCAGGATACGAAGCCCACCCGCTTTGAATAGAAGCTCAAGACCTGTATGGATGAGCAGTGGTTGGGGGTGGGCAGGGGGAGCCCCTGTTTCTTGAGAGGCGGCTTCTGTGGGCTTCTATCTGAACAGCCCTGTGCGTTTTTGCTCAGAAGCAAGCATCTCCCCGCCCCCCTGGAAGTCGCTACAGCATCACTGCCTAAAAAGCGCGTGTCTGCATCCTGTCGCTTTTCAGCCCCATCCGAGACCTTCAACTTCTTTCTCTCTTCTCTAGGTCGGTAACGAGAAGTTATTACCGGGGCGCAGCTGGGGCGCTCCTGGTCTACGACATCACCAGGTATGTCTCTGCAGTTGCCTTCCTTCCTGACCGTCTCCTCCCCCCCCCAACCTGCAGGTCCTAGTCTCTCACAGGTCCTAGTCCTCATTTAATCCCCAGAGCAACCCTGTGCATTGGTAGGAGACGCTGAGAGCAACAGTGGCTGGCCCACGGTTCCCCCCGAAATAATAATAATAATAATAATAATTAATAATACATTTTTATTTATACCTCGCCCTTCCCGGTTCAGAAAACTGGGCTCAGGGCAGCTAAGAACAAATTTAAAACACTTAATTGATGCAACAAAAATAATAATAACATAAAATACAGTATAAAATGTGAATAACAATAAATTCAGAATTCAAAAATCAGTTTTGGGGGAAAATCCATCCAATAAACATTCGATGATCACCAGGGCTAACTGGCTAAATTAGTCCTACTTGGGCCAGCGAGGAGACCAGGGGAGAATTAGCTGTGGCATCCCAGAGCGGGCAATCTTCATAAAAAGGGGAGGGGGAGGGAAGGAAGGGGAATAAAAGATCAGGCTAAGTTCAAATTGGAAGCCAGGCGGAATATCTCTGCCAGGCCCTAGTCCGACGCACTAACCACTCGGCGCTCTCTTTTTCCTTCTGCCTGCCTGATGGGTTCGCTTCTCTCTCTCCCCGCCTCCCAATTTTGGTCCCGTATTGCAGCAGAGAGACGTACAATGCCTTGACCAACTGGCTGACGGACGCCCGGACTCTGGCCAGCCCCAACATAGTCATTATTCTCTGCGGCAACAAGAAGGACCTGGATGCTGACCGGGAAGTCACTTTTCTGGAAGCATCTCGTTTTGCTCAGGAGAACGGTAACATATGCAAGGGGGGGGGGTTGCTGGGGAGGGGCATAATCAACACACCCATGGAGGGAGAAGCCTGTCGATGCCTCTGCTCTGTCCTCCGTGGGCAGAGGCAGCCATGCTTCCGAATCCCAGTTTCTGGAAACCGCAGGAGAGGGCTTGTGTTTGAATCCTGATTGCGGGCTTCCCATTGGAACAGTCTCTCAAAGGACCTGCTAATGGCATTTTCCAATTGTACTGTTGAGAGTGTATTAACCTATGGTCTGTGTGTGTGGTTTGGGGGCTGCACGGTCAGGGGAAAAACAATGCTGTCCAGGGTTGTAAAGACTGCGGAGAGAATAATTGGGTGCACTCTTCCCACCTTGGATCAAATCTACGCTTCCAGGTGTCATAAGAAAGCTGCAGAGATAGTGCAGGATAGTGCACACCCTGGAAATGATCTCTTTCAGCTTCTGCCTTCTGGAAGACGGTACAGGGTTATAAAGACTAGGACTAGCCGCCTGAGAAACAGTTTCTGTCAAAATGCGATTTTGGTTTTAAACGCAGTAAAAGGAGTCTCTATGGGGGTATATTGTATTTTAAAAATGGGGTATCAAGAGTTTATAGGGAGCTAACCAGGTTGGGATAGCTGGGATAGCAGGCTTGTTGGTTTTGAATGTCTTATGTAGATTTATTTTTTCAATTTCGTTGTTCTGTATGGGACAATGACAATAAAGAGTATCATATCGTATCATTACGTCAGTGCGAGAAAAGGATGCTGGACTAGATGAGCCCTTGGCCCGATACAGCAGCCAGGCTCTTGTTCGGTTCTTATGGAACCTCCAGGTCCAGAGGCAGTCTATCTGGATTCTTTAGGGATATTTGGCCACCGTGAGAGCAGGGTGCCGGACCAGATGAGCCATTAGCCTGATCCAGCAGACTCTTCTCTTGCTCTTAGCTCGCAAGTGGCTCCTTCCCTTCCTCCCCTTCCCCTCCTCACCTGCAGTTGGCTGTTGCAGCCGCTTGATCAGGGCGTACCTTGCTGAGGTGCTGCTGTTGTGCTTCCTTCCTGTGCCGCCTTTGTGGTGGCATCACCAAGGACGGCTGAGCTGTGCCTGGCAAGGGGCTGCTGAAGTGCCGCCGCAGGGTGGCTTTGGGGCTGCCCCTCTCTGGGCTTGCAGAAGGGAGCTCAGCCTAGATTCCTGCGCCCTCTCAGCTTGTTAATGAGTAACGGCATTTTGTGACTCCTTCTGCAGTGGCTAACTCTTGAGACATGGAGGCAGAGGGTGGGGGAAGACTTGAGTCCGGGAGACCTGGAGTTTTTAATGCAGTTTTTTTTTTTAAAGCCCTGTTTTTTTGCTCTCATTCTCCCTGGGAAATGCCCCCCTCCCCCCGGATTTGGGAGGAGGAGGGGCTGCTTCCTCACACCCTCTTTGCTTCATCTTCCAAGGCTGGGCCAAATTTATAATCTTTATCCTGTGTCTGTTTTTCTTTAACCTGGCAGAGTTAATGTTTCTCGAGACCAGCGCCTTGACCGGGGAGAATGTGGAGGAAGCTTTCTTGAAATGTGCAAGGACCATACTGAACAAAATTGAATCAGGTACCTGGGTTGATTTCCTTTCCCCACCCGACTCCGAATGAAAATGAACGTTGGGCGAAAATGGCTGTGACTTCCAAGGGGTTCATTTTCTCTCTCTCCCTTCGGTTATTTTTAAAATTATTATTAGCGTGTATTTTATTTATAACATAACAAAGTACGATAGCAAATGTCACGTAAAAGAAAAATAGAAAGTGTTACGCAAAAATTCTAGGGTGAGAGCCTACTCAACAGGCCTGCTCATCGAGGTGCAAGTACCCCGCAGGTCTTACGTGGTTAATAAAAGAAGGAAGTTCCAGCCAAGTAATTTGAAGCAAAACAGCAGTCAGTAGACCACCATCTTTATTGTTGTGCAGCAGGTTCCCACACAGAGTAAGAACCCCGAACATAGGTTACAAGCTCTTTTAAGACCTTTCCCCCCTTCCTATAATACCTTTCCAGAAGCAGCATTGATACATCACTGATATATCATCAACATGTCGCAAAGAGGGAGGGTGATACTGAGGTTACCCAAGTTCATCAACTTGCTCCGCTTATCAGATTTAGTCCCAGGCACCGTAAGGGACGCGGGTGGTACTGTGGTCTAAACCTAGGGCTTGCCAAGCAGAAGGTTGGCGGTTCGAATCCCCACGACGGGGTGAGCTCCTGTTGCTCAGTCCCTGCTCCTGCCAACCTTGCAGTTCGATAGCACGTCAAAGTGCAAGTAGATAAATAGGTACTGCTCTGGTGGGACGGTAAACGGCGTTTCCGTGCGCTGCTCTGGTTTGCCAGAAGCGGCTTAGTCATGGAGGCCACATGACCTGGAAGCTGTACGCCAGCTCCCTCGGCCAATAAAGCGAGATGAGCGCCGCAACCCCAGAGTCTGCCACGACTGGACCTAATAGTCAGGGGTCCCTTTACCTTTACGTTTTACTCTTAAGTACCCTCCACCCAAATAACAATAAAACTATGCATACCCTTGTCCTTCACCCTTCCCGAGGATGGGTTTTGGGAACACCTGGCCTCAGCAAACCCATGTATGGTGCCTGTGTCAATGGTCATTATCCTGGCCTTAGTTAGAGGCTGTGGTGGGTTCTTGGGGTTTTGAGGAAGTCGTTTAACTGCCCCCCCCATTCTTTGCTTTAACAGAAAGGCATATCTATCGAGAGCTAAACATATAGGACAGAATTCCCCTACCAAAATTGAACACAATAAATTAATATTGCAAGGTTCTAAGAAACACAAATTCTTCTGTGCATCATGAAAAGGCTCCATTTCTTAATTAAGAAATCATCTTTTTTCCTGCCCTCTCTGCTTCTCACCATCTGTGTGAGCTTCACAGTGTATGCTGTGTCCCAGATTTTAGTTCCCCTGTTCTCTCATGGCTGGTGTTGGCATATCCTCCCCAATTCTGTCAAATAATTCTGACAGACCTTGGGTTAGTTCCCTGTCCTCTTCCTGCACAGTTCCTTTAATATACTGAAATAGGAAAATTCAAGCATCCATGTAGAGCATAGCCAGTTATTGCTTCCATTTCCACTGCTACATCTTCCCAGAATTTCCTGATTTTGGGGACACATCCAGAATGTACGTTGTATCTCAGAATTTGCCACTTCACACCTCCGGCAAGGCTTTACTGTTTCATATATCCAGTTAAGACATTTAGGCACCACGTTAGGCTCCAAATTTTATTTTAGGGTTGTACTAGCTGTTTGTTTGCAGAACTGCATGCTAAATTCAATTCCATCTATCTGACGGAATGTCCAAAATCCCTTTCCCTGCTACGTTGGTACTAATTTCTTGCAAGATCTGCCATAGATGCAAAAGAATTTCACTGGGGTTCACCTTGGATGGAACATCAAGGGTGGCATTAGAGCACCACTGTAGCTTGTATTCATAAGGCCTTTGGGGCCCCGGAGATGGGGCTGGGGGCCTGATGCATCCAGGCTGCCTTTCAGGGTCCCCACAAGTGCATAGTTGGGGATTCCTTTGAGAGGAGGGGCAGGAGGACTGCTTGGTCGCTCTTGACAGGTCTTCTCCTGCAGCTGCAGGGAGAGTTGGGTGCCAGAAGGCGCAGAGAAGGCTGGCCTCTCTCTGCCTGTGCTGCCGAAGAAGAAGAGGAGGAGGAGTTTGGATTTGATATCCTGCTTTATCACTACCCGAAGGAGTCTCAAAGCGGCTAACATTCTCCTTTCCCTTCCTCCCCCACAACAAACACTCTGTGAGGTGAGTGGGGCTGAGAGACTTCAGAGAAGTGTGACTGGCCCAAGGTCACCCAGCAGCTGCATGTGGAGGAGAAGGGAATCGAACCCGGTTCCCCAGATTACGAGTCCACCGCTCTTAACCACCACACCATGCTGGCTCTCTGGCCGAGTGTGCAGGGATCCTGCCCAACACAGACATGGAAAGTGCTTCCTTGAGGCACATAGAGCCGAGAACCGGTGATGCCGTAGGAGGAGTTTTATCAGGACCGAACTCCGTCAGACTGGAAGCAAAGCAGCTCCGCTGCAGGACTTCCAGGCTGCTTAGAATCAGAGAATGGGAGCATTGGAAGGGACCCCAGGGGTCATCTAGTCCAGCCCCCTGGATTGCAGGAATCGCCGCTTTACTAAAGCAGAATTTGTTGGCATGCAACCAAGGAAACGGGGGCAATTGGCAGGCCCCCAGCTGACACCAGCCCACCGGCCGGTGTGCCGGGCAAACTCCAGTCCTTTGTGCAGCATGAATCTGTGACCTGAGCTTCAGAAGTGGCAAGAGAGGCTGTGTGGGCATATTTACAAGCAGTTCATTCAGCGTACATCGGGGAAAAAGGAAACATGTCTGCTCTCCTTCGTGTCCAAAGCAAAACGGCTAAAGCAAAAGCTATACACAAATGGAAATTCCCAGCAAGCTGTGCTGGAGTGTAAACAGGCATGTGACACACAACAATCGTGCCTGTTCCTTAAGGTGGAACGGAATATCCCAACAGACTTTTGGGGTTTCTTCGAGCTTCAGATAGGAGTGGCCCTGCAGAGCCAGGGTTTGGATTCTGTTTGCCAGCCACGGCACAGACGGGGCGTGCCTGGCTTTCTTTTGTCCCGTCTCTGCCGGACAACCAGAGCCTTTGGTGAGCAGCCTTTCAGTTCGGAGAGAAGCCCGTCCTTTGGCTTCCTGCCTGCTCTGGAAGTGCAAAAAAGCATTGCCTGGGGAGGGCTGGGGAGCAGCGCTTGGGAATCAGGAATGGTCTGGCTGCGGAAGGGCAGTTGCTACAGCCTGACCCCGAATCGCCCCGGTGACTCTTGCTTTTTTCTCCCCCCCCCCCTGCCAGGTGAACTTGACCCGGAGAGGATGGGCTCCGGCATCCAGTACGGGGACGCCTCCCTGCGACAGCTGCGGCAACCGCGAGGGACCCAAACACAGACCCGGCAGCAATGCAACTGTTAGAGCCGGCGTCAGAGCATGCCTGGAAACTGCCTTGCAAGGTCAGCTGGGGGGGGGGGGGCTGTGGAAGAAGCCCCACTGCAGAGGCTCCTGTCCAGGGTGGGGGCGGTGTGCTCACTCTCACAGGAGGAAATAAAGGTCAACTTACCTTGATGGCTTGAAAAGAGGAGGGGGCAAGTTCCTGGAGGAGGAGAGGGCTATTGATGGCTCTTCTGTTCCTCCATAGTTGGAGGTAGCTATTCTTCCAGTAGCTGGAAACCGCAAGAGAAGGGAGAGGGCGCTTGTGCTCGGATCCTGCTTGCGGGATTGGGGGCATCTGGTTAGCCTCTGTGCGAACTGGATGCCGGACTAGACGGGCCACTAGCCTGATCCTGCATTCCAGCTCTTGTTCGGTCCTTGTGGAACCTCCAGTCCCAGAGGCAGTCTATCGCCATTCCTAGGCTCTTGGGGGTATTTGGCCACAGTGAGAGCCAGATGCTAGACTACGTGGCGCCCCTTTGGCCTGATCCAGCGGGGCTCTTCTCGTGTCCCTTTATATTATTATTATTATTAATTTATTATTTATACCCCACCCATCTGGCTGGGTTTCCCCAGCCACTTTGGGCGGCTTCCAACAAAACACTAAAATACAATAACCTATTAAACATTAAAAGCTTCCCTAAACAGGTCTGCCTTCAGATGTCTTCTAAAAGTCCGGTAGTTATTTTTCTCTTTGACATCTGGTGGGAGGGCATTCCACAGGGCAGGTGCCACCACCGAGAAGGCCCTCTGCCTGGTTTCCTGTAGCTTGGCTTCTCGCAATGAGGGAACCGCCAGAAGGTCCTCAGAGCTGGACCTCAGTGTCCGGGCAGAACAATGGGGGTGGAGGCGCTCCTTCAGGTATTAACTATGTTAACGAGGCACCTGTTACCTGCAGAGAGGAAACTGAGGCAGGCGACTTAGCAGCCAGGCCCTGGAGTGAATCACGGGAAGAGGCGATGCCTTCCCAGTGCTGCCGTTCGCTGAGCTGCTTCTTCTTCCCTCCCCTCCTTTCTTGTCTCTCAGTGCTGGGACTCTGCCTGCTTTGGATCCAGGGCCGTACGAAGCACTGCCGCCACCACCGCCTCCTCCTCTTCTTCCCGGGACTACCTGTCCCGTTAGCCTCCTCGCTCTCCCAAGCCTTCGCCCTCCATCTCTGCGCTGCTGCTGCTGCCTCCTTCCTCCTCGTCTCCCTCCCCGGAAAGAAGCTTTGCAGGAGCGTTGCTACCAGGCGGGCAACGTACAGGAGACTCTGGCGCCGGTCGGTTGCTTCTCCCTGGCACCGGCCGAGAGCCCCTCACTCCTCCTGGCCACCCCTGTGACTCTTGGTGGCTTTGAGGTCAGTGGGCTCTGTGCTGACAGCGACGGCAGGAGAAGGAGATCCACAAAAGAGTCCGAGAAGGGGGGTGTTGGTGTCACTATGGAGATATTTAACTTGCCTTTCCCCCAGTCACCTCCCTTCAAGTGAATTTTAACCCCCTTCACCCTTTTGAGGAGAATTCAGCCCGGTTGGAGGCGTTTTGACGGGGCAGAGCGGGGGCCGCCCTCTCTGCGGTTCCCTCATAGGAATATTCTGCCTGGGGAGCCAACCCAGACAGACCCTCTTCCTGAGCAGCCTCTATAGGGCTCCCATTCCGAGGTGGGACCCAGCTAGAATTTGCACGTCCGTGGGTGTGTATTGCTTTGTGCCCGTTGGAAGGGGCGCCTTCTGTTTCTCCCAAAGCCATGGATTCCTTTGCAGGCCCTCCCCTCGCCCGCTCTCCTCCCTCCGGGGCAAGGGCGGGGGCAGGCTTGACTGCACAACCCCCGTGTCCCCATCACTTTGCGCGTGAGAAATGTCCTTCCTTGGGGATGTGTGTTTGTGTGTGTGTTTTGCACAAGCGCCGCTCTCTCCGCCGGACGCCCTCTGTCGGTCTGAGCGAAGAGTCCACATCTGCAGAGAATGAGCCATAGCTTATGTGTTCAGGATCACACCCCCCACCCCGTTGCGATGGGAGGCCGGCCGTGTGTCTGTCTGTGTGCCCCTTCCCCTTGCTGCTCTTACGACCCTCCCTTTGGGTTGTCGCCTGTGAGTGTCGCCAGAGGCTCCCGTGCTTCAAAACCGGTGACCAGGCACCGCTGCGAAATGCTTGCGAGATTTTCTGGCCCGGGAGCTTAAGGCGAGCCCCTTTCCTCTCCAGGAGCTCTCCCCGCTTCGACTCTGAGTTAATTGGGTCACCCCTCCAACAGAGCCCCCTTCTTGCGGCTTCAGAAATAAACCCACTTTCCAAGCTCTCGTCCTCTAAACCCAGCAGAACTTCCCATCCGAGTCTCAAGTGGGATTTGCTCTGGAAAAGTGCTTTGGGTTGGGCGGGTGTCTGTCGTCTTTTGCAAGAAGGTCTAAGAGCCGGGTATCTCCGCCCCCCACCCCAATCCTCTCTCCTTTGTAGTGTCTTGTGGTAGCTCACTTCAAGAGGGATCCTTTCTCAAAAGACCTTTTCTTATGGCTTCCCATCTCTCCACTGCTCCAGAGAGTCTTTCTCTGAACACCCTGGGGTGTTCTGAGTGTCATGGCAGCCCCCAGGCACCAGCGCGGCCAGCCTTCAACCAAACCAAGCCCAAACCCAGCATGAGAACAGGGGAGCCGGGTCTGGGGCCTGTTCACAGGCCTTGCCTCTGAGCATGGCTGGAGTTCCGTCCCCCCTCCCTCTGCCTTGCCTTGCTTTACAGATACCTGACATGGGTCGGGGAGCCGTTGCTGGAGTATCAGAGGCGCTTTGAGAGACACCCCCCCCTTCCACATCCCCTCCATCAGCTGAGCAACTCCTTCAAAAAAGTCCCAAGAGGGGAGAAGGTGGGCAGGGGGGAGGGTGTGCCAGTGAGAGAGAACTAGTTAGAATTTTCTTTTGCCTTTTTTAAATACCCGCCCCCAAAAGGTATACTGCTTAACTCTGTTATTTATTACTTCTGTGTCGGGGGGGGGAGCCCCGTTGCCTCCTGGGGGTCCTGTCCTCTTTCTGCCCCCATCCCCAAATGCTTCCACACACTCTCTCTCGCTCTGTCTCCGATTCCAGGTAGCCCTCCCTGGCGATTTGCCCCGAGGTGGGCAGGGAAGGGGGTGTTTCTGGGAGTGGAGGGGCTCCTTTTATCAATCAACGGTTACGAAAAAGAGTTTATGGCCCAGATGTGCTGGTTGATTTCTCTCTCTCTCCAGTTGCAAACATTCCCTCCAGTTTTAAGGCTGTGAAACTTGATTTCTCCTACATAAAATGTTCTTTCGTTTTGTTTTCTTTTTCCAAAGTTGGAGACTGGTGGTGCCTTTCTTTCATTCATTCATGAATGCGTGTGTTTGTTTGTGTGTGCATTTGCTAGCCAAGCGGCAAAAGAGCCAGAGTTAAGGAGCCATTCCATTTGCAAAGAATTTCCACGATGTACAAAGTAAAAGCAGGGAACATGGATGGCCAGGCAAAAACCTAAGAACCCAGCCAGATGGGTAGGGCATAAATATATTATTATGATTATTACTGAGAACTGCACCTACCCAAGGCTGCATCTTGGGGGACAAGGTTGTCTGGGAGGGATTAAGCTCCCAGTTACATCCCTCCAGCCCTTTCCAGGCTCTCACACTCGCCACCCCAGAGTGTCGGGATATTTGCACAGCGCTCTAAGCTCTTTGCGTAGGCTGGTGGCAAAAGGCCAACGGAGCCGGCCATCGAGTCGATACAGCCCAAAGTTAAAGCTTGAAGAATAAGAGAGCATCTTCAATTTGAGAACACTCTTCTGCCTCCCTCCTAAAACCTCCAGGAAGGAGTGGGCAAGATTTTCCCTGACTTAAATGACTTGGTTTTCTCTAAGCCTCAGCAGTTCCTGGGAAGGTTTGTTTGGGGGGGAGGGAGGGGAGAAGAGAATGAAGTGGTTTCCATGGTGACAGGATGCAGGCACCACTGAGAGGAGCATCCCGGGTCCCCAATAGCAGCCGTGCCTCCCAAGTCCAGTCTGATTAGACACCAGTCTCCCATCACGTTCCTTCTGATTGGAGAGGAAATGTGAGAGATTTAGTTACATTCTGAAGATTATATATAATAATTTTTATTTATACCCCGCCCTCCCCAGCCAAGGCCGGGCTCAGGGCAGCTAACAAACAATAATAAAAACAAGTTGAACGAACACAACTTAAAAACAAGATTAAAATACAACATTAAAATATTGAAACATTAAAATGTAGCCTCATCACAGGAGAAAGGAAAAAAAAAAAAGAAAGAGGGGGAGGGAATCAAATTGGCTCCAAGCCAAAGGCCAGGCGGAACAACTCTGTCTTACAGGCCCTGCGGAAAGAAATCAGATCCTGCAGGGCCCTGGTCTCATGAGGCAGAGCGTTCCACCAGGCCGGAGCCAGTGTTGAAAAGGCCCTGGCTCTGGTTGAAGCCAATCTAACATCCTTAGGGCCCGGGACCTCTAGGGTGTTGCTATTTATGGACCTTGAGGCTCTCCGTGGGGCAGAGCGGGAGAGGCGGTCCCGTAGGTACGAGGGTCCTAGGCCGTCCTACATATACAATCTATATAGGTAGATTGTAATTGCATCTCTGCACGCGATATCATAAAGCTTGGCAGCTTGGAAATCATCAGAATCGTAGAACCGGCAGAGTTGGTAGGGGCCCCTGAGGGTCATCCAGTCCAGCCCCCCAGCAATGCAGCAGTCACAGCGAAAGGATCATTGAGAGACGGCCACCCAACCTCTGCTTGGAAACCTCCAACGAAGGACCGTCCACCATCTTCCGAGGGAGTCTGCTCATCTGTGCCAAGGATGGGGGTCCTGTGAATTTCCATGTGTTGCTAACTGGCAGCCCCATTGAATTCCAATGTTCAGGGCCACAGGTTCTTGCAACCCCACTGCCACTGGCCTGGTTTCTGACCGGTTAGGAGTATAGCTAAGGAGTTAGGAGTATAGCATCTAGATCAAGGGAAGTAATAGTGCCACTGTATTCTGCTCTGCTCAGACCTCACCTGGAGTACTGTGTCCAGTTCTGGGCACCACAGTTCAAGAAGGACACTGACAAACTGGAACGTGTCCAGAGGAGGGCAACCAAAATGGTCAAAGGCCTGGAAACGATGCCTTATGAGGAACGGCTAAGGGAGCTGGGCATGTTTAGCCTGGAGAAGAGGAGGTTAAGGGGTGATATGATAGCCATGTTCAAATATATAAAAGGATGTCACATAGAGGAGGGAGAAAGGTTGTTTTCTGCTGCTCCAGAGAAGCGGACACGGAGCAATGGATCCAAACTACAAGAAAGAAGATTCCACCTAAACATTAGGAAGAACTTCCTGACAGTAAGAGCTGTTTGACAGTGGAATTTGCTGCCAAGGAGTGTGGTGGAGTCTCCTTCTTTGGAGGTCTTTAAGCAGAGGCTTGACAACCATATGTCAGGAGTGCTCTGATGGTGTTTCCTGCTTGGCAGGGGGTTGGACTCGATGGCCCTTGTGGTCTCTTCCAACTCTATGATTCTATGGTTATATATATATATATATATATATATATGTGTGTGTGTGTGTGTGTGTGTGTGTGTGCATTAGACACTGGAATCTCGGTGGTGGTGGGGGAATGTGGGCAATAAATCAACCGTATTCACAATGTTTTTCCAAATTCAGGGATGATGTGGGGGAAGACTGTGCTGCCCCCCAATGTTGCTGGAGTCTGATGCCAGTCAGCTCAGCCAGAGGTCTGGGAAGGGGCGTGTATGCAGTCCAGCAACACCCCCAGGGCAGCTGATGTTGCCCACCCTGCGCTCACAGTCTGGCTTCAGCTGTGAGAGGGATGGACTGAATTGGGGGGGGCACGCAGGTGGGTAACCGAGATGATGCCCCCTCGATGTTCTTGGGCTCCTGACTCCCATCCGCCCTAAAGATCCGGCCTCATGGGAGTGGTAAAGGTAAAGTTCCAGTCGTGACCGACTCTGGGGTTGCGGCACTCATCTCGCTTTACTGGCTGAGGGTGCCGGCGTACAGCCTCCGGGTCATGTGGCCAGCAGGACTAAGCCGCTTCTGGCGAAGCAGAGCAGCGCACGGAAACGCCGTTTACCTTCCCGCCGGAGTGGTACCTATTTATCTACTTGCACTTTGACGTGCTTTTGAACTGAACTGCTAGGTTGGCAGGAGCAGGGACCGAGCAACGGGAGCTCACCCCGTCGCAGGGATTCGAACCAACCTTCCAATCAGCAAGCCCTAGGCTCTGTGGTTTAGACCACAGCGCCACCCGCATCCCTTCATGGGAGTTGTAGCCTGCCACAAACTAACTCTTCCCTGCTTCATCCTAACCCGGGGATGAGACGTCTCGCGATGCCGTTTTACAAACCTCTGCTGCGGTCGCATTTGTCCAGTTCTGATCGCCTTGTCTGAAAAAGGATATTGCAGAGTGGGAAATGCTCAGAAAAGCACGGGCAAAACCCAGCAAGGGGATGGAAAGACGACTCTTTGAATCCCAGGTGCTGGAAAGCACTGGGGGGTGGGGAGCGTTGCTCTCTCACTCGTATCCTGCTTGTGGGGTTCCCTTTGGGACCACTGATTGGCCGCTGTGAGAACTGGAGGATGGACTCGATGGGCCCTGGGCCTGATCCAGCAAGTTCTGCTTACATTCCCATGAGAGAGGGCAGAGTTGGCAGAGAGAGATTGCCCCTCCGGTGCCCTCCTGCAGGCCCTTCCTGGCCAACGGGTTAATCCCCCCCTCCCGCACCCATTGGCTTGCCAGGCACCCTTTGCTTGGCTCGGTGGGGTGTAAGAGACAGAAACAGAGAGAATGAGCGCCAACTTAGAGAGTCACACAGAGCCACTGGTTTCATCTTGGCTCAGTGGTGAGGAATAACAAGTTGCAGCCCAGCCCCACTCTGCTTAGGCCCCTGTCAGATGCTGCCTATTCCTTCCCTTACTGCAGTGACAGCCCCACGACTGAGTGAGGATTCAAACCCAGGTCTCTCCCAGGTCCTAGTCCCCCACGCTAACTGCTGTGCCACACTGGCCCTCCCATTCAGACAGTAAGATCTAGATTACAAGGGTCAGGAAACTTTTTCAACAGGGGGCTGGTCCACTGTCCCTCAGATCTTGTGGGGGGCCAGACTATCTATCTATCTATCTATCTATCTATCTATCTATCTATCTATCTATATGGGGGGGGGGATGAACCAATCCCTATGCCCCACAAATAACCCAGAGATGCATTTTAAATAAAAGGACACATTCTACTCATGTTAAAACGCTGATTCCCGGACCGTCCGCGGGCCGGATTGAGAAGGCGATTGGGCCTTAGTTTGCCTACCCATGATCTAGAAACTTGCTTTAAAAAAATAAGAATAAAATCTGTAGCTGCCAAGACGATGCACCCTGGTAGTGACCACCAAGGCTGCTTGAACCCCCAGCAACAGCCTGCCTCTTTTCCTCCTCCTTCCCACCGCAATGACCCCGTGCAAAGGACAGCAGACTCCCTGCATTGCAGCGGGTTGCGCTAGATGACCCGGTGGGGTCCCTTCCAGCTTCCTATGGCCGGGCGCTGCTGCCCTGCTCAAAAAAGGCGTAAGGAGAAGAAAGGTAGAAGGAACCCAAGGTTGCCCCCCCGAGGGATGGGGAGAGCTGGCGAACTACAACTCCCATCCTCCTGGGATTTGTAGTCCGGTAGCCCCCCATCCCTTCTCCGACAGGCGCTCCTCTTCGGCCTGCCTCGCAGGGGCGGCGGTGGCGGGTCTCCGCGCGCGCCGCGCTCTGCACATGTTCAGAGAAGCGCCGCCACGCCTCCCCGGCCGAGCCTTTGGTCGGCGGCCGAGGCTCCTCCTCCCCGCGCAGCCGGGCTCGGGCTCGTCGGGCCGGCGAACAAAAGCGGAGGGCGGCGGAGGAGGAGGAGCGACGGAAGAAGGAGAAGAGGAGGAAGAAGAGGCCTCGCGGCGGCCGGAGGCGCGTTGAGGACTAGCCGCTTGCGGGGCGACACCGCATCCCTCCCGGCGAGCCGAGGTACGAGGGACGGAATGGGGGACCCCCGGGTCACCAGGGGGCGCAGGCTGGACCCCTAAATCCCTGGACCCCTCTTACCGGGGGGGGGGTTTACCGCAATGGCTCCCCTGATCGCCCCCCTGCAGTCCTGGACCCCTCCTCCCGGGGAGCCCTCCCGCAATGGGCGCCCCTCTTTCAGACCCCCCAAAACAATCGCGCCGGTTCTCCGGCCAACTTGGGAAACTCGCCTTTTCCTTGCGCGCGCGCGCAGGGGGTGCTTTTTGGGTGGCCCCGAGGCTGCTCTGTGTGTTTGGGAGGGGTCCCGGTCCCTCTCCTGGTCGCCCCCCTTTCCCTCTTTTTATTTTATCTCTGCCATTCCCCCCCATCCCTTTCCCCAGGAGGCTGGGGGGGGGGTCCCCGCCGTCCTGGTTCTCCCCTTCCTCCTTTAACCCCCCCTGCAAGGTGGATTCGGCTCAGAGAGGCAGCGGCTGGCCCTCCAGGTGAAGTCCGGGAGGGGGGTGGGTGGGATTTGAACCCATGTCCCTCAGCTCTGATCTCCACCGCAACCCTGTGAGGTAGGTCTGGCTTTGAAAGGCGGCAAACTGAGCCAAGTGGGATGATTTGAACCCGTGCCCAGAGCAGTTTGGGTGGGGAAGGGGATGTTGCCCTGGTGCAGATCTTGGCCTTGACCTTACCTGCCTTTCTCCCCCCCCCATATTAGGCAAGGGGGCTGAGCACCCCCCAACGGCAACATGGCACCCTCAAGAGCTTCTTCTCCGTGACCTGCCTTCCTGCCCCCACCTGAATCCGCCCCGGCCGCAAGATGGCGCCGGCCCCCGCCTGCTCCCGGGACATGCCATGGAGGAGTCGCGCCCACCGGACGCCGCGCTAGGGTTACCCCCCTGCCAGAGGATGGGTCGGGGCAGCCAGGGCAGAGAGGCCTGCCCGCTGGAGGGCGAAGGGGCAGCCGTGGGGAGCCTCCTCCTGTTGGCACTCAACGGGCATCCAAAACGCCGTAGGGCAGAGCCCGGCAGCGACAAGGACGACCCTGCAGGCGAAGGGGCGGCCAAGCGTCACCGAGAAGCCCCCCCGGACCCCCGGGCACCCCCCTCGGGGCACCTGGCGCTGGACTACGTGGTGCCCTGCATGAACTTTTACGGGATCTGCGTCAAGGACTCGTTCCTCGGGGAGGTTCTGGGCGCCCGGATTCTGGCGGAGGTGGAGGGGCTGCACCGCAGTGGCAAGTTCCGCGACGGGCAGCTGGTCAGCCAGAGGGCGGTGCCCCCCCACGCCATCCGGGGGGACCAGATCGCCTGGGTGGAGGGCTGGGAGCCTGGGTGCCGCGCCATTGGAGAACTCATGGCGCACGTCGACCGGCTCATGCTTCAATGCGCCGGCAAGCTGGGCACCTACGACATCCGCGGACGGACAAAGGTGAGTTCCGGAGGGGCCCCCCAGGGCTCATCTAGTCCAACCCCTGCAATGCAGGACTCCCGGCTCTCTGTGTGCATGTGCAGAGTGCATTTCCCTCGCTGCGTAAAGTAGGTTCCTACAAAATGCTTTGCTTTCTTGTCCCTGTGTTGGCCTAGAGGGGGCACATCTTGCTTCCGGTGGGTGGGTGGGTGTCTGCGTTGGCCTTTTGGAACTCTGCACGGGAGCAGAGGACTCTTTTTTTTCTGCTTTGCCCATGTGCGAGGTGGCATCGTGGGAGGGGGTTTGGGTCGTGTTGCGTCCGTGCTTCTGAATGTGCAGTTGGTGCAGACATTTAGGTTGGGAAAGCCATCCTATCGCCCTGGAATTGTGTATCTGAAAGGGACCCCTAAGGGTCATCCATTCCAACCCGCTGCAATGCAGCAATTGTGGCTGAAGAATCCCTGAGAGACGGCCGTCTGACTTCTGCTTAGAAACCTCCGCGGCTCCACCATTGAGCAGCTTCTTGGCAAGCCCTTCCTCGTAATAATATTGATCTTACCCCCTGAAACAGCAGAAAACAAGCTTGCCCCATCTTTATTCCTGCATGGCAGCGGGTTGGCCTGGATGACCTTTGGGGGTCCCTTCCAGGTGTACGATTCTAGAATCACAGAACTGTAGCGTTGGAAGGGACCCTGAGGGTCATCCAGTCCAACCCGCTGCAAGGCAGGAATATTTTGCCCCACTTGGGGCTCGAACCCACAACTCTGAGATTAATTGTCTGAAATGTGATGTTGGGGCCAGGAGCTCCCCAAGGCTTTCCCCCGCTCTGTGCCCCCCACCCAGCAACAGCTGGACCTTTGGTGGAAACGCTCTGCTGTTGCGGACGCCGGCGACCTCTGGGCCAGGCAGGGCAGGTCCTGGGGGGGTCCTGGGCCCTCCTGCATTTGGGGTGGGGGTCTGAGAGGAGGAGGAGGGGGCTCCCAGGTGCATTGCACCCTTCCACACCCCGTGTTGCCTCTTTGGGGTGCCTGTTAGGGGTCGCTAACTTATCCCACCTGCCAGAGGGAGGTGGGAGCCTTTTCCTGTCTCTGGGGGGTGGCTGGGGGTGTCTTTTTCCGCTTTCCTGGAAAGACAGAAGCTGGCAGAGGCAGTGTCGGCCGGACGAGAACTGTGTCTGTTGTGTAACTAGCGCACAGATAGTTGTGGGGTCCCTGGAGAAGGTGGATTTTGGAATCACTGTGGAATGCACAGCGGGGAAAGAGTGTCTCTGAGGACGTCTAGGGTGCATTTCTAAGAAACAGCAGCCAACTCACCCTCCTGTGTTCCTGGAACTGGGGGAGGAGCTGAGCCGCTTGGTGTTTGTGTGCTCTGTGGGGCAGGGAAGGGGGCTAGACAGTCTTGTGATGCTGCTCCTATCATTTCCGCAAAGAACTTTGCCCCGCTCTCTCTCCTGTTGCAACCGGCGCCGTCGTTCTGACCTTCTCCCAGCCCGCCTTTCCCTAAATCGTAGGATCGTTGAGTCGAAGGGCACCCCCAGCGGTCATCTAGCCCAACCCGCTTCAAGGCAGGAATCCCAGCTGAGGGGTCCCTGACAGGGGGCCCTTCAAACTCTGCTTCATTCTCTGCTTCAAGCAGCCCTTCTTACTACAGTGGTACCTCGCAAGACGAGAAACTCGCTAGACGAAAGGGTTTTCCGTTTTTTGAGTCGCTTCGCAAGACGAATTTCCCTATGGGCTTGCTTTGCAAGACAAAACGTCTTGCGAGTTCTTGCGAGTTTGTTTCCTTTTTCTTAAAGCCGCTAAGCCGCTAAGCCGTTAATAGCCGCTAAGCCGCTAATAGCCGTGCTTCGCAAGACGAAAAAACCGCAAGACGAAGAGACTCGCGGAACGGATTAATTTCGTCTTGCGAGGCACCACTGTATCAGAAAGTTCTTCCGGGTATTGAGTTGGAATCTTCTTTCTTGCAAGTTGAAGCCATGGGTTCAAATCTTTCCTTCCGGAGCAATCTGGGGTCTGGCTTGGTTGCTCTATTGAAAGGGAAAAGGGCTCTGTGTACGCTCAGAGGGCCCCTCACTTGCGAGTTATTTTTATTCTCACTTTATTTATTAAATTTATATACCACCCTTTTATCTGAAGATCACAGGGCAGTTGACAATATAAAAACACAAACAAACAAACAAACAAACAAACATTACCCCCCCCCCCTTGACACATTTAGTTTAACAGTCAAAGGCCTGGTTAAATGGGAATGTTTTTTGCCTGGTGCCTGAAGATGTGCAGTAAAGTCCCCAGGCAAACCTCCCTGGGGAGAGTCTTCCACGAACGGGGAGCCACCCCACAAAAGACCCTGCTCTCGTGCTGCCAGACCTCTCCTCCAGACGGGCATCGGATGATAACCAGAGGATCTGGGTGGGTTCATATGGGGAGAGGCGGCCCTTGAGATATTGCGGTTCCTCGGCAAAACCGGCACTTTGGAGGGGGCCCAGAAACCGATTGGCAGCCGGCGCAGTCCGTCTTGGCCCGGTGAGCAGCCTGGCGGCCCAATTCTGCTCCCGCTGGAGTTTCTGAGCCGTCCTTGGAGGAAGCCCCATGCAGAAGACCTTGCAGTAATCCAGAATAAATGCTGACAGCCGTTTCCCTGCCGGGACCCTCTGCCTCAAACGAGTGCTGGGGCTTAGCTGCGAAGACTGCTTGGCTCAGAGCCATCCTGGAAAGCTCTTCGCGCCCGGATCGGTGTCAGGAGCCACCCGGGCTGACCCTGTGGCTTTTTTGGCAACCCCGTCTGCCCCCTTTTGTCAAGGTCCCTGGCTGACCCCCGGCTCCCTCCCTCCCAGTGGGCAAAATTGCTGATGGAAGCCGATTTGCCCGACCAGCACAGAGCTCTTCCCCTCTCGCCTCTTCCCTCTGTTTTTGGTTTTTCCTGCAACGTTGGCAGGATCTTTTATTTTTTGGGGGTGGGGGTGGGTTGCAGGGGGCTGGCATGGGGGATGCCGCATTCGCCCCTGGAGGCAGCCCTGACTCTTTGCTCCCCCTTTCCCGATATGGAGAGGGATTTGTGAATTCTAGGGAAGGCCCTGGCTGCCTCCATCTCTTTCCTGGAATCAGAGAGAAATTTGCAGCCCTCCAGCTGGTACTGATCTGCAAAGCCTGCCATTCTCCCTGCCTTCTGGGAGTTGGAATTTGATCGCATCGGGGGGGGGGGGTTTGCTGAGGACGGCATAATATTTTTTGGGGGGAGGCAAGGTGGGGTAGAGGCAGTGTTAGAAACCCAGATTTATAAGCGAATCGGAATGCCTGGGTGCCATTTATTGGAATTTATTGTGATTTATTTATTTATTTATTTATTTATTAAATAATATTTATTAAAGTTTCAAAAAATACAAAAAATACAGAATACAGAAAAAGAAAAAAAATAAAGTTTTTAAAATATAGCCAAAAAGATAAAAAATAAAAAGAAACATACCAAATAAAACAGTTAAAAAGACATTAATTTTCCATAACCTATCTTCCCTATACATATTTCCCCGGACCTCCTCATACCTCCCTTTTTTGTATTCCAGTTCAATTTGTTAGTTCAGCAAATCCTTACCATTAAGCTTTTACCCAATTGCAAACCTTTTTTCATGTCTCTTAAGGCATTACAGCTAAAAACCTCTTAGTTTCTATCCAACATCCTTCTAAGATTCCTTAATTTTACAATATTTCTGTAAATAGTCTTTAAATTTCTTCCAGTCTTCTTTCACCGACTCTTCTCTCTGGTCTCTTCTCTCTTGTGATTTATTTATTATTCATTTCATTCTACTGCGCTTCATATTTTAAAGGGGGATAAACACCTCAAAGCGGTTTATAACACGTTAAAACATCAAATAAAACAATCCAGAATAAGCCAGATTCAAGCTTCAAGGAAAATATTTCAGATCCTTCTCTAAGTGACGTTTGGCTTTCTCCATATTTATTCACCTACTTAGTTTCTTGAGCTGCCCCATAGCAGAAGTCCCTTAGGAAGCCATTGTGGTGTAGTGGTTCCAGCGTCGGACCTGGGAGATCAGGGTTCGAATCCCCGCTCTGTCATGAAGCTCACTGGGTCACCTTGGAGTCAGTCGCAGCCTCATAACCTCCCTCACAGGGTCGTTGTAGGGAGCAGCTAGACTGGTGACTGGGAGCGGCCGCCAAGACCACATAACACCAGTCTTGAAAGACCTACATTGGCTCCCAGTACGTTTCCAAGCACAATTCAAAGTGTTGGTGCTGACCTTGAAAGCCCTAAACGGCCTCGGCCCTGGATACCTGAAGGAGCGTCTCCACCCCCATAGTTCAGCCTGGACACTGAGATCCAGCTGCGAGGGCCTTCAGGCGGTTCCCTCATTGCGAGAAGCCAAGTTACAGGGAACCAGGCAGAGGGCCTTCTTGGTGGTGGCTCCCGCCCTGTGGAACGCCCTCGCAGCAGATGTCAAAGAGATAAACAACTACCTAACTTTTAGAAGACATCTGAAGGCAGCCCGGTTCAGGGAAGTTTTTAATGTGTGACATTTTAATGTATTTTTAATCTTTGTTGGAAGCCGCCCAGAGTGGCTGGGGAAGTACAAATAAATAATACTGATATTAATAATAATAATAATAATAATAATAATAATAATAATAATAATACAGTGGTACCTCAGGTTAAGAACTTAATTCGCTCCGGAGGTCTGTTCTTAACCTGAAACTGTTCTTAACCTGAAGCACCACTTTAGCTAATGGGGCCTCCCGCTGCTGCCACCATGCAATTTCTGTTCTCATCCTGAAGCAAAGTTCTTAACCTGAAGCACTATTTCTGGGTTAGTGGAGTCTGTAACCTGAAGTGTATGTAACCCGAGGTACCACTGTAATAATAATAATAATAATTAATAATAATAATAAACGGAGGAGGGGGTGAGCCATGTGCCAACTTGGCACCCAGAGATCTCCACTGGGTTGCAATCGGACCCAGGGCAGTTGCAAAACATGCCTGGCGAATTTCGAACTCTGGACCAAGTGACCCTGAAGCGTGCCTGTGCTCTGGCCGGTGCACCACTGTGGGGCTGGCTTGAGGGAGGTATGTTCTCTCCTCCGCCCCTGGGGGGGTGGGGGTGCCGGCTGGATTCCTGCATTGCGGGGGGTTGGACTAGATGGCCTCTGGGGGTCCCTTCCTTGTGGCAACTGAAAGGCAAGCATATTAATTGAGGTGGGGCCCCCAGTGCCGTCCTCTCCAACGATCCCCTAATGCGGACTCCGCAATAAAATCCACAGGGGCCTCTGTTTTTACTGCAGAAGCTGCGATGGTGAGGCCTCCCCTCCTGCCCCACCAGCTTCCATGGGGCTCAGCTGCGTTGGCCCCCTTCTCACTCTTTGGAAAGTGCTCCTGCACAGACACCCTGGTGCAGGAGACTTGCCTTAGGCATGTTCCCACGGGGGCGGCAGCCTCAGGCCAAAGGGAGGTTCTTGCTGCCCAGGACTCCTGGGTCCTCTTCTTTGACCATGGGGAGGGCCTGAGAGTCCAAAGTTTTTCCTTACTGGGGTGCAGAAAGGGGGCAGGGGGAGGAAGCCCAAATTCCTGGATTCCAACCCCATCTCCCCCAAAAAGCCGGGGAGCAACTGGGCGAGCCGATCCGATTTTATATTTTTATTCTGCTTTCCAGCGAACCCTGAGCTCCCTGTGATTCACAACAGCCTTTCAAAAAGCCACAGAGATCAAACGCAGCTGCAGATTCGCCGCAGCAATTAATGCCGTTCGGTCGAGTCGCAGCCACTCCGAGCGTTGCCAGGATACTTCCTCCAGAAGGGTGGGACATGGTCCAGAGGCTGCTTATCGCATCCTTTGTTCCCCTGCACCCCCACTGCGGTGGGTGCAAAAATTGAGGCCTTGCCAGCCTGCCAGAGAGCTGATTCTTGGCTTGACTCGGTGTGTGATTGTGTGGGGTCTCCCTCCATGTCCTGGCACGACCCCTGCAGGCGCCTAGCGCAGGGGAAACCGAGGCACAGCAGGCCACCTCCCCTTCCCGCCGCCTCCTGAAGTGCAAAGGGGCTCATTATCTGGAGGCGTCTAAGGGCAGAGCTGAGCCGTGTCCTCGGCTGACCCCGCCGGCAGCCTTCCACGCCTTGGTCCGAGAGCAGATCCTGCGTCACGGGGACTTCATGTCCTTGGTGCTACCGGGAATGCGAGGGAACAGGACGCACCGGCCTTTGGCCACCTGGGGGGGGGGGAAGAGAGAGATTACAGCCTCTCTCGCCTCCTTCTCTGCCCCCCCTTCTGCCGTGGACTTTCTTGCAGGGTTGGGAAGCGGTGGGAGTTTGCCGCTGGCTTTGCTTGCAACCCCACTTTATTTTTGTTTGTTTGTTGGGGGGCAGAGATCTGTTGGAAAATCATTTGGCCCCCTCCTGCCCAGCGTCTCCCTCCTGGCCAGGCAGCAAACGGTGACCCTTTCTTGTCTCTCTCTCCACCCCCCCCTCCAAAATCTCAGGTGCCAGCCTAATAATAATAATAATAATAATAATAATAATAATAATATTCATAGGCCAACCACCTTCCAATCTTCACTGCCTTCTTCATAATAATATTAATAATATATTTTTTTATTTATATCCCACCCTCCCCAGCCGAAGCCGGGCTCAGAGCGGCTAACAACAGTAAAATGATAAAACATTATAAAATCATTTCATTATAAAATTAATTCCAACCAGATTTCATTTCTCAAGCTTTCTCCCCTCCAGAATCTCCTCTCCAGGGCTTTGACTTTTGAAGTAGTTTTGCTGTTCCCCCGCTTTCCGTTTTAGCAGCGGAGAGGGGCCCCTGGGCATACGCAGAATTCTTTTTGCTCGGGGTGGAGGGACCCTAAAAAGGTGTCGCGTGTTTTGGATTTGCACGCGGGGCGTTTGTGGGAGCGCATCCCGCCTTTGTCTTGCAGGGACGAGGGGCTCCTAGTGCAGGGAAGAAGTACCCCAAGGAAGCTCTGGGGGGAAGGGAGGGAGCAAGCTCTTGGGGTCAGGAGCCCCCTGGCGGCCTTGGGGACCCCTCAAACTGTGCTCAGGATGGAGGCTTGGCTTCTGCTGTGCTCAAAGGCAGGGGAGTCTTTCATAAATTACAGTCACACCTCGGGTTGAAGTTGTTTCATGTTGAGCGTTTTCGGGTTGCGCTCCACGGCGACCCGGAAGTAACGGAACGTGTTACTTCCGGGTTTCGCCGCTCGCGCATGTGCAGATGTTCAAAATGACGTCATGCGCATGTGCGGAAGCGGCGAATTGTGACACGCGCAGACAAGGGTTGCGTTTACTTCAGGATGCGGACGGGGCTCTGGAACGGATCCCGTTCGTATCGCTGTATATTGAATTGTTTTTAATGTGTTTTGATGCAGTAACCTACCCGGGGTCCCTTATGAGGAAGGGCAGGTTATCAATATATAATCAATTATCATTTTTAACTATAGTTACCCTTGCTAACTTTTTAAATTATTTTAAATTATTTTTATTACCAATTGTTAATCGTGGTTAATTATTTTTAAAATTATATTCTAATGAATAATAATAATAATAATAATAATAAACTAAATCCTGAAAAGGCAGAGAGGTGCTGTATCCCAGTTTCTCAAGTCTAGGTTGGGGGGCTGTGCTCCCCTGCACTTTGGGGGGGCTCCTGGATTCCCCTCTGTCCCTGGGAGGCTCAGGGGGCCTCGGTATTGGGGACACACACACTTTTATCTCCATCTACAGCCCCTTTTGGACAGAGCTGACTTGGCCACTACAACTCCATGCTCTGGCAATTTCCAGGCTGGATTACTACAATGCGCTCCTCCTGGACCTGCCCTTGAAGACTGCTGAGAAACTTCGGTCAGTCCCAAACACGGCAGCCCGATTCCTGTCCAGGATTCTCTTTAGATCTCCTATGAGCTCCGATTTAAAGCAGCTGCTCTGGTTGCTGGTTCTTTTCCGGACCTAATTCGAGGTCCTCTGTCCTCTCCCCCATGCTTTTCAACATCTACATGGGAGAGATCATCAGGGGGTTTGGGCTGGGTGTCCATCAGCATGCGGATGATACCCAGCTCTACCTCTCTTTCAAATCAGAACCAGTGAAGGCGGTGAAGGTCCTGTGTGAGTGTCTGGAGGCGGCTGGAGGATGGATGGCGGCTAATGGATTGAGGTTGAATCCTGACAAGACAGAAGTACTGATTTTGGGGGGACAGGAGGCGGGCTGGTGTGGAGGACTCCCTGGTCCTGAATGGGGTAACTGTGCCCCTGAAGGACCAGGTGTGCAGCCTGGGAGTCATTCTGGACTCACAGCTGTCCATGGAGGCGCAGGTCATTTCTGTGTCCAGGGTAGCTGTTTATCAGCTCCATCTGGTATGCAGGATGAGACCCTCCCTGCCCTCAGACTGTCTCACCAGAGTGGTGCATGCTCTAGTTATCTCCCACTTGGACTACTGCCATGCGCTCTACGTGGGGCTACCTTTGAAGGTGACCCGGAAACTGCAACTAATCCAGAATGTGGCAGCTAGACTGGTGACTGGGAGTGGGCGCTGAGACCATATAACACCGGTCTTGAAAGACCTACACTGGCTCCCAGTACGTTTCCAAGCACAATTCAAAGTGTTGGTGCTGACATTTAAAGCCCTAAATGGCCTCGGTCCAGTATACCTGAAGGAACGTCTCCACCTCCATCGTTCTGCCCAGAGACTGAGGTCCAGTGCCGAGGGCCTTCTGGTGGTTCCCTCACTGCGAGAAGCCAAGTTACAGGGAACCAGGCAGAGGGCCTTCTCGGTAGTGGCACCCGCCCTCTGGAACGCCCTCCCACCAGATGTCAAAGAGAAAAATAACTACCAAACTTTTAGAAGACATCTGAAGGCAGCCCTGTTTAGGGAAGCTTTTAATGTTTAATAGGTTATTGTATTTTAGTGTTTTGTGGGAGGCCGCCCAGAGTGGCTGGGGAGTCCCAGCCAGATGGGCAGGGTATAAATAATGAATTATTATTATTATTATTATTATTATTATTATTATTTAAACACCTGTGAGCAGGTGTTTAAAGCCCTGGGCGACTCGGGACCCCAAAACCTGAACGTCTTGCCTCCTTTGCCGCAGACCCTTTTGGGTGCTGAGACGGGCACCTTGCTGCTTCCTCCGGCTGTAGGGGCTCCAGGTGGGTGGGTGGGTGGCAGCCCAGGGGGAGGAGAGGGTCTTCTCTTGAGGCCCCTTGGCTTGGGGACCCGCTCCCCACAGAGATGTGCCTGCCACCTTCCTTGCACTGCTTTCATCTTTTGCTGAAGACTCACCTGTTTGCTCTGTCTCTCGGCATTCAAGGTGCATGTTTCTAGGGACCCACCTTATAGCGGGAAGCTATCCTAAACTGCTTTTAATAATGTGCTTTAATTCTTGCATGTTAGGATGTCGGGGAGAAGGGCAGGCAAGGAATAGGTGGACAAAAAGGTAAAGGTAAAGGGACCCCTGACCATTAGGTCCAGTCGTGGCCGACTCTGGGGTTACGGCGCTCATCTCGCTTTATTGGCCGAGGGAGCCGGCGTACAGCTTCCGGGTCATGTGGCCAGCATGACTAAGCCACTTCTGGTGAACCAGAGCAGCGCACAGAAACACCATTTACCTTCCCGCCGGAGTGGTACCTATTTATCTACTTGCACTTTGACGTGCTTTCGAACTGCTAGGTTGGCAGGAGCAGGGACTGAGCAATGGGAGCTCACCCCATCGTGGGGATTCGAACTGCTGACCTGATCGGCAAGCCCTAGGCTCTGTGGTTTAACCCACAGCGCCACCCACAGCCGGCAAATTCCTGCCTTTCTCGGGGTTGGTATAGATGATCCCTTGGTTCCCTTCCAACTCGAACATGCCAAGATTCCATGAAAGGATTTGGTCTTTCTGCCCAAGTGGTTCCGGACTCCGACTTGTGTTGTTTTAACAATCTCACACCCCCAAATTCCTTGTGTCTGTCTGCCTGCCTGCCTCCCTCTCCCATTTCCTTTCCTGCTCGCCCCCCGATGCATGCTGCCCCCTAGGAAAAGCTACAGACTGGCCTCCTCCGCTGTTGCCCACCCGGCCCCAGAGTGGGGGTTGCTAGGGGGTGGGCGCTTTGGAAATTCAGCTCCCCATCTGCCCCATGCAGACCGCTTTCCAAAAGGGAGAATACGGGCTTTGGCTCCTTGTTTTTGCTTCCTGGTCGCCTGGAGGCGACTCTCCCTTCTCCATAGGCGAACCGGGAGGCGGAGCTCCTAGCAGGGGGGGCGGAGCTGGGAAGAGGCGGCCCTGGAGCTGTGTTTGGTCCAACCCCTGGCATTGACCCCTCCCTCCTCTCCCTTCCCCCCTCCCCTCCAGGCCATGGTGGCATGTTACCCCGGCAACGGCAGGGGGTACCTGCGCCATGTGGACAACCCTCACGGAGACGGGCGCTGCGTCACTTGCATCTATTACCTAAACCGGCACTGGGACAGCAAGGTACGTGGGGGAGGGGGGGGTCTCTGCACCTGCCACCTGCCCCTCTGTCCACACCCCCGGTCTCATGCATGGCACACATTTCCTCTTCCCGGACGCCCTGCCCTCTGTTCTGTGCCCCTTCCTCTGCCCCCTCCAGCAGGCAAAACTCCTGTGCTCAGGGGGCCGACCCTGCGGAGTAGGACGCCTGGGTTCCCCCAGCAGCCTAGGACTCCGGGGTCCTGCTCTCGGCTTGCGGAAGAAGAAAGTTTGGAGGCAAAGCACGCAGGGCTCAGTCCTGGGACCACAAGAAGCACCGATAGAAAGCGTGTGCCTCTGAGCATATGCAGAGTGCCTGCCCAGTGTCGGTGGACTGCAGGGACTGGGCTTCGACTGTCTGGTGCACACGGAAAGTCCCAGCCAAAGTCTTTTGGCAGTGGGGTCTTTCCGCCAGGACTCCCGGGTTCTTTCTGTTGCGGAGGCTCAGCGGAGAGCTTATGAAAGGGGAAGGTCTCTGCCGAGAGTGGGCCTGATCCGTGAAGCTTCTGGTCCAACCTCCTGTCCTCACAGTGGCCAAAGAGCCCATAGAAACTAGGAATCGTGATAGACTGCTCCTGCAGCTGGAGGTTCCATAACAGCAAAAGAAGAGCCTGGCTGCTGGATCAGGCCAAAGGGGGCCCATCGAGTCCGGCATCCTGTCCTCACAGTGGCCCACCAAGCACAAGAGCAACTCTCCCTTCCTGGGGTTTCCAGACACTGGGATTCAGAGGCTGAGCAGAGCCTTTGCGGCCAGTAGCCACCGAGAGCCTTACTGATTTCCATGAATTTGTCTGATATTTTGAAGCTGTGGCCCTCCCTCCCTCCAGTGGCAGAGAGTTCCACAGTCCAACTATGTGGCACATGAAGAACGATTTCCTTTCATCTGTCCTGAATATTCCGACTTGGCGTTATGAGAGAAGGAGAAAAACGTCTGTCACGTCACATCTTCACTCGGCTTTTCCCTAAACAGAGGACTCCCAAATGCTGCAACCTTTTTCTCGTAGGGGAAATTCCCTGGCTCTGTTCTGGTGTTGCAAGACAGATGCGAACCCTCAAGCTACCTAGTCCAACATTGTGAACTCCCCCCAATTTGGCCAGCCAGATACTCCTGGGGAAAACCCCTCAGGCAATCGCCCTCCTCCCCAAATGGGTAAATGTGGTAGACTGCTTTTCTGCCTGGAAATTCCATTTTCACCATCCTGGATAAAAGTCCTGGAGCGAGGGAACTCCCCATCCGTTTTGCAGCAGGGAATTTCACAGGTCAATTCTTTCTGGGTTTGCGGAGTGGAGGGGTGTGTGTGTGTAGGGGGGGGGAGAGACTCTGCCCCCCCACTCCCTTTCAATATTCCTGATTTCCCGTCATCCCTGATCCTTGGTCATGACAGCTGAGGCTATGGGAGTTGGAGGCCCATATTTCTAGGAAAGAGATTGAGAATAAAAACGCCCAAATCACAAGGCCGTTTTGCAAAATCTGTGGTGCAACCGGATTGGGGGTCCAGTGTCCCGTTCTGGTTGCCTCGTCTCAAAATGGATATTGCAGAAAAGGTTGCAGCGTTCGGGACTTTTCAGGCTATAGGAAAGGCGACCGAGAGGCAGGGGTGCCTTAGCGGAGATTCCTGCATTGCAGGGGGTTGGACTAGAAGACCTTTGGGGTCCCTTCCAACCTGACAAGTTTTTGGCCCCCCCCCAATAACACTAGAACTGATTGATTGATTGATTGATTGATTGATTGATTGAATATACCGCCCTATACCTGAAGGTCTCAGGGCAAGTTCCCAGAAAAGAACTCAAGGGCGTATGACGAAGATTCAGGACGGATAAGTCTTTCTTCACGCAGCAGGAAGTTAAACTGCGGAACTCCCTTCCACTGGACGCAGCATCGGCCAGAAACTTGGATGTCTTTCAGAGAGGACTGGACCAATTCCCAGAGGAAGAGGAGAGGGCTTAGGCTGGCTCCCAGCCAGGATAGTTGTGCTCAGCCCTGGAGGCAGGGAACCCCAGGATCTTGTGTTCGAATCCTGCTTGGGGTTTCCCCCAGGCATCTGTTCAGCCGCTGTGAGAACAGGATGCTGGCCTGATCCATCCTCCAGACTCCTATTCCTACTTGCATCGGGTGGGGGGGGTGTATGGGTGCCCACCCCCTAACCTGGATCTCCAGGCAGCCTTGTTTAGGGAAGCTTTTAATATATGATGGATTTTAATATTTTGTTGGAAGCTGCCCAGAGCGGCTGGGGGAACCCAGCCAGATGGGCGGGGTATAAATAATAAATTATTATTATTATTATTCCACATCCAAGGTGCTCCCACTTGCACCCCAGAGCAACCTGGGCCCCAGTGCCTGGCTAGAGCATCGCCCCAACTTCCTGCCCCCAGCCCCCATCCTTGAGTTGTTGCGCTTGTCCTTCCGTGCCCCAGATGCACCCATCGGACCCCCCTCTTTGAGCTCCCTGAATGCCCAGCCAGGAAGTCCCCTTGCAGTGGGGCACCCGTTATTCTCACGCCCCCACCCAAGGGTGCCTGGGAGGGGCAGGAGGCGAATGAATGACTTGGGTGTCAGTTTCGCGCTGCCTTGGGGTCTGTCTGCGAAGGGACCCTTTGACGTCTCCCCGTCTGTGCCAGGTTCACGGTGGGATCCTGCAGATCTACCCCGAGGGACGCTCAGTGGTGGCCAACATCGAGCCCATCTTTGACCGGCTGCTCATCTTCTGGTCCGACCGGCGCAACCCCCACGAAGTGAAGCCCGCCTACGCCACCAGGTAATGGGGAGGGGGGTGGTTGCGACTCCTGGTCCGGCCGGCCGGGGGGTGTAAGCCGACGGCAGAGTTTGTCGGATGCCAGAGCTGAGGCCTGTGCAGCAGTGCCTCTGAGGATGCGCAGAGTGACTTTTAAAAAATTATTACCAAAAAATGATAACAAAGTGTGGGGGATGAAGAAGAATAAAAAAAACCTTAAGATATCAATCGTCACAGCCTGGAGGGAGAAAATTACAAAAGTAAATTCCGAAGTTCCAAAGGGGTAGTAATAATTATTTATTTATTTATACCCTGCCCATCTGGCTGGGTTTCCCCAGCCGCTCTGGGCGGCTTCCAACAAAATATTAAAAATACAACAAAACACTTTGCAAAAGATTTATATAAAATAAATATATTCTCCGCTTTTGAGTGCCATCAGGGTTGAGAATAAAGGTTCTACATCGTCCTAAATGAGCCAGACATCTGCATTTGGGGAAGCCTTAAATGTTTGATGTTTCATTATGTTTCTGTATATGTTGGAAGCCGCCCGCAGTGGGTCAGATGGGCGGGGGTACAACTAAAATAATAATAATTATTATAATTGCTTACATTATCTGTGATTCCTGAATGACAGGGGGTTGGACTAGATGGCCCCTGAGGGGCCCTTCCATATTCTGATTCTATATATCAGTGGCTCTGAGCGACCATATGCCTCAATCTTGCCATATAAAAAAAACCAACGGTCATTTGAGCGCTGTCATTAGATGCTTTTAGTTTGTGAGATATATTTTCTGTCTCCAAGAAGGACTTGCAACAGGTGAAATGCCCTGAAGACTAGTATATATATATTTAATAAATAATAACAGTAATTCCTCCTCTAACTCCCAGTCAGGATGGAACCCCCTCCCTTTCCTCCTGCCCATCCCTTTGTGTATATATTATTGCTGTTATTTTATTATTATTACAGTCATACCTCATGTTACGTTTGCTTCATGATACGTTTTTCAGGTTGCGTCCCGCAGTGACCCGGAAGTACCGGAAAGGGTTTTTTTTAATGATATTTATTAAGATTTTTTGAAATATTACAGTGAAAATGAAAAAGAAAAAAGAAAAATACAAAATAAAAACAGTTAAAAACACACATATTTTCTATTACTTATTTTCCTTTAGCTTGTTTCCCGGACCTCCTCGTACCTCCCTTTTTTGTATTCCACTTCAATTTATTGGTTCAGCAAATCCTTACCATTAGATTTTAACCCATTTATAACCCTTTTTTTTCATATTCTCTTAGAGCATTACAGCTGGAAACCGCTTAATTACTATCCAACATCATTCTATCATTCATTAATTTTACAATATTTCTGTAAATAGTCTTTAAATTTCTTCCAATCTTCTTCTTCTTCTTCGGAAAGGGTTACTTCCGGGTTTTGCCGCTTGCGCATGCGCACAAGCGCCAAATCGCGCCACGCACCTGCGCAAATACGGCGCTTCAGGTTGCGGGCTTCTCATGTTGCGAACGGGCCTCCGGAATGGATCCCGTTCGCAACCAGAGGTACCAGTATATTATTATTATTATTATTATTATTATTAATGGTATTCCTACTCTGCTCTTCATTGAGTATTTGGGGGCTTGGGCAAGGCTCTGAAGCAGTCCTCACTGGGCAGCAGCAGCAGCACCCTCCAGCCTTAGCTGTGAAAAAGGTGAGCAACGGAGTGCGTGCAGAGTGCCTTTGGGGAGCAGCCGCAATCCTCCCCAACACTGGATCTAGGAATTGGGGGCAGGTTCCTTTTCCATCCTGAGAAGATCTCTTCCTTCCGCTTCTAGGAAACGAAGGCGGCCTTGCAGAATAATAATAATAATAATAATAATAATAATAATAATAATAATAATAAATAATTTATACCCTGCCCTCCACAGCCACGACCGGGCTCAGGGGGGGCTAACACCAGGTATAAAAACAATTGGTTAAAATACAACTTAAAAACAAGATTAAAATACAACGTTAAAATGCAGCCTCATTTCAGTAGAAACTCAAATCAAAAACTTTTTGGGGATGAAAACGTCAAATCTTCACCAAGGCCAGCTATCCAGACTGGTCCTACGTGGGCCAGAAAAATGAACCCAAATAGGAGTTCTATCACAGAAGGAGAAAGGATAGAGGGGAAGGGAATCAAGTTGATTCCAAGCCAAAGGCCAGGCGGAGGCGGAACAACTCTGTCTTACAGGCCCTGCGGAAAGAAATAATAATATAATAATAATAAATTTTATTTATATCCCGCTCAGGGCGGCTAACAACAATCAAAATAATCCAGCATTCTAAAAACATTCATTATAAAATTAATTAAAATCAAATTGATGGCAACCATTAAGCAAAATTCTGTGCAGATTGCCAGAGGAGGGAGTCAGGCTGCGCCCTGACCAAAGGCCTGGTGGAACAGCTCTGTCTTGCAGGCCCTGCGGAAAGATGTCAGGTCCCGCAGGGCCCTAGTCTCTTGGGACAGAGCGTTCCACCAAGTCGGGGCCACAGCCGAAAAGGCCCTGGCCCTAGTTGAGGCCAGCCTAACCTCTCTGTGGCCTGGGATCTTCAGGATGCTTTTATTTGCAGACCGTAGGTTCCTCTGTGGGGCATACCAGGAGAGGCGGTCCCGTAGGTACGAGGGTCCTAGGCCGTATAGGGCTTTAAAGGTTAAAACCAGCACCTTAAACCTGATCCTGTACTCCACCGGGAGCCAGTGCAGCTGGTATAGTACCGGATGAATATGATCTCGCAGCGAAGACCCCATAAGGAGTCTCATTGCAGCATTCTGCACCCGCTGGAGTTTCTGGGTCAGTCTCAAGGGCAGCCCCACATAGAGCGAGTTACAGATCCTACAGATTTGAGGGTAAACCATACACAGCACGGGTCTGCCCCTGTGGCTCGTTGGAAGTTGAAACTGCTTCACATGTACTATTACGTTGTCGTCTTTATGAGGATATACGTTTGACTTTTACTACACCTGTTTTGCAAAAGTCCAGGAAAGAATCGGAACACCATAGTTTAAAATTACTGCTAGAGGACAAGAATCCCAAGACTACATTAAATGTAGCCAAATTCTGTGCGTCCGCAATTAATCGCAGGAAGCAAGTGGTATCCCATAATGACCAAACCCACAAATGTTAATTACAGGGGCCACGCTAATAATTAATTTTAATTTTTTATATTTAAATCCTTGTTATATTCATATTGTTCTCTGTATTTCTGATTTTTTTTTTATGATCTGTGATATTGTGTGTGTTGACGCTGGTCTGTGACCGTATTAATAAATTCATTCATTCATAGAATCATAGAATCATAGAATCATAGAATCATAGAATCATAGAGCTGGAAGAGACCACAAGGGCCATCGAGTCCAACCCCCTGCCAAGCAGGAAACACCATCAGAGCACTCCTGACATATGGTTGTCAAGCCTCTGCTTAAAGACCTCCAAAGAAGGAGACTCCACCACACTCCTTGGCAGCAAATTCCACTGTCGAACAGCTCTTACTGTCAGGAAGTTCTTCCTAATGTTTAGGTGGAATCTTCTTTCTTGTAGTTTGGATCCATTGCTCCGTGTCCGCTTCTCTGGAGCAGCAGAAAACAACCTTTCTCCCTCCTCTATGTGACATCCTTTTATATATTTGAACATGGCTATCATATCACCCCTTAACCTCCTCTTCTCCAGGCTAAACATGCCCAGCTCCTTAGCCGTTCCTCATAAGGCATCGTTTCCAGGCCTTTGACCATTTTGGTTGCCCTCCTCTGGACACGTTCCAGTTTGTCAGTGTCCTTCTTGAACTGTGGTGCCCAGAACTGGACACAGTACTCCAGGTGAGGTCTGACCAGAGCAGAATACAGTGGCACTATTACTTCCCTTGATCTAGATGCTATATATTCATTCATACATACAGAAGGGAGAGGTGTCCCTTTGTGGAGGAATCTCTGTGTGTTTGGCTCTGGCTTCCCAAATTGCATTTTAGTGCCTGGGATGGAGAACTGGGACTGCCCCCCCCCAATTCTTCCCATTGGGGCGGTTGTCCTGCACAAGCCCCACCGAGCCGAGCATGAGCTGTGCGAGAGCTCAGTTGCTCAGCACCGCACTGGATCCTTGCAAAACTCACCGCTCTGCTTTCCCCCTAGGTATGCCATCACCATCTGGTATTTTGATGCCAAAGAGCGGGCAGAAGCCAAAGGGAGGCACCAGCTGGGTACGTGGACGGACAACTAGGTGCTGGGGGTCACCGGCACCGGGGAGTGGGGTGGGGGTAGCCGGGGCACAGAGGGCAGGCCCACAGACCGACTGCTAGCGCTTGGGGCTCCGTTGGCACTGGTGCGGGAAAAGGACTTCTGAGCGCGTGCAGAGTTCCTCCCCTCTGCACAGCCTCCTGGAAGCGGGTGAGGGTGGCAGGGCCCCCTAAAAAGTCCCTTTTGCAGAAAAGCTGACCTCTTTGGAGTCACCTTTGTTCTTTTTTCCCCTCTAAAGCTCAGAAGAAGGGGGCAGAGCCCTCTTCCGGCGGGGCGCAGGAAAACGGGCCGACTTGACGGACAGCCGTGCGTTGCCGCCGTGGGATCCTGACCGCCAAAGACCTTCTGCTCTCTTTGGCCATTTCAAGCTGCCTGTTGCCACCTTTGCTGCTGCCTGTGTCCGCTGACGCTGCCCCCCCGCCCCCAAATCTGGCCGGCTGCAGCTGGAAGGCCTTTGACCACAGCCCAGGAGGAGAGGAAGATGATGATGAAGATGAAGAAGAAAAAGGGGACTGTTGAGAGGCAGCTGGACCTTGAGAAGAAAGGGTGTGCGTGTTGTGTGTGTGTGTGTGTGTGTGTGTGTGTGTGTGTTTGTGTGAATGGGCCCGGCATCTGTAGGTGCAGCCCCCCAGGGAGAGGGTGGCCTTTGTGTTTTCCTTCTGCTTTGTCAGAAGGGTCCCCGGGTGCCGGGAAACCCTTGTCTAGCAGGACCCTCCCGGTCTACCCCTGCCTGCCCCCAGCGCCAGCGCTTGGTCCTGCTCATTTTAATCCATCTGCGAAATGAGAGAGAGAAAGAGGGAGCAGGAAACGAGGGAGTGCGGAAGAGCAGAAAAAGAGAGGGGTGGCGAGAGAACGAGCCGCCCCGTGGATGAGACGGAATAAACATCAGCTCATGGAAACGACCTTGGGCCTGTCTGTTTTTTGGGAATAGGGGTGGGGGGCAGAAGAGGGAGCCAGGGCTCCTGGACCCCCCCTCTTCTGCTCTGGGAAAGGGGTGGGGGGCATTTGAGTTGCTCGCTTGTCACACTGGTGGGTCTAAAGCAGGCACCCCCAAACTCGGCCCTCCAGCTGTTTTGGGACTACAACTCCCATTGTCCCTAGCTAGCAGGACCAGTGGTCAGGGATGATGGGAATTGTAGTCTGAAAACATCTGATTTAGAGTTGCCCCCATCTCATCCTCTGAAGTCCCTGCGCCCCCATTTCTCGGTGGAACGTGGATTTAATTATCTGCCTTTGTATCCAACTTTTTCTCCAAGTTGCTCAAGGTACGTAGTTCTCCTTCTTCCTGCTTTAATTCCCACAACAAGCCTGTGAGTTCTAGGGTAAGGAGAGATAGAAATTCTCTCTCTCTGTAGAATCGCGGAATTGGAAGGGATCCCCAGGGATCATCTAGTCTGACCCCTGCAATCCATGACAGATGGACAGACACCAAACCTTTGCTCAAAAACTTCCAAGGAAGAAGAGTCCACCTCCTTCCAAGAGAATACGTTCCACTGTCAAACAGCTCTTACTGATGTCAGAAAGTTCTTCCTGATGTTTCGCCAGAATCTCCTTTCTCGCAATTTGAAGCCGTTGGTTTGGGTTCGAGTCATGCTCTCCAGAGCAGGAGAAAACAAGTTTGCTCTATCTTCTATGTGACAGCCCTTGAGATATTGGAAGATGGCTATCCTATCTCCTCTCAGTCTCCTCTTTTCCAGGCTAAACATACCCAGAGATGCATTTTAAATAAAAGGACACATTCTACTCATGTAAAAACACACTGATTCCTGAACCATCTCCCCGATTTAGAAGGCGATTGGGCCACATCCGGCCCCTGGGCCTTAGTTTGCCTACTCATGATAACAGGGGTCAGCAAACTTTGTTAGCAGGGGGCTGGTCCACTGTCCCTCAGACCATGTGGTGGGCCGGACTATATTTTTTGGGGGGTGGGGTGGGGGGAATGAATGAATTCCTATGCCCCACAAATAACCCAGAGATGCATTTTAAATATAAGTACACATTCTACTCATGTAAAAACACACTGATTCCCAGACATTCCGCTGGCCGGATTTAGAAGGCAATTGGGCCAGATCCGGCCCCCGGGCCTTAGTTTGCCTATCCATGCCCTTGATCATCTTGGTCACCCTCCTCTACACACCTTCCAGCTTGTCAATATCCTTCAAGCTGGGCCAAGACTCCAGGTGGGATTTGACCAAGGCAATACAACATTTCCAAAATTGCCGCTGCACACTTAAAATGGCATGTGCAAGTTTGCTGTGCTAAATGGCCCCGCTCAATGATTGCTGGATGCTCCCAGGACAGTATAAATCCCTGGACTTTGGTTTAGGAAAAGGGTCCGTAGAGGAAGAGGATTCAGGCAGGAAAAACCTTTGAGCTGACTTGGGAAGGTGTGAGGAATGAGATGGCTAGCATGTCGAGAGATCCTGGGGTGCAGAAAGGAGAGAAAAACCTACTTTCGGCGAGCCCCAGAGCTGCATTTTAATGTTGGCCCAGGACAACTTGGCAAACATCGAAACAGTGAAGAGTTCTCCTGACCATGTAGAGAGAGCGCTTCCCTCAGCTGGGCTTCGGGGAAGCGACTTTGAGGGTGGCGAGCATCACTTTCAGATAGGTCTGAAGAGGAACCAGCGAGTGGGGCAGGGGGGCCAGAGGGAGACAGTCCATGGGGCTGGGGGCCGGATTATTTGGTACCGCAGAGAGCTGCCTCAAGAAGGGGACCTCACTGGCAATGGGAGGCATCCGGCTGATTTGGGGCCCAAACCACACCAAACCAGCTATATCAGGACAGAGAAAAGGAACTATGGAACTCCCTGCCACCAACTTGGATGGCTTAAAAAAAAAAAAAGCGGATTTGACAGATTCATGGAGAAGACTATTGAGGGCTACATTCACACCCTCACAATTTGTGTGGCTCACTCAGATTAAACCATAAAGAAACCTTTTGAGTCGTTTAAAAAGGTGCCCCTAATGGGAAAGAAGCAACTTTTTTATTAAATATTTTGGTTTGTGCATGAGTGAGTGCAATTAATTGCATCAGCGCTAGGTGGCAGCAAATCCTCGTGTCGATGACTCTTCCAAAGAGCCCGGGCATTAAAGCGATTCCTGCCCAAACGCAGAATCCTGGAAATGTCCCGGACATTGCGGACGTAAGCCAGCCCTAAGTTAAGTTGGTATCCCTGGATCCAAGTTCATTCATGCGGCTGAATTCATGAAACTTGGTACCTCCAACTGGATTTTGAATAGATGTGCGATTTGTTGTTACTGCTTTGAAATTTATTTCTCGGCAGGTCGTGCTGAGAGCAGCTAGTCCAAACAGTGTTTTTAATAGGGCAGGAGGCGCTGGGGATGAGTTTACGGAGCCGGGGTGCGGGTGGCCCAAAAATATTTGGAAATGGGCTGCTTTAAAGCATCTGAGCGACACCTGTGGAAACTGCAAAAAGGTTGAGGATAGAAAGGCAGAACAAATGTGGAGCAAATTATGTAAAGAAAGAGGAATTGTGCACACATGTTAATAATATGTACAGGTGAAACTTGGAAAATTAGAATATCGTGGAAAAGTTCATTTATTTCAGTAATTCAACTTAAAAGGTGAAACTAATATATGAGATAGATTCATGACATGCAAAGCGAGATATGTCAAGCCTTTATTTGTTATAATTGTGATGATCATGGCGTACAACCGATGACAACCCCAAATTAACAATCTCAGAAAATTAGACTATTAAATGAAATCAGCAAAACAAGGATTGCAAATAGACCAGTATTGGACCTCTGAGAAGTAGAAGCATGCATATGTACTCAGTGCTTGGTTTGGGCCCCTTTTGCATCAATTACTGCCTCAATGCGGCGTGGCATGGATGCTATCAGCCTGTGGCACTGCTGAGGTGTTATGGAAGACCAGGATGCTTCAATAGCAGCCTTCAGCTCTTCTGCATTGCTTGGTCTCATGTCTCTCATCTTTCTCTTGGCAATGCCCCATAGATTCTCTATGGGGTTCAGGTCAGGTCAGGGTTCAAGTCAGACGAGTTTGCTGGCCAATCAAGCACAGTAATCCCATGGGCATTGAACCAGGTTTTGGTACTTTTGGCAGTGTGGGCAGGTGCCAAAGTCCTGCTGGAAAATGAAGTCAGCATCCCCATAAAGCTCATATGCAGAAGGAAGCATGAAGTGCTCCAAAATCTCCTGGTAGACGGCTATGTTGACCCTGGACTTAAAGAAGCACAGTGGACCAACACCAGCTGATGACATGGCTCCCCAAATCAACACAGACTGTGGAAATTTCACACTGGACTTCAAGCATCTGGCATTGTGTGCCTCCCCATTCTTCCTCCAGACTCTGGGGCCTTGGTTTCCAAATGAGATGCAAAAGCTGCTCTCATCAAAAAAGAGGAGCCATGTCATCAGCTGGTGTCAAAGAGATTTGGGGAGCCATGTCATCAGCTCATATATTAGTTTCACCTTTTAAGTTGAATTACTGAAATAAATGAACTTTTCCACGATATTCTAGTTTTCCGAGTTTCACCTGTACAAGGTGCAGAATAGGGATGCGTGACGACCCAGCTGTTTGTTGGGGGGTCAGTGCAGCCCCATGCCTGGTTGTGGGTCCAGCGCCAGTGCTGAGCATCTCTCTCTGGTACTGTGCCAGGTGAAGGAAGCTATCTATGTGTGTGTCCCACCTCCAGCTAGCGAGGGAGGAGCCTGAATTCGAAGGGGCGGGGCACATTGCCCAGGCCGGTGCATTGGGGCGTCAGGTCGATCTTCGCAGGGGGGACCGTGGGGTGGAGACTGAAGTGCTGGAGGATGGTGGTGAGGAAGAGGAAGATCTCCATCCGGGCCAGGCCGGCCCCCAGGCAAATGCGCTTCCCTGCAGGCGAGGAGCAAAGAACAGGGTTTAGAATCCGCACAATACTGGGAAGCGATATAAATAGAAAAGAATGTAAGTTGTTTTTATATGCAACAACGGCAGCAAGAATATTATTGGCACAAAAATGGAAACAAGAAGAATTACCGACGATGGAAGAATGGAGGATGAAACTAATGGACTATGCAGAAAAATAAAGTGAGAGATTGGCTTCATTATTATCAGATAATGGAGGCATATAATTTGGATAAGAAAATCGATTTCCAGGTGGAAAAATCAAAACTATAAACAGAACTGTTAGAACCCAAAACTAAGATTTTGTCAAAGATGTATAACTTGCTGTTGAAATGGAATACTCAGGATGAAACGGTGAAATCTGCTATGATTAAATGGGCACAAGATGTTGGACATAATATTATGTTTGCTGACTGGGAACAGTTATGGACCACAGGTATGAAGTTTACGGCATGTAATGCCCTAAGAGAGAATATTATGAAAATGATATACAGGTGGTACATGACCCCAGTCAAGCTTGCAAAAATCTATCATTTGCCCGATAATAAATGCTGGAAATGTAAAGAAACTGAAGGCACATTCTTTCACCTTTGGTGGACGTGCCCAAGGATTAAGGCTTTCTGGGAAATGATATATAATGAACTGAAAAAGGTATTTAAATATAAATATACCTTCTTGAAGAAACCAAAGGCCTTTCTTCTGGGCATTGTCGGCCAATTGGTGCCAAAGAAGGACAGAACTTTTTTTATGTATGCTACAACAGCAGCAAGAATACTCATTGCAAAGTATTGGAAGACACAAGATCTACCCACTTTGGAAGAATGGCAGATGAAGGTGATGGACTATATGGAATTGGCAGAAATGACTGGCAGAATCCGAGACCAGGGGGAAGAGTCGGTGGAAGAAGATTGGAAAAAGAAGTAAGTTGGTTTAATAGTGTGTGAAAGAAAGTAATAGAAATGGAAATAAATTGCAATTGAGTAGATTGGAAGTCTAGCACAGGGTGGTGTGAGGGACGGTGGTGGGAAAAGGAAGTATGTGCGGGATTAAATATGGGTATGTTTGCATATGTTTAAGGATTGTATGAAATGTATGTTTGTTTGTATATCTGTAATATGTATTAACGTTGAATTATCTCAATAAAAATTTTAAATATTAAAAAAAACTAAAAAAAACAACTTTATGGATGTTGTATTTATGTAACACAAACACAGCAGACCAACTGACTGCTCTATTTCTTGAGCATCGTGACACCTCCCTTGTCTTACAGCTGATTAAGGAAGCAACGGTATCGATCCAAACTACTTGTTTTAATTTTTGCAACCCACCCCGGGACCTTTCTGGGTACCATACCTCCTCTGAACAGCCTTCCCTCCCTCTTCTGCTTCCCTACCTGGGGCAAAAGGCATGAAGGCGTCGCTGCTTTTGAAAGCGCCGTTTTCATCCAGGAAATTGGCTGGGTTGAAGCCTGTGGGGTCCTTGAACCGTGTTGGGTCATAGTGCACTGAGCTCAGGAGAGGAATCACGTTGGTGCCCTGCGGTGAGATTTGGCAGGGAGAGAGAACGGGAGTTGTTAGGGTTGCGGAAGGAAGAGGGAAAGAGACACGGGAAATTCTGAGCGCCGCTGGAGAGACAGCAGTCTCAACATTTGGGAGGTCAGGTCATGGGCAAGTTTTGGTTTTACTGACCAGGTTTCCCTCATAAAGGGTAGATCCAAATTACCGTATTTTTCGCTCCATAAGACACACCTGACCATAAGACGCACCTAGTTCTTAGACTCTTTATTGGGTGAGCAACGCAGCCAAGCAACACAGTTGGCCGGCAGGGAGGGAGGGAGAGGAGCTGCTTCCTTTGAAACCCGGGAAATTTAAGGGACATCATCAATCCGGGACAGCAGCGGGACATGGCGCTGGGATAAGGGACTTTCCCGCCAAATAAGGGACGGTTGACAGCTATGATCCAGCAACACCAGGAGGGCCTCCCAGGTGCACCCTCTTTGCAGTAAAGGAAACTGCGCTGGGGTTTTTCTTCTTCTGACCTTGGGCAGCAGGAAGCCCCTGAAGGGGGTGTCGCGGGTGACGGCGCGAGGGAGCCCCATGGGCAGGATGCTGATGTAGCGCTGGATCTCGTAGAGGACGGCCTCCGTGTAGGGCATGTGCTTGCGGTCATCCAGGCAGGGGGGGCGGTCCGGCCCGATCACGTGGTCAATCTCCTGGTGGACTCGAGCTGCAGGGAGATGGACAGGAGGAGGAGGCAATGGTTCTTGAACCCAGTGCTTGAACTCACAATCACACCAATGCGGGAAACTCCCCTCGCCCCTGACCGCTAACCCCACTGGGAACTGTAGTCCTGCAACATTAGGAGGGCACCTGGTCCCCCCTCCCTCCTCTTAGATGCTGCCAGGTACTGCAGCTGTCAGGACCTTCTGCATGCCAAGCAGGTGTCCTGCGTGCCCAGCCGCCTGTCACCTGCCTTCTGCCGGCTTTCCTTTTGAAGCATTGTATAATAATAATAATAATAAATTTTATTTATACCCCGCCCTCCCCAGCCAGAGCCGGGCTCAGGGCGGCTAACACCAATAAAATCACAGTAAAAACATAATAGGGGACCAATTTAAAACACAGGTTAAAATGCAGTTTAAAATGCAGCCTCATTTTAAAAATAGCCAATAAATCAAGACCATAAGGGGAGGGAAACATAAGGGTCAGCCTGAGTCCAAACCAAAGGCCAGGCGGAACAGCTCTGTCTTGCAGGCCCTGCGGAAAGATGTCAAGTCCCGCAGGGCCCTAGTCTCTTGTGACAGAGCGTTCCACCAAGTCGGGGCCAGTACTGAAAAGGCCCTGGCCCTAGTTGAGACCAATCAAACCACCTTGCGACCTGGGACCTCCAAAATGTTGTCATTGGTGGACCTTAAGTTTGGGCTGCAGGGAACCAGTCTAGACCACGGGTTGACCAGATACTTAATGGACACGTGAAGTGGAGAGCGGTACAATTACTGTCTATCTGCAAGAGGCCACACTGTGGGCCTGTTGGTGAGTGAGATAGGCAATCAGCTGCAACGGCAACTGTTCCCTTCCTCCCAGGTTGCACTTCTACGTGATCATGACAAGCCAACGGGAGTTGCCGCCACGACCAACGGCCGACATGCGCCGCTCCAAAAAGCCGCCACGCCTGCAACGGGACACGCCGGAGCCAGCCCTGGGACGCGCCGCCCGGGAGACGGCAGAGGGGGGCCGGCAGCGGAAGGAAGCGCCAGAGCCCCGGGAGGACAGTGGGGAGCTCCATGCAGGAGGTCCGCAGGTCAAGGTGGGCCCCGGGCCCCTCCACACATCCCTGCTGTTCCTGCCTCCGAGGTGGCCGCCGCCCAGACGCAGCCCAGCAGCATGGCGCGTTGGGAGGGCCCAAAATGGTCATCCAGTCCCCCCCTACCCCCCGCAATGTGGGGGTTGCAGCTCCCTCCCCTCACCTGCCACTTCGGGGTGCTTCATGAGGATGAGGAAGCTGTAGCGCAGGGTGGTGCTGGTGGTTTCGGTGCCCCCGAAAAACAGGTTGTGGGTGGTCATCACCAGCGTCTCCGTGTGGAAGTAGCTCAGAGGATCTTGCTTCTCCTGAAAGAGAGCAGAGGGGAGGCCGCATGCGCAAGGATGGATTGCGGATTGTGTTCTCCTGCGGGGGAAAGCTTGGCTCCCCCCTCCCTTGTGATATTGCAGCCGCCTCCAATTCTTCAGTTCTCTGATTCTATATGCCCACTTGACCACTTTGATTGGCGGACCTGGCGTGACTACGGGAGCCACGTAACTCCTGTTCTGCAGCTGCAAGAAATCGGTCTTTTAGTGTGGCAGCACCTGAACTTTGGAACTCCCTGCCGATTGACACCAGGCAGGCACCTTCTCTGCGCTTGTTTAGGCAAACCTTACCCAGATGTTTAGAGGGACGCGGGTGGCGCTGTGGGTTAAACCACAGAGCCTAGGACTTGCCAATCAGAAGGTCGGTGGTTCGAATCCCTGCAACGGGGTGAGCTCCCATTGCTCGATCCCTGCTCCTGCCAACCTAGCAGTTTGAAAGCACGTCAAAGTGCAAGTAGATAAATAGGTAGCGCTCCGGCGGGAAGGTAAACGGCATTTCTGTGCGCTGCTCTGGTTCGCCAGAAGCGGCTTAGTCATGCTGGCCACCCTGACCCTGGAAGCTGTACGCCGGCTCCCTCGGCCAATAAAGCGAGATGAGTGCCGCAACCCCAGAGTCGGCCACGACTGGACTTAATGGCCCTTTTACCTTTACCTTTTACCCAAATGTTTAGAAATCCGATCCATTGCTATTTTAACTTTTACAATGTCTTAAACTATTGCTATTGATTTTATAAAACTAACGTATTTTCTCGTGTATAAGGCTAGGTTTTCCCCCTAAAAAATAATGTCCAAAATTTGGGGGCATCTTATACACAGATAGATTCCCCCCCATTTTCTTAAACTGGAGTCTGCCAAAATAGGGGGGCGGGTCTTATACATGGGGGCGTCTTATAGATGGAAAAATACGGTAATAATTCAATTTTTTTAATTTTTTTGTAAACCACTTGGAAGCTTGCTTGGTTCCTGTTTCAAAACAAGGTGTGCCTAAATTTTATGAATCAAATAAATGAATAGTAGACAAGGCGCTGATAGCCTACTGGAGACCTCAGGGCAGGGGTTTTACCCCAAACAAATTGAACAGCAGGGGTGATGGCTGGTGGCGGCTGAAGGCCTTTGGGTGCTGGGGTGGGTGGGTGTCCTGGGGGCAGCTGGAGCCCCCTCCTTGGAGGTACCTGCTCCATGCGGATGAGGAAGCAGTCGATGAAGTCCCGCGGGGCGTCAGGGTCCAGATCCTTTTGGTGGCACCGAATGCGCTCTGCGATAAACTGACGCAGTTTCTCAAAGTTGCGGAAGATTTGGTGATGGGGCCCCGGCAGGACGTCCATGAGGCTGGGGAAGATGTTGTAGAGCTGGGGAAATGGGGAGAAGGAGAGGTAATAATAATAAAATTATTATTATTATTATTATTATTATTATTATTATTACAGTGGTACCTTGGGTTACATACGCTTCAGGTTACATACGCTTCAGGTTACACACTCCGCTAACCCAGAAATAGTGCTTCAGGTTAAGAACTTTGCTTCAGGATGAGACCAGAAATCGTGCTCCGGCAGCACGGCGGCAGCAGGAGGCCCCATTAGCTAAAGTGGTGCTTCAGGTTAAGAACAGTTTCAGGTTAAGAACGGACCTCCAGAACGAATTAAGTACTTAACCCGAGGTACCACTGTATTATTGTTATTATTATTATTTATGCCCTGCCTCTCAATTTTATGATTCTATGATCCTACTTTTATTTGATGTGACATTTGTTATCATACTGTGTCATCTTATAAATAAAAAGGTGGCCGACTCTGGGGTTGTGGCGCTCATTTCGCTTTATTGGCCGAGGGAGCCGGCGTACAGCTTCCGGGTCATGTGGCCAGCATGACTAAGCCGCTTCTGGCGAACCACAGAAGCGCACGGAAATGCCGTTTACCTTCCCGCTGGAGTGGTACCTATTTATCTACTTGCACTTTGACGTGCTTTTGAACTGCTAGGTTGGCAGGAGCAGGGACCGAGCAACGGGAGCTCACTCCGTCGTGGGGATTCAAACCGCCGACCTTCTGATCGGCAAGCCCTAAGCTCTGTGGTTTAACCCACAGTGCCACCCGTGTCCCTTTCATGTTATAAATAAATATAGGTAAATAATAATAACCCCAATGGGAGCTGCCTCACTCTTACAGAGGCAATTTGTTGGAACCTTGGAAGTGACAGTCATTTTCACCCAACATCAATTTTCCTTTGGAGTCAGGTGGGGAAAAGAGACCCTGAATGACCTGATTCAAATTTGTTCAGTGTGGGGGTTATTCCCTAGTTGGATTTCCTGGCTTGCAGAGGGTTGGACTAGATGACTCTTGTTGTCCCTTCCAGCTCCACGTTTCTGTGAGTTTTAGCCCCAAAGGGGTGGAGAGCAGCCAGTGGGTCTCCTCCGATGCTGGGACCCACCCTCTTCCCAGGCCCCTCCTCACCTCCCCCCAGATGGAGCTCATGATCTTGAAGTTCTCATTGAAGTGGTCCAGGAGGGTGAGGAAGTTGGCGTCTTGGTAGTCGTAGCGCTGGCCAAACACCACGGCGCAGATGACGTTGGAGACGGCTCGGCAAACGGGGTTGATGGGGTTGAAGGGAGCCCCTGTGCGGAGAGAGGAAGAGGAAGAGGAGTCCTTATATTTACAAAATATAAGCAAAATATTGCGAATACATACACACACACACACACACACACACACACCGTATTTTTCGCTCCATAAAACGCACCTGACCATAAGACACACCTAGTTTTTAGAGGAGGGAAACAAGAAAAAAAAATATTCTGAACGAAACAGTGGATGTATGATTTTTGTGGTTCATGCTGTGGCCACAGACATGTGATCTAATGGTGAATTTGGGGTGACCCAATGCAAAAATCCTGAGGATCCTGAGGATACGTGCTTTGTAACCACATTTTTGCGCCATTGCAGCCCCCTCCCAGGCAGCCTCCTTTATCTCTAGCGTCCCTTATCTCTCTCCCTGATTGGCAAACGATCAGCAGCTTTGTTTCAACACCCACTTCCCTCTTTCAAAAAAACACACACCAAAAAACCATGATCTGCTTTTTGCCCCATGGCAATTCGGTTCCAGGGACCACGCATTCGCTCCATAAGAGGCACAGACATTTCCCCTTACTTTTTAGGAAGAAAAAAGTGCGTCTTATGGAGCAAAATATATGGTATTTCAAATAAGCACATATATATGAAAAAAGGAACAAAAGGGAAAAGAAGAAGAAAAGAAAAAAGAAGAAGAAATAAAGAGAAAAGCAGAAGAAAAGTTGGAAGAATTTCTTCCAAATTTATTTTACAAATATCTCAATATGAAAATAATAATAAAATTTCATTTATTGACTTCCATCACTTACACTGCACTTCCTATATATATTTTAAGCAAGATTTTATTTGTTATTCCGTATTTTCCCCATACAATCTCACACAAATATTCTAATCAATAAGTTTTCTAAATCTTTCATAAATCTATTCTAAACACAACCAATACCTTACCTTTAATCCTTGTCTACATAAATAATCATTTAGACATTTCCATTGTTTCTGGATTATATTTTTTGGTTTTTGTCTTATCGAATCGGTCAACTTTGCTAATTCCAAGTATTTGCATAATTTATTCAACCATTCTTTGGTTGGAACATAATTTCCTTTCCAATTATTGGCTATCAACATTTTCGCTGCTGTGGTCGCGTACAAGAAAATATTAATTTTGTCATTCGGGATGTCTCCATTCAAAATTCCTAATAAATATGATTCTGCTCTTTTATTATGTAATGTTTTTATTAGCTTTTTAATTTCCAAGAGGACGAGGAGACCTTGAGGGGGTCAGAGGGGTTCCTTCCTTGGGGGACCTCAAAGCGAGCAGATAAAGAGGTCCTCGCCCACAGCTCCACCCTACCTCCTGAGTGCACCCCTGGGCCATGTGGTGTGACCAATCCTGGGACCAGCCCTGCCCTTTGAGGGGGGTCTCTCTGCATCTAAAATAGGCTTAGCCCTGCCTGCACCCTTCCTGCATCTATTGCCAGGTGAGGAGAAGAAGAAGAAGAAGAAGAAGAAGAAGAAGAAGAAGAAGAAGAAGAAGAAGAGATTGGATTTGATATCCCGCTTTATCACTACCTGAAGGAGTCTCAAAGCGGCTAACAATCTCCTTTCCCTTCCTCCCCCACAACAAACATTCTGTGAGGTGAGTGAGGCTGAGAGACTTCAGTGAAGTGAGACTAGCCCAAGGTCACCCAGCAGCTGCATGTGGAGGAGCGGAGACGCGAACCCAGTTCACCAGATTACGAGTCCACCGCTCTAACCACTACACCACACTGGCCTGCACCTCAAATCACTGCTCTGAAAAATGGGGAAAGGGGAGGCAAGTGTAGCTTCCCTTGCCGTAGAGTGATCCTAAGAATACCAGAAGAACCTGGTGGCTGGATCAGGCCAAAGGGAGCCCATCTAGTCCGGCATCCATATCTTCAACCGTGGAGGAGGCAGAGCAAAGCCGTCCTGGTTAGTAGCCACCTCCTCTTCTGAAATCCTCTCCTGCCCACCAAGCAAGGACTCACCACCAGTTTTCTTGAACTCCTGGACCAGGAACTGGGCCTCCTCCTGGATCCGGCCTTCAATGCTGCTCGTTCCCATTCCAAAGTTCTTCAGGGTCTGCAGAGCGAAGCGGCGAAGGACCTTCCACTTCTCCCCGTTGGAGAAGGCGATGCCTGTAGGAGTCATGGGGAGCTGTGGGTCGAGGGGAGCTTGGAGGGGGGGCTGGGTGCTTGGTCTCCCTGCCCAAAGCTGATTTCCTCCCTTCCGCTCCAAGGGGACACCCCAAGACCTTCCTGAGGGGCAGCCCCTCTGGAAGTCAAGGTGAGGAGGTGGCTTGGGAGGTCATGAAAGCCAGGGGTGGCTAATTGATGAACTACAACTCCCCTTCTCCCCCTTGACTGTGTGGGTTGCTGGGAGATGTAGTTCAGCAACCTCTGGAATAGTAGAATCGTAGTGTTGGAAGGCCTCAGCCCAGTATACCTGAAGGAGCATCTCCACCCCCATCGTTCTGCCAGGAAGCTGAGGTCCAGCGCCAAGGGCCTTCTGGTAGTTCCCTCGCTACGAGAAGCCAAGTTTTCCCTGGTGTTTAGTCAAAATCTTCATTCCTGTAACTTGAAGCCGTGGGTTCGAGTCCTACCCTCCAGAGCAGGAGAAAACAAGCTTGCCCCCTCTTCCATGTGACAGCCCTGAAGATATTTGAAGGTGGCTATCTTATCTCCTCTCAGTCTCCTCTTTTCCAGGCTAATCCTACCCAGCTCCCTCAACCGTTCCTCATCAGGCTTCATTCCCAAGACCCTTGACCATCTCAGTTGCCCTCCTCTGCACACCTTCCTGCTCGTCAAAATCCTCCTTAAATTGTAGTGTCCAAAAGTGGACACAGCATTCCAGGTGTGGTCTGACCAAGGCAGAAGAGAGCAATACTATCACTTCCCTTGATATGGACACTAGACTTCTGTTGATGCAGCCTAGAACAGCAGTAGCTTTTTTGTTGTTGCTGCATCACACTGGGGACTCGTGTTTAGCTTGTGGTCCACCAAGACCCTGAGATCCTTTCCACAAGCCAGGTGTCCCCCAGTCATTGATAAACACCCTGGAGTTGACTCCTCTTTCACGTCCTTCTGGTAAGAGTTGTTTGAGAGCCAGACAGAGGTCTCCTGGGGTGTGGGGGTGTGGCAGAGGTCCGGGGCTGACCCTCCCTGGAGATATTTCAGCTGAGGGTGGAGGGAGATATTTTGGAGATACTGGGATGGCCAGATCCTATCTTGCAGATCCTGTGCTGAGCTTGGTCCTAGACATCCCTTTTAACTCTATCTCGTTGCTGTCTTTAAGTCTACCCCTCTGGCCTCCTTTGCTAGCTGACCTTTGGGGTGGGGGCCGTCTTCTTACCATTGCCCCTGGTGAAGCGATAGAAGACTGGGAAGTCACCACGGCCGCTGAAGTCATCCGCCTGGTCCACCAGGGCCTCCTTGACTGCCTGGTATCCGCAGAGGACCACGCAAGGCAGTGACCCCAAGTGGATGGTGTAGATGGGGCCATAGCTCTCGCTGAGCTGCAAAAGGGAAGGACAGGGTACAGGAGTTGAATCACAGAACCATAGGAACGTAAGAGCCTGGCTCCTGGATCAGGCCAATGGCCCACCGGGTCCAGGATCCTGTTCTCATAGTGACCAACCGGATGCCCATTACACAAGCAGGATTTGAGCGGCAGACCCCTCTCTCTACCTGTAGTTTCCAGCAACTGGGGTTCAGAAGCATCGCTGCCTGAAAATGATTTACAGATGTTATTTAACTCCCAGGCGCTGTGGGTTATACCACTGAGCCTAGGACTTGCCGATCAGAAGGTCGGCGGTTCGAAACGGGGTGAGCTCCCGTTGCTCGATCCCTGCTCCTGCCAACCTAGCAGTTCGAAAGCACGTCAAAGTGCAAGTAGATAAATAGGTACCGCTCCGGCGGGAAGGTACCGTATTTTTCGCCCTATAGGACACTCTTTTTCCCCTCCAAAAATGAAGGGGAAATGTGTGTGCGTCCTATGGGGCGAATGCAGGCTTTCGCTGAAGCCTGGAGAGCGAGAGGGGTCGGTGTGCACTGACCCCTCTCACTCTCCAGGCTTCGCGCAGCTCTCCGCAAGCCGTGGGAGAGCTGCGCGAAGTTGTGGATAGCAGCCTGTTCTGGCGGCCCGCGCCTGGGGGGGAAATAATTTTTTTTCTTTATTTCCCCCCCAAAAAACTAGGTGCGCCCTATGGGCTGGTGCGCCCTATGGGGTGAAAAATACGGTAAACGGCGTTTCTGTGCACTGCTCTGGTTCGCCAGAAGCGGCTTAGTCATGCTGGCCACATGACCTGGAAGCTGTACGCCGGCTCCCTCGGCCAGTAAAGCGAGATGAGCGCCGCAACCCCAGAGTCGGCCATGACTGGACCTAATGCTCAGGGGTCACTTTACCTTTACCTTTAGACTTGCTAAAATGTATAAGACTAAATCATATAAATGCTGGAGATGCAATGAGGCTGAAGGTACGTTCTATCATATGTGGCGGACTTGTAAAAGGGTAAAAGAGTATTGGGAAATAATTTATAATGAAATGAGAAAAATGTTTAAAAGTACTTTTCCAAAAAGACCAGAGTCCTTTTCTCTCTCTCCAAATCCTTTATTATTTTGTTCTCATAATATACATTCTTTACAACAAACAACTCCAAAATAAACAGACAATTCCAAAATAAAATCATATGTAACAAAACCATAAGTCTCATGTTTTCATTTACACTGATCTCCTCTCCGATACCTTGACTTGATATTTCATGCTGCTTTCTGCTTTCCTTATAGAATCTTTATAAAAATTTAAATCTCTTAAATCCTATACCAATCTTTAACAATTTCAATTAATCCCTTCACCTTCCTCCCCCACAGCCCAGTACTTCCCCCCACCTGTGTGCAATCTTCTTTACCTATTATTATTTTTGTTATTGTTGCATTATTCACTTTATTTGTTATTCCATCCTTAATATATTATTATCCTATCTCCTTGCACCTTTTAAACTTTTGCATATTAATTTTTAAGCTCCAGCACTGACCTTTTTCATGTATTCCTTAACACATTCCCACAGAGTCCTTTTCGTTGGGGATAATTCAGATGGAAATTCCCAGGTGTCAAAAAGGCTACTTATGTATGCTACTACTGCGGCTCATGTTTTGTTAGCCCAAAAATGGAAAACGGGTGAGGAGAAGAATGGCAACTTAAACTGATGGAATGCACGCAGCTGGCAGACTTAACTTATAGAATAAGAGAACAAGAAGAATATTTGTTTAAAGAAGAATGAAAAGTGTTTAATGGGTGAAAATTGTGTACATTTGAAAACATTGGCAGCATGAAGATAAATACAACAGGGTAAATAAGTTTTGATGGATGTTAAAGTGGAATATTGAATGGCTAAGTTTATGTAAAATATGCAGGGATCTATGGCATGCAAACTGAACCATGGAAGGAGAAGAGGGGAAGTCATTGATATTTGAAGGTTGTTGAAATGAATAGTCTAAAATGTAAAATACAAAAACTTATATATATAAAGAAACATCACTGCCCCCAGTTGTAGAGCTGGAAGGGACCCCCCCCCAACTCCAACTCTGCAATTCTGTGATTCTATGATGTGATACTTGATTGCGATGGGAAATTCGATGCAACAAAATACCAACGGTGGGAATTGCAAAGGATGACATTATTAAATTCCTATGCCACCCTTCATCTGAAGATCAAAAGGCGGTTTGCACTTTAATAACAGAAAAAACACACACCATCATAACGTACGAAAACGATAATCCGAGTTATCAGGTTCTTTGATCTTAATTTCATTGCTCCTACCATCTCCACAGAAGGACACTGACAGCTCCGGCTCACCTGGGATTAATCTTTAACGAAAGGCCCAGATCGCATTTCTTGGCCCAGAAGCTTCTGTTGCTCAACCCTAATTGCTCAAGGTAATACCTCTTCTCGGATTAAACGGACTCACCCTTCTCTTCCAGATTTCACCCTGTTTGGGCAGCACTAGAAAGTTGTTGTGATGCCACCCAGAGTGGCTGGGGCAACCCAGTAAGATGTGTGGGGTATAAATAGTGAGATTATCATTATGGAATGGGACGTCCCTACTTTCATTAGAGAAATGTTGGAGTATGGTTACCAGACATCCCCGTTTCCCAGGGACAGTCCCCGGATTTACAAATCTGTCCCCAGACAAAATCCGTCCCCGGAATGTCCCCGGATTTCATTTAATGTCCCCGGATGTATATTTGAAGTGTTGTAGATTTATTAGTAGGGAATGAATGTTGCGTGATTGGTTCAACGGCACAAGACACATGATATGGGGACTTCCGGTGAGGCAAAATGGCGGGCGCCATGGCAGCGGGCAGCTTCTGAAGCCTGCCAGAGCCAACTGCGCTACCAGGCTGGCATGGGCTGATGAGACTGCTGCTGACAAGGGGGAACTGGGGACACCCAGCGCATCAACTGGGAGAACCACTGACCCCCCCGTAACCCAAATCAAGCCAGGAGCAAGAGCGCCCGGCCACCCGGCCAACTGCCCAGTGGCACTCTGGGGCCAGGAAAACCCCAGAGCCGATGCAGGGAGAAGGAGGAGAGGACAAGGAGAAGGAAGAGAGAGAAAGAGGAAGTAGAAAAAAGAGGGGAGCCTCGACCTTGCTGCGCCACTGCCACTGCCGCCACTGAGGACAGGTAAGAGAGCTCTGGGATGGCAAGGACATGTGGCTGAGCCCAGGCGGACCCGAGCCTACTCCACGGCAGCTAGCATTCCAAGAAAGCAGGCTGGGACCCAGAGGAAGGCCGCAAAACAGAGGAGACCACAGAACAGAAGATATTACCTCTTAATTTTTTTAAAAAACAACTTTTAAAAAATAACTTTTTTGCCGCAGCAAGGCTCCTTACAGGGTCCTTGCCGCGGGATAATAATAATAATAATAAATTTTATTTATATCCCGCCCTCCCCAGCCGAAGCCGGGCTCAGGGCGGCTAACAACAATAAAACAGTACAAAAGTACAGCACAAACAACACTCTAAAATCATTCATTATAAAATTAATTAATTCAAGCCACTGGCAACCATTGGGCCAGAGCTCCGCGAAGATTGCCGAGGGAGGGAGTCAGGCTGTGCCCTGGCCAAAGGCCTGGTGGAACAGCTCTGTCTTGCAGGCCCTGCGGAAGGATGTCAAGTCCCGCAGGGCCCTAGTCTCTTGTGACAGAGCGTTCCACCAGATCGGGGCCACAGCCGAAAAAGCCCTGGCTCTAGTTGAGGCCAGCCTAACTTCTCTGTGGCCTGGGACCTTCAAGATGTTTTTATTTGCAGACCGTAAGTTTCTCTGTGGGGCATACCAGGAGAGGCGGTCCCGTAGGTACGAGGGTCCTAGGCCGTATAGGGTTATAAAGGTTCAAACCAGCACCTTAAACCTGATCCTGTACTCCACCGGAACCAGTGCAGCTGGTATAGCACTGGGTGAATGTGATCTCGCAGCGAGGACCCCGTAAGGAGTCCCGCTGCGGTGTTCTGCACCCGCTGGAGTTTCTGGGTCAGTCTCAAGGGCAGCCCCACGTAGAGCGAGTTACAATAACCCAGTCTGGAGGTGACCATCGCGTGGATCACAGTGGCTAGGTCAGGGCGAGAGAGGTAAGGAGCCAACTGCTTAGCTTGGCGGAGATGGAAAAATGCCGCCTTTGTTGCAGCTGCAATCTGCGCCTCCATGGAAAGGGAGGTGTCAAAGATTACATTCAAACTCTTAATGGACGGTGCTGGCACTAATTGTGCCCCCGCAAGAGATGGGAGCTGCCCCCCCAATCCCATATCGTCCCGCCCCAGCCACAGGACCTCTGTCTTCGAAGGATTCATTCATCCTGTGCTTTTCCAGCTGCACTGGCTCCCGGTGATGCTGGTTTAAGATGCTGGTTTTGACCTTTAAAGCCCTATGCGGCCTAAGACCCACGTACCTATGGGACTGCCTCTCCCGGTATGCCACGCAGAGGACCTTAAGGTCCATAAATAGCAACGCCCTAGAGGTCCCGGGCCCTAAGGAAGTCAGATTAGCCTCAATCAGGGGCAGGGCCTTTTCAACACTGGCTCCAGCCTGGTGGAACGCTCTGTCTCTTGAGACCAGGGCCCTGATCAGGGATCTGATTTCTTTCCGCAGAGACTGCAAGACAGAGCTGTTCCGCCTGGCCTTTGGCTTGGACTCAGTCTGACCCTTATATTTCCCTCCCCTTATGGTTTTGATCTATGGGCTACTTTTAAAATGAGGCTGCATTTTAAATTGCATTTTAACCTGTATTTTAAATTGGGGTTTCCCCCCCCTATTATGTTTTTACTGTAATTTTACTGGTGTTAGCCACCCTGATCCCAGCTCTGGCTGGGGAGGGCGGGGTATAAATAAAATTTATTAATTTATTTATTTATTAATTTATTATTATTATTATTATTATTATTCTCTTTTTTTAAAAAAAAAAGTGTCCCCAATTCTTTGAAAAAAATCTGGTAACCTTATGTTGGAGGCTATGCTATCCCGGCCAGTAGCCATCAATAGCCATCAGCTGGAATGGGAAACTTGCAAAGTCAGAGGGGATGTGAGGTGCACTTGGAGGGCTCCATGGGGCTGCTTCGCAGGTACCTCTGTTCACACAGCCAGGCACTGCCTCCCCATTGCCCTGACTGTCAAGTCCGACTGGGAAATCAGTTTCACAGTTGCCCAGACCGGACGCATCAGCTAGTCAGCTGTTTAGCCAGGGTTTAAGTCATGAAAATGAAGATTTCCCCAGCTTGATTATGCTTCCCAAACCTCTTTTATCTAATCCCAGATGCTGACTCACTTTCCAAATGATGAGGGAAAAGGTGGGTGGGGGACAAATTGACTCCCCTTCCCCATTGTAGACAAATTATGCCGGCCTGTCGCCTTCTGGTAATGGTAGCCAAGATGGGCCACCTCTGCCACAATTGGAAGACCTCTGTCAACTGTGGAAGAATGGCAGATGAAGATGATGGACTTTATGGAGCCAGCTGACCTTAATGGAAGAATCCGCGACCAGAAAGAAGAGGAATATCAAGAAGATTGGAAGAAATTTAAAGACTATTTGAATAAATATTGTAATATTAAAAATTAGGGGTTACCTCAAAGTACCAAACAGGCCTAGGATTAAATTAGGAGTTAGTTAAATAAATGAGATTTAGAATGTTAAGAAATCTGATTATAATTGGAATATTGTCTTTGAATAATGATATTGGAAAGAAAACTGTTACATTCAGATACAAGGAAATTCAGATGGGAGGGACTAGAGGAAGTCAAGCAATATGTTTATGAGGTTGGAAGTTTAATTAATTAACTAATTTGTGTTGTTTATGTGTTTGTTGTTATATTTTCTGTTTTTATTCGTTTTATTTGCTCTATTTGTTCTTTTATTTTTGTTTTACTTGTTTTACAGTATGTGTTATATTTGTATGAAACTCAGTAAAAATTATGGGGGGGGGGAAGATGGGCCATCTCTGCTTGCCCCTGGTATTTTGAACCATGGCTTGGCTGTAGTTACTGAATGGGGTGCATGCAGAATCAAAGAATCATAGCATTGTAGAGTTGGGAGGGACCCCAAGGGTTATCTAGCCCAACCCCCTGAAATGCAGGAATATCAGCTAAAGCATTCCTGACAGGGGACCCTTCAACCTATACTAAAGGCCCTCCAAGGAACACAAGAAATACCAACAGTGGAAGATTGGCAGATGAAGATGATGGACTTTTCGGAGCTAGCCGATCTGACTGGAAGAGTCCGTGACCAGAAGGAGGAGGACTATCAGGAGGAATGGAGGAAATTTAAAAACTTTTTAGCTAAATATGCTAAGATAATTTAAATTGGAAAGCTTGCAAATATCAGATAGGCTTAGGATTTAAATATGTAATGTGATGAATTAATATGTTTAAATGCAGAATTGGAAAGAAAGAAAGAAAGAAAGAGGTTAAGTGATTAAGTTAATTTTAGGAGAATATTGGTTTTGGAAAACCGTTAAAAAAAATATACACTGAAATTCAACCAGGGGGATATGAGGAAGTCACTTAACAATGTTACTAAGGTTGGTTTAAATAAGGTTATGATTTATGTTTGTTTGTCTATCTGTTTGTTTGTTTAAAAAATTATTGGAAAATCAATATTTTTTTTTGAAAAATAAATAAATAAAGACCCCTCAAGGAAGGAGAGTCCACCCCATCCCAAGGGAGTCCATTCCACGGTTGAACAGCTCTTACTTTAGTCAGAATCTACTTTCTTGTAACTTGAAGCCACTGGTTCGAATCTTACCCTCCAGATCAGGAGAAAATGAGCTTGTCCCGCCTTCCACAGGACTGCCCTTCAGATATTTGAAGATGGCTCTCTCCTATCTCCTCTCCCCCAGTTTGAGCAGCGGCCTGGCTGTGGTTACGGAAAGCAGGAGGCAGTCCTCCCACGTTGAGTGTCCCAGTCTTCATGACTTCACAACTGCTGGCTCCGAATAAAATCCATGTCTCGAATTGTACTCTGGCTGTTTTGCAGAGTCTGAGTGACCCCCTGCAAGAGGCCCTGGGCTCTATGGGGGAAGCTCTGGCGGCTAAACCGGTTTCACAGGTGTTTGTGGTCGCTGGCTTGGCCGTGAATGATGACAGGTCTGGCGTTTTGCTCAAGCACAAAACTCAACCATTTAAGTTACCCCTGGAAATAAAGAGGAAATAAAGAGAGAGAGAGGCTGTCTCTTACCTTTTCCAGAGATCGGTGCATTTCTTTGGGGTCTAACTGGAAGAGGTTGCCTACGAAAGGCAGCGGGGCTGGGCCGGGGGGCATCTTCCCACTTTTCCTGCTCCCGCTTTTCCCATTCAGGTACAAAACCAGGCAGGAAAGGCACAGCAGCAGCAACGCTGGGGTGGTTGCTCCGCTGAGGTCCATGGCTGCAGAGAGAGGATGAACTGGACTTTCCCCTGTGCAGTAAATATATGAGTGCGTATATATCTCCCCCTGTATTTTACTCCTGAAGTTTATGGCTGTTTACTGTCCTGCTCGGGCCTGGAGCCGTCTCTCCCCTGCAAGGCTGTAGGGAAGGTCTGGCAGGGAGCCACGCAGCCCGTCCGGGTTTCCTGCCCTCCAGCAGGACGTTGTTGTAAATCAGCCAAGCCGGTGGGGAAAGGCGCCCAACTCCAGCTTCAGCTCTCGCTCTCCACTTGAGAAATATTCATTTACATTCCCAGCTTCCAGCTGCCAAAGCAGGATTTTTGAGTCATGCACACTTTGCAAGTTATGGCTCGTGATGTCCTGATAGACTTCTGGTTTTCATTTCACTTGGCTTTCCACTCCCCACTCTCCCCATTTTAGCCCCATTTCACAGGCCCCGCCCGGGCCCTGGAAACCTTAAGAACACCAGGAGAACCTGACTTCAGGCCCAAGTGTTAAGTCCAGGATCCTGTTCCTACGGTGGCCAAATGCCCCTCTCCCCCCAAGAACTGACAAACCTAGATAGACTGCCTCTGGACCTGGAGGTTCCATGAGAATGTAAGAAGATTCTGGCTGATGGATCAGGCCCATCCAGGTCCAGCAACCTGTTCTCAAATGTGGGAACTCAGGGAGCAGAATACAAGCAAAAGAGCCTTCTTGTGGTTTCCAGCATTGGAATTCAAACTTGAGATCAAATTCTGGGGCTTACATTAAGCCCTAAGGATGTGATGGCCACCAATCTAGGTAAAGGTAAAGGGACCCCTGACCATTAGGTCCAGTCGTGACTGACTCTGGGGTTGCGGCGCTCATCTCGCTTTATTGGCCGAGGGAGCCAGCGTACAGCTTCCGGGTCATGTGGCCAGCATGACTAAGCCGCTTCTGGTGAACCAGAGCAGCGCACAGGAACGCCGTTTACCTTCCCGCCGGAGTGGTACCTATTTATCTACTTGCACTGGTGTGCTTTCGAAATGCTAGGTTGGCAGGAGCAGAGACCGAGCAACGGGAGCTCACCCCGTCGCGGGGATTCGAACCGCCGACCTTCTGATTGGCAAGTCCTAGGCTCTGTGGTTTAACCCACAGTGCCACCCGCATCCCGGCCATCAATCTAGATGGCTTTAAAAGAGGATTGGACAAAATCAAGGATGAGGAGAGGGCTGTCAGTGGAGGATATTGGTGCTCTGCCTCTATTATCAGAGCCTAGAAAAATGCAACCTGTGCTGCTGAAAGAAGTAGTGCGACTCATGCAACACGTTGGCGATTAATATACACAGAATAATAAATTATACATTCTTTATCAACCTTCTGAGAAGAATGCAAGCCATTAATCAAAGCCACAGAGACTTGAGAACTACCCAACCTAAGGTGAACTTATAATGTCTGGTTTCGATAGATTTTTCAAATGCTTAACTCAGTCTTTTAGATAAGTTCATGAAGATACCAACAAAAGGTAAGTTGCGTGGCGAGTTCCCGCCTCCCCCTCGGAAATAAAGACACAAGACTCCAATATTTTAGGTTAATGGGTGAAATTAGGCCACAACTTTACTGATTACAGGAATTGAGCGGTATTGGCTTAGGCATTGGTCCTATTGACTAACCCGCTTCAGCCTGATTGCTTGAAGATTGGTGAGGGTTAACCACCAGTAGGGGGAGTCCTGCTGATGCACATCAACTAGGAACTCCCCCTGGGGTCACCGCTCGGGGGCGTGCCTTAGGCCCACACCTCCATAGGCTTCGGACAGGGCCACGCCCCCCGGAATCCTTTACCGGACTACCCTTTGCTTTGGGGGAAGGTGATGGCGCTTCCTCCCCCCTCATTTGCATAACAATGCCCCTACCAATGCCTAACCGCCAATGCCGAGGAAGTTGTGACGATTTGCTACGAGGTAGGCGAAAAACCAAATGGCTGGTGCCAATTTGCCAAGTGGAAAAAATTCCTACCAGGCCCCTTGAGGGCGACCAACCAAGGTCCATAGCAAGGTCAAAGAGCCAAACCTAAAGGGTGGGAGGGTGGGAAACCGGAGCAGCTGGAGCGGAGAAAGAGGGAAATCCTCAGCCGCGCCGATTGGCTGACAAAGGAGATGACACATCTGAGGATTCCCCCAGTCTCCCGCAACCCCACATCTCCAGCTCGGAAGTGGCTTTCTGTGTTATTCGCAATACCGAGAGATGCTAGTGGAGTTGTAGATAGATGTTAATGAAGTTGTAGACAACAGGGTGCCGGCGTTTTGCACCAAAGCCCTTTTACTGGGGCTTGCAGGTAGCACACTCCCAAGATACAGTGGTGCCTCGCAAGACGAAAAGAATCCGTTTCGCGAGTCTCTTCGTCTTGCGGGTTTTTTCGTCTTGCGAAGCAAGCCCATTAGAGGTTTAGCGGCTTAGCGCTACAGTATTAGCGGCTTAGCCGGCTTAAAGATCAGCTGATAAGCGGCTTAGCATCAGCTGTTAAGCGGCTTAAAGATCAGCTGATAAGCGGCTTAGCATCAGTTGTTAAGCGGCTTAAAGATCAGCTGATAAGCGGCTTAGCATCAGCTGTTAAGCGGCTTAAAGATCAGTTGATAAGCGGCTTAGCATCAGCTGTTAAGCGGCTTAAAGATCAGCTGATAAGCGGCTTAGCCATCAGCTGATAAGCAGTTTAGCGGCTTGGGAAAAAGGGGGGGAAAAGGAAAAAAACCCTGCAGGAACTCGCAAGACATTTTCGTCTTGCGAAGCAAGCACATAGGAAATTCGTTTTGCGAAGCACCTCCAAAACGGAAAACCCTTTCGTCTAGCGGGTTTTCCGTCTTGCGAGGCATTCGTCTTGCGGGGCACCACTGTAGTTTTCTGGGCTTCTTCAGTGGTCTAATCTCAAAGTCTTGATACGTATATTGATATTCAGTCTTATAGAGAATACTCTTTCTTGGCTTAAGGGTCCCATCGGGGGCGAACAGCGGCCTCTTGATTACTTGGACTGCCAGGGCGAAACAGGTGCAAAACGCTGGCACCCTGTCGCCTACAACTTCATTAACATCTGTCTACAACTCTATTATCAGAGTTCGCAATGCTTCAGAAACCACAGGAAGGGAGACACAATCCTGTACCGCCTTGAGATTTTAATGGAAGGCAGCATCCAAAACACATTATGCAAGAACATGGTGTTGCAAAGGAAGCTATTCATCTCAGTTTGCCTAAGGCTTTCTGAGTTACACACATTCCTCTGAAGCGATAGTTTGCAGAGGTTGCGGCGCACAGTTGAACTGTGGAACTGCCTGCCACAGGAGGCAATGATGGCCAGAAACTTGCGTGGCATTAAAAGAGGACTGGACAAATTCATGGAGGAAGAGAGGGCTGTGAGTGGCTCCTAGCCAGGACGGCTCTGCTCTGTTTCCGCAGTTGGAGGCAGCAAAGCTACAGAATCTCAGTTGCTGGAAACCCCAGGAGGGGAGAGGCTCTTGTGGTCGGATCCTGCTTGGGGGCTCCCCTTTCGGGCGTCTGCTAAAGAAGGGGGCTAAAGGAGCCAGGCTCTGCTTATGTCCTTGTTTGTTGGCTTTTAATCTTTGCAGCCGTAATACGCTTTTCACTCATCATTAAGGGTTTATTTTCTTTGTGATTTGCATCTGTTGAATATTACATTGATCCTACTTGTTGTTCGTCCTTCCCAAGAGAGGGATTTCAGGGCTGGTGTGGCACCTGAGCTTTGCAAATGGTGCTGCACAACACCCACCCCTTTTTGGACATGTCCCAAATCCAGGGCTTACCTGGGACGGGGCTCAGGTTACCCCACACCTGCCCCTGTCTTGGCCTCCACCAAAAGACGGGGAGATTATCTCCAAGGTGAGCAAACAGGCAGCAAGGCAAGGCCTCCAGTGTCCATGGCAGAACACACCCTCGCCCTTGATGAAGCTACCAGGAAGCTGCCCTGATGCCCCCAGCCAGGAATGCCCCCTCTGCCCTTTCCCCGCCGCCCCCAGGTGAGAAGAAGCACGTAGACAAGGGACGGGAGCAACACCTGGGCTCACCTCTTGCATTTTGAGCAGGAAGCTATCGATGAAGTCGCGAGGGCAGCTGGGGTCGAAGGTCGCCTGGTGCTCCTTGACCATCTCCAGAATGAAGAGGCGCAACTTCTCAAAATTGGCGAAAAGTTGCTTGTGAGGTCCGGGCAGGTAGCGCAGGATGTGGGGGAAAGTGTTGTACAACTAGGGAGGGAGGAGAAGACGAAAGATGGAAGGCCCCAACCCTGCAAGTACTCCAAAAACAGTACTTCTGTCTTGTCAGGATTCAGCCTCAATCTGTTAACTGCCATCCATGCTCCAACAGCCCCTAGACACTCACAAATGACCTTCACTGCCTTCACTGGTTCTGATCCTTCTTATATTGTGGTGCCCAGAACTGGACACAGTATTCCAAGTGTGGTCTGACCAAGGCAAAATAGAGTGGGACTATGACTTCCCTTGATCTGAACACTAGACTTCTGTGGATGCAGCCTAGAATAGAATTTTCTCTTTTTGCTGCTGCATCACACTGTTGACTCATGTGAAGCTAAAGGTGCTTTAATTCTTGCATGTTAGGATGTCGGGGAGAAGGGCAGGCAAGGAATAGATGGACAAAAAGGTAAAGGTAAAGAGACCCCTGACCATTAGGTCCAGTCGTGGCCGACTCTGGGGTTACAGCGCTCATCTCGCTTTATTGGCCGAGGGAGCCAGCGTACAGCTTCTGGGTCATGTGGCCAGCATGATTAAGCCGCTTCTGGCGAACCAGAGCAGCGCACGGAAACATTGTTTACCTTCCTGCCGGAGCGGTACCTATTTATCTACTTGCACTTTGACGTGCTTTCGGACTGCTAGGTTGGCAGGAGCAGGGACCGAGCAATAGGAGCTCACCCCGTTGCGCGGATTCGAACCGCTGACCTTCTGATTGGCAAATCCTAGGCTCTGTGGTTTAACCCACAGTGCCAGTGGTCCACTAAGACCCCTAGATCCTTTTCACATGTACTGCTAGTAAGCCAGATGTCCTTCATCCTATATTTGTGCATCTGGTTTTTCCTGCCTAAGTGCAGACCCTGACATGTTGAGCTCCCTCATGCCAGTGTATGGATTAGGGCCTTTCTCTTCAAGAGACATTCCTGGGATATAATAGAAACTCTGGCTGAGGTTTTATCCTCAGTTAAGATGGGCTTAACTGGAACCTGAAGCCT